GCTTGCCCAGCCCAGCCTGTCCTGTCTATTGACAGCACTTGAGGGCCAGGCTGTCCCCTTTTTGCGTCTCCCATATTCTCCAACATGTTGTGAAGAACTGCTCAGAGTACAGTCATGTAAACTTAGTCAAACGTCTCTGCTGGTTTGCCCAAGGATAGAAATCCAAAGTGCTCTGTCATCCAAAAGCTCTTCGTTTAAGGTTCGGGCACTACCAGTATATTGGCACAATATGGTTTGTTTGAAGTTTTTTGTTGATGGGATGAGTGAATTTTGGGGTCATTTGGAGCTCAAGCATCCCAGCAGTCGAATGCTATGTCAAGTCTTCAACCTTAAACATCATCTCGTTCGCGTATCTTGTGCTGTGTTGCGGTTGAGTGAAATTGTCTCCCTGACAGAAGCCATCTCAAGCTATCGTAGGAAATCGCCTCGCCAACAGCACCGCCAAAGTGTGACGCAAGCACCCATCCCAAGCACGAGAAGGCAGTCTAGACCCCAAACAGTCGAAGACCAGCAAGTGTAACTCACTGTACTCCAAGGCAATAAAGCAAAGACCGCTCTGCACTTCCCGAGGAGCATGCACACGGAGCTGTGGCGACGGCATGGTTTGCCGAAGCAACGACAGTTCTGCACGGCACTAAGCGGCAGGAGTACGATCACAATGCAAAGGGCAAGTCGCGAACTCGTCCAAGAGCAAGCGATGGAAAGCAGGTCCAAGTGGCAAATTTTCGGAGAGTGGACTTGGGCTCAAAGGGCGTGATCACGTGCTTCGACTGCGGCAAAAGGCGAGCCAGCGCTTGGGCGAGTGCGAGCTGCGCACCCGTGGCGACCGAGGCCTCCTGTACCTGTATAGAACTTGAACCCTCCTTGAATAGTGTGTCCACACTTGTGGAAAACCCTGCGCGCCAAAAACCCAGCTGGGTCTTTCCAAATCCCACGTCAAGACACCCGAGACCTATCGGGTGTAGTTTAGGGCTTCTGGTTGTAAGATTTATGGGGGAGGGTGTAGCATGGCTGCGAAGTCGGGAGGTCGAGAACACGGAGTGTGGACGCATACAACGTGTTGCGCACACGACCGGTCCGGTCAAACCCGCATCGTGGGATCGCATCATAGTTCAGACCCATCAGAAAGCCAAAGCCTGGTCTTCAACACCTCAAAAGCAAGGCCCTGGAACCGTAACCTGCTACCCTGCACGCACCTGTGGCTTAGGCCGGGGCATGAGGACCAAACCAATCGTACATGGACATTTCTACCTGGCAGGAAATGTTGGGATTACTTAAGGGCCGGCATATTTTATCCAAACTAGGAGCATGGAGCCCTTCGCACACCAAGAGAGAGCAAGAGCGGTTTAGCAATGGCAGTGTGTGCCTAAAGTGTGCTTTCGGGGACTTCTCACATACAAACCCTGGGACTGCAGTCCTACCCCCTCCCCTCCGTATGCCCTTGATGGGGACTACAGCCCAATGAGGATGGGCCGATGGCGTTCTGTGCGCTTGGGAGTTCGGTTGAGAGATGGTTTAGGGTTTCGGGTTTAGGGTTTAGGGCTTAGGGTTTAGGGTTTAGGGTACCAGCTCGATTGGGGTACAGAGGCTATCCAGAGGCACTCACACGCTTCTTGCCCTGATTGTTAGGGAAGAAATTGGACACGTAACGACATTTTCGCATAAAGATCTTGCAGGTATCCAGGACAGTCTCTGCAGGCACACCTGCCGCAACGTTATCAATTCGCTGGAATGGGTGCTTTCCTACTGCTGCAGGAGAGGGAGCAGCAGTCTAGAGAGTCTAAGTCTTACGGAGCGGTCGTATCTTAGGGCACCAGAGGCGCAGAAACCAGCTGCGGAATCCCGAGTTTTTGTTTAGCGGGATCCTTACGTGGGTTTGCGTTTTCCTTCAGCGTTGCCTTGGTTTTTGGCACTCCTCATAAAGATCCTACAAAATTTTGTTCGCTTGTGTTTTACTTACCACATAAAGATCCTACGATTTTTTTCGCCAAGAATCCCCTGCCTAGTGGTGATGCAAGTAACGGAGTCCCCACTGTGCAGTCATGATACCCCTAGAATGAGCCCGACACACTAACAAGAGAAGCCCATGCTCGCATGTAGATGGATAGCTCCTTCCTGGAAAGGCTGGATGATGGTGTTGGTCCCGGAACTGTGGCTAGTGGCCCAAATGGCCAAGTGCACACCTCAGCTACAGGAGCCCAAAATCCTTAGTTCTCCCCGGTTGCGATCCCGAACATGCAAAGTCTTTACCCCTAAACCCTAAACCCTAAACCCTAACCCCTAGGCCCCGTTGATTCCCTCCCGACCTCTAACAGAAACCAATCTCCGCCGCCAACGCTGTGCGGCACGCGCGGCTGAAGCGGGCCATCCAAGCTCTATCCAAGACTTGAAGGGTTTAGGGTTTAGGGTTTAGGGTTTCGGAAGTGTTGGGGGCTGGGATCTAGCTAAGCCCGAAGCCCACAGCGTGCAACTGGAAGGCCAGGCAGCTTGTTCTAAGGAGCCGTTTTTGTTGAAAGGTCGGAGGCTGGGGGCCAACGGGCCTTGGGTTTGCAATGCTTGCAATGATTGGATGTTAGTTTGCCACTCTACAAAGTCCATACGCTTCGGTTTGGGATTTAGGGTCTTAGCTTCTCGGGCTTTCGATTCTGGAAGGCATGTTCTGGCAAGTTGCAAGCAGATCTACCTGCTTGCTGCTGGCAACGGGTGGAAGTGCATGTGGGCATCATTGGGACCTTTAGTCTGCAGCGACCCCTTCGGATAGGCTATAGGACAACCACATCTGTACTTGGATTTCCGGTTTATTGCCTCAGGTGCGTCGAGAACCTGTATGAGAATGGTCGGTGAACACCGGGGCGCTGCTTGTCTGCGGATAAAAGGCGGTTCTGTGGCCGTCTGCCTTGGACTTTGGTATTCATCTTCTCGGCACAAGGTTTGAGAGACCCCACAGCTTTGCCTAACAAATAAACTGCCTGGTGTGACGATCGACCGGAGCTTCCGCGCCAGGCTATGCAAGCTACAACGTTTTGAGCACCAAGCCTACAAGACCTGCACAACATCTTGCAGCCTTAGGGTTTAGGGTTTAGGGTTTAGGGTTTAGGGTTTAGGGTTTAGGGTTTAGGGTTTAGGGTTTAGGGTTAAACCCCAAAACGCCTTCCCAGCACTCTGTCGAACCCAAGACTCGAAGTGCCACCCCAACGTAGACGAGTTTGCAGGATGCGCCTATGATTTTCCAGTCTTCTTGCGCCAGGTTCTTTCTAGTCGTTGGTAGCTTTTGTTGTACCTTGCTTCGAAATGCTCTTGCAGTTGTGGGATTACCATGTGAGTATTGCAAGGTTCTGCAAACTCAAGCCAAACTGGAGCCAAAACAATGACAATAGCCAACCACTTGGACTTCACCTTTGCACCTTTTTAGCTCAGTGCAGCTTAGTAGATTCTGAGAAGTTGCAACCATCACCCAAGCAAGAACGGGAGGTTTCGGGAAGCCCGGAAAGGTCCTGGAAGGCTGAAAAGCTTTCTGGAGTAGCATCCACATATTGTTCAATGAGTTCTTTTCTCGCAGTTAACCTGGTGCATTGCAGTTCTGAAGCCTTTCCACTCTGGCTGCAGCAAACTTATTGACTTCTTGAGTCCTGTCACGCTTTGCCATTCTTTACTGAAGCTGTCGTGTATGGTAAGCCCTCTCATTGTTGGGGTATCAGTGGGGTGTACTGTTGCACCTCCCCCCCCCCCCGCCCCCGCGCCCCCACCCCCTGAACGGCCGAAGCTGACTTTGTAGTGGCAAGGGGGAAGACTCTGACCGCAACGGGCCCTCGGGCATCGCTCTTTTGACACTCAGAGCATAGCGTGCCGAGCTCCCACAAATACTTGCTATGCCGCTATGCACATTCGAATGTCGAAAGACTGGCTTTGCCAGACTCCGCCTACCTTGGCCGTAAGAGCCTGCTATAAGAGCTGTTCCTTCAGTTCACACATACACCATTCACTAAGATGCAAAACGTTCATGCTCTTCGGATGCGTCAACCAAACCGAAGAGAAACAGCATTCCGAAAGCACACCCAAGCTACAACACCTAGAGGTTCTTCGCAACGGGATGCACGGTCGCCGAGCCCACCTCCGTTGCATCGGGATACTACAAATGCTGAAAAGAAGTACTGGCCGTGAATATCTAAATGGCTGGGCTTAGGGGGCGTGCACAGCGTACTATAGGGGTCGGAAAAATTCGTAATAATATTCCCTTTTGGTCCTTTTATATTTATACTATAATAACCCCGCAAAACCCCGTTCTCATGATTAAGGCCCCTATAAACCCTAAACCCTAAGCCCTAAGCCCTAAACCCTAAACCCGGCCCAGGTTGGGGAAGATGGCCTTGTTCCCGCGGAAGTTGATTGACTCCAGCTTGATCGTGTCCTCTCATAGCAGCTCTGCAAAACATGTGGGGGTTTAGGGTTTAGGGTTTAGGGTTTAGGGTTTAGGGTTTAGGGTTTAGGGTTTAGGGCAAAACATGTGGGGGTTTTAAGATCTTAGGGGTACCTTATTGGGGGGTCCTTCTTCTAAGGGGGGGTCCTGCTATTTGGGGGTCTATTTTAGGGGTCCCCTATTTTCGTAAACCCCCCCATGTGTTTTTTGCCCGAAGTGACAATGGGTTTAGGTGCAGGGCTTGGTTGTGTTCGGGATTTCGGTGAGGCTCCTGAGGGCCTGTGGCTTCGTTCGGAATTCAAGGCTCCAACTTCTATTAAAGAAAGACAGCTCTGGCATGCAGAGTTGTAACTTCAAGGCCGTGCAAGCACACAAACAGGCCGAACCTGTGGGAAGGGATCACTAGTGCTCGAAGACCTGGGTTAGGGAGCTAGCTGGTTACCTGAGCTTTTCGCTTTTCGGGCACAAAGTCGTGTAACACAACGCAGCCTAATCAAGTCCTGAACACCCAAACTGCAAACACTGATCCTCGAAACCAACTCTAGCCTGGCCCTCAACCCTAAACTTGCACAAACTTGAAACTCTAGTCGGAGTCCTTGGTGAACGCCAGGTCGAAGAAACCATAGGCCGTGCTATGGCTGTGCTCTGGCGAATTCTCCGCAGTAATGCCTGGAGGGCTCGAGCTTCAAGCTCGAGGGTCAAGGTTGGGGCTGTAAGGTTGTCACTTGCGCGACCTCTCGTTGCACGACGCTCGCCTCCGCCACCACCGGTGATGAAACAGGTCAGTCCGCCCAGGACATGCCACTTGTCGAAGATGGACTGCCTCAGCGACCCGAAAGAAATTTCCAGTTCTGCAGCCCTGCTTTCAAAAGACCATAGGCCCCCACACAAATCTGACGAAACTGAGCAACCCAATGGCTCTTCATCAAGAGAGTTCCGAGGGTCCGGTGCAATGCTACCCAGGCATCAATACTGGGTGTGCAGCAAACCAGTAACGACGACAAAAGAGAACACCTTCCACAGAAAGGAATGGAACGTCAATTTTGCAGTATTCTCCAAGAACCAATACTTAAGTCTCAAACCAGCTCTGTGGACACGCTCCCACATCACTTTGTGCATGTCATTTGTTAGCCATGAACATTCGGTATGTGGCTTTATGGGAAGGCAAATGGTGTATCCAGGAGGCTTGGGAGTCGACATGTATGCTCTGTGACCCGTCGTGGGCTTGTGCCCAAAGTCTGAGCTGCCGCCAACACAAGAGACCCCAATGCTGTTTGACATGCTCTGAAGGCATCGAAGGTCATTTGTTTTTTTGGGTCATCTTCTCGTTTCTCCCAGGTTTGTTTTGGATGTTGAATGCAACCTCATTTCCTGATCTTCTTCTAAGACTGCTGTAGAGGCATGGAGACTTACTCCAACCGCCCGACACTTCAAAGTTGTGGCCAGAACTGTCACCGAAAATCGCCTTTCCATGAATCGGATACTTTAACCCAATTAACCCAAACTAAACCCAAACTAACCCCAAACTAATCCCCAAATTAACCCTGAATTAACCCCAAATAACTCCGGGGCTTGCCCTAAGTATGCAAAGCCCCGAGGCAACTTGCACCACTAGTAGAACAGAGCTTGACACGAGGCGTTGTCTGGGACGTTCCCCCTTGTACTAACAGTCCTCAATCGGGATTATAGTACCCCCTACTAGAGTCCCTATTTAAGGGCTGCTAGTATCACGGGGAACATCCCAAGGTGTTGTGTAGGGTTTAGGGTTTCAGCAGTAGGCGCTGGCCTCCCCGGCATACTCAACGGGAATTCTTTCGGGGGTGCAGGCACTCTTCTCTCTGTATGCATGCTCGGCAGGATTCCCTTGGGGGTGGGCACTCCAGAGATACTCGACCGTACTCGTTGTGGGATTCTCTGGAGGGGGGCCCTCCAGAATACTCGGCCTCTGCAGGGATTCTCTGGGTAGGCAGCCCAGAGATACTCGGAGTACTTTTTTCTTTGGGGATGAACCGACATGAAAGAATGCACCAACGAATGAACATGACCTTAAACGACCTTCTCAGAGCATCTCGGGGCCCGTAGGGGGGTATGGAAAGTGAAAGTGCCTAAATCTTTGTCGATGTCAGCTTTCAGACGCCTGTCCGGCACAACGCCTCGACCGCTGCTTATACCAGCGGGCTTCGATGTCTAAATCATCCCTGGTGAATTGAAACCCTTTGCTATCAACCCGCATGCCCCCCACTCATGGCAACGGAGGTGCACATGCGTGTGGCCGGTCACCAGAAGGTCCAGGCCATACTTTTGGTGCAGCTTCTTGTACCACTGTGCCTGGAGCAAAGAGCTCGAATCCGGTATTCAGGCCATCCTGGCCTCTATCTTCCCCTTAGAGCCATAAGAGCAACGGCCATTTTAACATTCCCTTGGGTTTATATGCAAACCCTAAACCCTAAACCCTAAACCCTAAACCTTAAGCCCTAAGCCCTAAACCCCTAGAGGCCTGGTGTCCACACTGGAAGTGTGTGGCGATGAGCTGCCAGTCGGCGGAGGACTCCTGGAGCTTCTTCTCGGTCCACTTCTCCTGACCTCAGTGTTTTCTTTTGCTGCGTTCAAGGCTTGGGTTTAGGGTTTAGGGTTTAGGGTTTAGGGTTTAGGGTTTAGGGTCTAGGGTTTAGGGTTTAGGGTTTAGGGTTTAGGGCTTAGGGCTTAGGGCTTAGGGCTTAGGGCTTAGGGTTTAGGGTTTAGGGCTTAGGGTTTGCTCTTCAACAGAATCACCCTTCTGCCATGCCTTGTAATCCTGAGTCTACTGGTGACTGCCATCAACCTCAAACAACCAAGCCTGGCAAGGTGTGGGAGGATTCTACGGATTCGGGGGTGCCGAGGTCGAACACTTGGCAACCTGGGTGGTCATCATTAAGCATGGTGAAGCTGATCGGGCGCAAGGACTTTTTTGTCAATGGCTTGCGACCACACTTTAGCAACGAGCCATAGCCACCTTTGATCTCCAAGCGGGGGGCCCGGACCCAGAAGGATGGAATTCAAGTCGCTGGTGACAGTTCATGCAGAAGGGTCCTCAAAAGCCCCAAAAACCTACAAATATGCAATGCTGCCTGCCCTTAATCCATCTGAGCGGCTTCTCCAGGTATCCCACATGAACTTGAAGCCTGTGCAGTCTGGACATCCAAGTCAGCACGCTACGTCTTGGGTGCCGGAAAGTCCGAACATGGTTCTCCATTCAGCCACGCGACAGGCGTCGAGGTCCTTGGGCCCACCTGTTTCTTGGGGAGTTTAGGGGTTTTGGGTTTAGGGCTTAGGGTATATAGGGAGCCTAAGCAGAAATGTGACGTTTATGTCATCTGGGGTTCGTTTTGCACTTTGAGCTAACAAGTTCCAAAGCTTTCAGGCCCTAGACCCTAAATGCTTACAGGGATGCCCTCTGCTTGGTGAGTCGCCATGCGTCGTTGTGTGCCAGCCTTGTTCCAGCCGCTAAAGGAATGGTATGAAATTTGACATTTAGCTCCTCAATGCCTCAATTTTGGTATTGAGAATTGTCCCAAAAAAGGAAGAGGGGCCACATGACGAGTGTTAACGGCACATGTCAGTAGAGATGAAGTTCCAGGTGTTGTGCACCGTGTTGTGCACCACACTCTCTCTCGCTTTCCCAAAACTTCAACTTGAACCATGCCAGAAGACGGCTGTTCATCACATGTTCAACAGGACTGTGACCGTGACTTGCTAAAACGAACATTTCGGCTTGCAGCATTTTTGGTCGGCATGCACGGCTTCTATGCAGCTTCGAGTGCAAGACCTATTCATGGCATTGCGGGGAACAATTCTTGCGAATGCCGCATCATTGCCAACGGATTGCCCGAAAAGGAAAACAAGTACATGTGTTATCATGTGTCGACCATCTGCGTAGGCCATGTTTGGAAACAGTGCAATCGGCAGTTTCGGGTGTTGGTGCTCGGGGGTATTGTGGTGCCACCTGGTGCTGATCTGACTGCAGCAGTCGGGCGATCCTTCCGTGCATTCCTGTTAGGCATGCTGCATCACTTTGCAGGTGTACAGTCAGGAACCAGATCCGTCCAATTCGCATCGGCTGAACATTTTCGCTGAAGCTGCGAAATAAGCGAACCGATGGACCGCAGGACGAGGACTCCGAATCGGCTACGACATTTGGCGTAGCAGAGAATTCTTCGTTCAGATGCCCGTAAAGGTAAGGCACCTTGCCTCACATTTCCTAATGAGCGCGAAACAGCGTCTCGGTCGACGTTTGAGGAAAGCTCCTCGGAGCTAGACTCTTGAATTGCTGGTATACCTCCCTGGTCTCTGAGAGACCGTAGACAGCATACTCAACGGAGCACCGAGTAGTGTGTAGACAGGAAGTAGGAAATCCTTCAGGCTCAACTGTGCCTTCTGTTCGAATGACTGGGCAGGAGGGACGGAGGAAGCCAGAGAGACAGAGCGAGACAGAGACTGAGAGAGACATAGAGAGACATAGAGAGAAAGAGAGAGAGAAAGAGAGAGAGAGAGAGAGAGACACAGAGAGACCAGAGCAAGCAGTAAGCTTCCGAAGATCCAATCGTTGCCAAGAATGATGTTGCAAGTACCTGTGCTGGGTCCTGATAGGACAGCGCAAGGGCATACAACCCAGAACCCAGGCTGAGACCTGCAATCCCGAACATTGCCCTGCATCTGCAGGTCTGAATGTGCACATGCCTAAACCCCTAAACCCTAAACCCCTAAACCCTAAATCCTAAACCCTAAACCCTAATGAGCCCCGACCTGTGGCAGCGCAGTTGGCTCCCGGGGGATTGTGCATGGCGCCGCAGATGTTGTGCTTCGGGTCAGCGCTCTTGGGATGGGAGTCCATCGCATTGGAGTCCAGCATGAGGATCTCGACCTTTATTCGAGGACATAGGGCCTGAGGGTATTAGGGGGGGGGGGGGGTTCAGGGAAGCTGCAAACGGTGAGTCTTGCAGATGGCAACCTTCAGCTCGCGAGTCAAGCTTTGAAGAAGTGGGAGGCAGGAGAGGTGTTTCCATGCCCTGATGGCGGTGCCTCTCACAGGTTTAGGACTGCTGAAGTTTGGGGCTTGGGTTGGGATTGTCAGCACAGCCGAGAAACGGAAAACTCGGGGTACTCCACCCGCTGCATGAAGTACTGGCCTGACACGCCACCCGTCCATGCCGATCAAGGAACGTGCTCGGACACTTGTCATATACACGCCTGCTGCTACCAACAAGACAACGCCATGGGCATGCCTAGCAGTACCTAGCTGGGTTCTGTCGTTCACGTTGGACGTGCCGCCAGTTTCCTCGGAAGATTGACTTGCACCTTGAACTCTCAAACCCTAAACCCTAAACCTTAAACCCTAAACCACCGAGCCCAGCCCTCTCCCCCCCGCCGCCAAATTATTTGCAATCCGCCCCCATCCTGCCCCATCCTTCCCCCGATCAGGGGTGCGATGAGGGTTGGGCCTTGAAAGCCAAGAGGTTTCAGACTTCAGGATTTTGGGTTTAGGGCTCAGGCTTCTTGCAAAGCTCGAGAAATGAGACCGCTTGAGATGCAGACACCCCCGAACCCTATGAACCCTATGAACCCTATAAACCCTATAAACCCTATAAACCCTATAAACCCTATAAAAACCCTATAAAACCCTACAAACCCTATAAACCCTATGAACCCTATGAACCCTATAAACCCTATAAACCCTATAAACCGCAAAAGACACCTGGCCTGGCATGACCCAGCGGTTGCTGGCCCAGGTGTAGCTGATCCTTGGATTTGGGTTTAGGGTTTCGGGTTTCGGGTTTAGGGGTTTAGGGTTTAGGTCTCAGAATCAATGCACAGGATGAATGCGTCAGTGTCTGTGCAGCTTAGATTTTGGATTTTTGGGTCGCGGTTGCTGGATTTGAGGTTCGGCGCAGCTCGCTCAGTCATTTCAACACCCTAAGCTCGAAAAGTGCCTGCTTTTGCTCCCTGGGTTGAACTAAACAAATCCAAGGAGCTGCTGGTCCCAGGCCTTGTTGAACTGGAAGCCTGCTCTTCAGGCGTTGAGGAACTTAGGCTTTTCCTCGCAATGCTTAGGTTTCAGGGTTTGGGGTTTGGGGTTTGGGGTTTAGGGTTTAGGGTTTAGGGTTTAGGGTTTAGGGTTGTTTTAAGAGTTCAGGGTGGTTTGGGCATCTGGGGTGTTGGTCAGCTCAGCAGGCCGGTGAACAGCCACACAGCCACAGCGCCAAACAAGCAACACTAAACTGCGCGAAGCAAAACGGCGGGCGGAAGCCCTTGTGGGCCAAGGATCCAGATGGAGTTCCCGACCCTAAGCCACCCTAAACCCTAAACCCTAAGCCCTAAGCCCTAAACCCTAAACCCTAATCCCTAAACCCGCCCAAGCTTCAGACTTGAAACTTGAAACCCTCACCGGTTCACGGGTTCAGGCTTTCTCGGTTGAACGGGAACTCCTGAAGCACCCTAAGACTGGGGTAGAAACCTGGGGGCCCTATCAACATCAAATGTTTATGGCATTATAAGGATTACATAGCGGACTAAGGGTAATAAACAAAAGTAAACATTATGTTCAAACCTGAGATAGAATGAGGCCCAGGGGCCACCGTAGTCGTGGTTGCCCAGCACGCTGAGCCAGGGCTTTCCATCCACGCCGGGGCCGTGGTAGACCTTCCTCAAAGTTGACGCGGGCTTGGGGGGCCGGGCTTCTGAAACCCTAAACCCTAAACCCTAAACCCTAGGATTTCGGCTGCCAATGGAGGGAATTTAGGGAAACTGCCGCCTCTCGCTAGATCGAACTTTTAGGCCCTAAACGTTAGGGCATACCATGGCTGACGTTGAAACGAGAGGGGGCCGAGAGGCCCCCCAAGACCAGGAGCGACCCAAGAGCCTCCGCTAAAAGTCCCAAGGCATGGCTCCTGAAAGGCTTTGAAAACAACGATAAGTTTAATCTTTTGCGGCGAACCACAAAAGAAGTATTACAAGCAGTGTTCGACAACACCACAGTGATACCTTGTTGTGGCAAAGGCTAGTGAAGGCTTCCCCCCGGGGCATCTTGATGCAATGGATGCGTGCAGAAGATGCCGGACGACTACTGCCCCTAGAACACGCAAAACACCTCTAAACCCTAAACCCTAAACCCTAAACCCTAAACCCTAAACCCTAAACCCTAAACCCTAAACCCTAAACCCTAAACCCTAAACCCTGAACCCTAAACCCTAAACTCTAAACCCTAAACCCTAAACCCTAAACCCAACTCTTGTTTAAAAAACCACATGTGGAGATGAGGCATGTACAATTGGAACGACGCAAGGTGCTGCCATACCCTGAACTGGAAATCAATCCGCAGGCTAAGTGCTACAAAGATTCTCGAAGATCTCTTGGAACTGGTGAGCCGTCACTGGGTCAATCTTGTGCATTGGCGTTCCGCAAAAGGTGTTCACACCTCAATAAAAGAGTAGACATCCGAAACAAACACCCTGCGTAGAGGTAAATCCTGCAAATCCTAATTCGCCTCTGGTATGACGTTCTCAGAGTGCAACCCTCATGCCGGCGACTTGTGCAGAACCTGCAGAGCACTTTCTTGCAACACCTGTCCAACTATCTCCTGAGTTTGTACTACTCGGATTTCAGCCAGGGCAGTTGTGGTTTCCTCACGCCTGTGTTGTCGAGGTTTGCTTCGAGTAAGCGTCAATCGATGCAGTGTTCTGTAGCTCCTGACTTTGCGAGTGACGCTCGCTCCTCAATGCGTCAATGCAACAACCTCTGCTGGGTTTTGTTGATCAAGGAGCTTCGCATCTTTGCCTGGAGGTACAGATCCGGGCTGCAGCAAACGTCAAGTGCCGCGCTCTTGAGAAGCCTGCCTCGATAACCTCTATGACTTGCATCCCGCAGCTCTGCCCTTAGGGGTTGGGGTTTAGGGTTTAGATGGGTTTAGATGGGTTTAGATGGGTTTAGATGGGTTTAGATGGGTTTAGATGGGTTTAGATGGGTTTAGGGTTTAGGGTTTAGGGTTAACCCCCCGTTAACCCCCCCCCCCCCCCAATTGCAGGAGGGGGCACCTCCCCAGTAGAAATTGTCACCCACGTTGATGAAGAGATCAGGTCTGCGCTGCGCTGCAAACTTCCTTGGTTTGGGTTCGGACTACCGTGGTGGTTGTGGCTGTTGAGGCTTTCGAGCCTGAATGCTCTGAAAGCCCGCCGTGAAGCTTTCACCTGTTGCAATGCACTGTGCTGTCTGGAACCCCGGCCCGTCGCATCCACTGCTGGCCCATCACATCCACTGCTGCAATCTAAGCCCTCGCCCTGAACATATTTCGAAATCAACCGAAGCCGCCGCCCCCCCCCCCCCCCAAATGGGCCCCCCAGACCTGCAGTCCACACGAGGCCTGAACCATCAATCTCGGTCGCTAAGGCTCTACATTCTAGTAAGTGTCCAGAAACGAAGCCAACGCTCTTCAACAGAACCCATTGCGAGCAAAAAAACTGAGCAACCTTGCCTAGAGCTACACCGTGGAAAAAATAGATGAGTAGATGAATCAGCCATTCCAGATCCTGAAATGCTGAAGCCCTTGGAACTTTGGGGCACTCCTTCATACGACTCCAATGTGTCAGCTCCCTCCAGTCAGCTTCTTCATGGTTGTTGCGACGTTCATCTGCGCGCGGTAGTCGGCATCCTTCAATGTTCAGAGGGAGGTTTAGGGTTCAGGGTTTGTTTAGGGTTAGGGTTTAGGGTTTCGGGTTTAGGGTTTCGGGTTTAGGGTTTCAGAGAGGAACCGCGAGAAGAAGGCGTTGGCGTTACGGCAAGGACCAGGCCTGAGCCTAGCTGCTCAGGGCATGTGGAATATAATATAGGGGCTATTTAGGGGCTACAAGGTATACATAAAGGTTATGTAGGGGAATAAGATTCAGGGATATAGGGGCCTCAATCATTTGAATAAGGTTTTGGGGGGGGGGGGGGGCGGGGGGTTATTCTAGTAGTCTAGTATAACCATAAAGGGGCCCACAAGGGGCCCCGGAAAGCTAGCCTCCTACGGAATCTAGGTCGCTTTTGTTCTGGTGTCGGTGGAAAGGTCTGGCTCCAGCTCAATCATTGTTCAACAGTTCGGGCTTCGAACGCGGCGATGTTGCCGCCTTGGGTTTCCGAAATTAGGGGTACCTTCTTGGGGTCATGCCGACAATCCCCAAACTTTAGCTTGACAGCAATTAACAGTCCAACCCCGCCAAGAACCGAGAAACTCATGCGACGTGTTTCAAACCAGGACTTCTGCTCATCCTGCTGGGATTCATACATGCCCCCGAAACCCTAAACCCTAAACCCTAAACCCGAAACCCTATAAACCCTAAACCCTAGCCCCCTGGAGCCCTCTAAATCTGGCTGTGGGGCTTGTGTGTAGTGGCAATCTTTTGGGCACGGACCGCCGCCAAAGCAGGACGCCATCCTTATGGGAACAACATGATTCAGAATTGAAGTTTTGGGTTGGGTTTGTAGGGAGATATGGACATTCATCTTTTAGCCCGCCGCGCAGCTGCCTACAGTGCTGTTGTCATTTGCTAGCTGATCGCTATTTGTGCTGTACATGGTATTTCTTCGGCAACTGCCTCAAAATGTGACCACTTGTCGCGAGTGAGGTTTGGGCACTATCGCGTGGAGAGCACACCGATGTATTAGCAACCCCACAACGCAAAGCTACGAATGCACTTGTTAGTCCAACAGCTATGTTGCGGCTTTATGTTGCATGCCATATGCCCCAATTCACAAACCTACACCTACACGTTGGCTAGAGCCGCAGCTTTGTCCTTCAAGGACTTCATTTCGGGTGTATCACTTAACTTCGGCAGGTAAGGTGGCCTTCGGGCTTGAGATTCGAAGGCGGGCGCTTTGGGGTGTAGGTAGGGGTCCACCTGCACCGCTCCTCCTTGAATCCCCAAATCCGGACGGATGCCAACCAGGCCACAAGCTGCATAAACATTCCCCCAGCCCCCTGAACCCTAATTAAACCCTAAACCCTAACACCACCCTAATACCCCAAACCCTATTCCCCTATTGCCCGATTATCCTATTACCCTGTTACCCTGTTACCCTGTTACCCTATTACCCTATTGCCCTATTGCTCTATTACCCTATTACCCTATTACCCTATTAAACCCTATTACCCTGTGACCCTGTTACCCTTGTTGCAGGTTCAGCAGCTGGTCTGTGGTGCAGGGTCCACGCCAGCGTGCCATGGTGTGAGGGCCACCGCTATGGCCGCCCTTGTACCTTGGCCAGAGGTTTAGGGTTTAGAGTTTAGGGCCCAGGGTTTAGGGCTTTGGAGTAAAAGGGAACAAGGGCGGTTTTCTCAGAGCCCCAAATTCTCGAAAGCCTAACTAGGGGCGCTGTCTGTACCTGCGTCAAGGGTGTCCAGCAGGCTGATGTGTCAGGGAGAGCACCAAGCACTGAGGTTCTCACCTACAAGATGGGGAAGGGGATTCACAGACATTCTCACAGCTCGCTTCTCCGAGTCTCGAGTATCTCCTAAGGTGCGGCCGGCGCTTTCACCAGGGAGCGCTGCGTATCCGACCCAAGTCCCAACTGGTCCCAATACACTCGGATGAGGACTGGGGGCTGGCAGATGAAGGAGCCGGCAAACCGTAAGTTTGGCTCAGGAAAGTGGGTTATGAAGCACAGGTCGAGACGTGGGCCAAGGCCGGAGCTGTGGCCGGGGAGTTTGTGGGTGGGCCCAGCACGTGTGTACCACCAGAGTTTGCCTATTGCTGTCTCACATTGTTGTCCGGCTTCGGACAGATGACGACGAACCGGATTTTTCTTGTACCCAGCAGCCTTGCAAAAGTCCACGGCACACTGGCTGGTCCAAGTAAGTTCAGCCAAAGACGGCCTGGCTTGCATGGTCAGCTGCCCTGAGCAATGCTTCGAGCGAGGACAGCTCGCCCTCAGAAGACGCGGCCCGATCCCACTTGTCGACAAAACAGCCTTGCCAGCCTGCCGTGCAATGCCGTGCAATGCCGTGCTCGCGGCACCACAGCACTGCCCGTGCTACATGGCCTCCAAAAAGAGCGACCCGGAAGGACTCTATGTAGGTCCCATGCATACCGACGTAGGCACAGAGAAGATTTCTTTGACACCTGGTCGTACTTGGCGAAACCAAAGGCACGGTCGTCTTGCTTCACAATGCCTTGCTCACGGCACCGCTGCAGCCGCTCGGCACTGAACGGATTCCCCGCCCGCCACACATCCCCCGGTACTGGGGCCGGCCTGGCCTAGGCATCCTGGTGGCAACTACGAAAACAGACACCCTTGGAAAAGCCGAGACAGGCTGTCTCGACTAAATGCTGAAACAGACCACCTCACAGCCTGCAAGGGGGGACACTTCGTCGCTTCGTGCTGGCTTGGTAGAATGCGGCGAGCCGGATACATGCGAAGAGACTACAGTGCTTCACCAATGTGCTTCAGCCGCCATGGCCATTCCTGAGCACTCAGGAGGTCCACAGCTTTTTGCATCGAGACGTAGCACACTTCAGCAGAGTCCCCATGAGAGGGTGGCTTCGCTCAGTCACGTCGATCTCAACCCCGAACCCTCTACCCCGCATGCCAGGTTTAGGGTTTCGGGGTTAGGGTTTAGGGTTCAGGGTTTAGGGTTTAGGGTGTAGGGTTTAGGGCTTAGAGTTTAGGGTTTAGGGTCCGCCGACCCTGGCGGCGTGTTGGATGTTACTCCCCCAAAACGCAAATGTGGGGGGGCGGGGGGGGGGTAGGGGGGGGGTACCCCGCCAGCTTTTCCGTGGAGGAACAGGCCACCCAACCATGGACCTCCATTTTCGCACAGGGCATAGGGGCTCTTTTAAAAACCCCTCCGGCCCCCCCCCCCGCCGTACCCCCCCCCCCCCCCCCCCCCCCCCCCCCCCCCCCCCCCCCCCCACCCCCCCCCTACCCCCCCCCCACCCCCCCCCCCCCCCGTGCCCCCCCCCCCCCCCCCCCCACCCCCCCCCCCCCCCCCCCCCCCCACCCCCCCCCCCAACAGGAACCGCAAACAAAATCACCAAACCCCAAACCTTAAACTTGTTCTCCTGCGGGGTCGGCGGCTTGAGCCGGAGGCTCTTGAATTTTAGGGGCATCTCATCCCCACGCCCTCACGAACAATCCCGCCAAGTTGCTGGATCATGCGACCTGGGTTGGTTCCAATCAGACTTCCCCAATCGCCGATGGCGAACCTGTCTTCTCCGACGGCCATGGGATGAGCACGTTAGATTCCTATATGAGGGTTTACGACGTTAGGGGTACCTTATTGGGGTCCTTCTTACAAGAGGATCCTACTATTTGGGGGTCTATATTTGGGGTCCCTTATTATTATCACCAACCCCCCCGCATATACTTAAACTCATGCAGCAACGACAACAAAACAGCAAAGTGTGATGGTGTTTTCGTGAGGAGCATGTGGTGCACGGCCTTGCTCTGGTGGATCTTCCTGGGCATGGATGGAGACTTTTTAGGGTTTAGGGTTTAGGGTTTAGGGCGTGCCAGCTCCGGAAAGTGTATACAAGTCACTTCTTTTTGCAGACTAACTTAGGGGACTAGACAAGGCGTTCTTCGAGCTCTTTGCTCACCATGTGCAATTGAAACAAATTCACATTCCTATGGAAGATCAACCAATTTAAACAGCGGCATGTCCCTGCACAACAGGCTGGAGGGTTTGGGGATTCAATTGGCTTCGGGTTCAAGGGTGACTGGGGAGCTTCTTTTCACACGTCCATAACACAATCAAGAAAACGTAGGGTTCCTAGGAGCTCTTTGGATGTAGCCAGTTCGTAGTGCTTCAGACCTCTTCTGAGATGCGATTTGGCCTTGAACCCTAACCCTCCCTGCAATCCGCTGAACGACCGCGTCGAGACCAAGCCCGATACATGGTCGGCCAGGAGATGCCGTTGTACTGCTGCACGTCCTGTCTGGAGGTGGGGTTTTGTTGGCGCTTGGCGGCTCAAGCTTCAACATGCTTTACAACAAACAGGCTGTAGGGTTTAGGGTTTAGGGCAAAGTGGCTGTAGGGTGTTCCGATGCTTGGGATTGCTTTGGGGCAACTCAGGATCCACGGAAACTGGAGACCTCAACCCCTAATCTGCAGAGAGAGCACCCAAGTTCCCCAAACCTTGAACTCGAAAGGTGACACCGGCCAAAACAGACATCGTTCTAGGCTTTGAAATTGTTTGAGGCGCTCTACTGTAAAGCTTGGGGGCGGGGGGGGGGAGGGTTGTGGCAGTATACCCTGAGCCGCTAGGCGTCGATATTCTCGAACCCCTTCAGAAGCAGCAAGCTGGGCTGACCCGTTTCTCTTCGCCCTTTACGGTTTCTAACAAGCCGAAGCCCCGAACAAATTTCGATGCACCAGGGCAAGCTGTCACAGGTCATGCTCAACACGATTTCAAGCGCATGGTGCCAGAAAAGCAGCACTTTCAGGTCTCGCCACGAGGGCTAAAACCCAGCACACTGAACAAACTACAACTGACCACCAAGACCAAAACTTCCGGATGCCAGCTTGCAGCGGGCACAATTATGCATTGTCAGCTATCTGAAAAAATTGCGAGGCACTTCAGCCTCCAACGGGCTTCGTTTGCCGGGGTACCCGTTGAAGCGTCCCACGTTCGTTCGGGGTGGGCCAACAAAACGCGCCTAAACTCCCATCCGACATAGACAAATAGAGACCCGTCCTTCGGGGGAGAGAGGCCAGCACGTCTCCTCACCGGAAGGACGCTGGGCCCGCGGTAGGTCGGAACCGGGCCACCTGCCCCCAACCAGGACTTCAGGAGCTTGCTCGGTTATTTCGGGGTTTAAGGCTGTCAGCACATGAATGCCCAGTTGCCTAAACACTGCAGCAAGACTCTGAAATTAATTCTCACAATAGTGACTTCAATTCCAAGCCTTTAATTTGCTTTGCCCGATCTATGTGTCTCACTCCGAAAGCTTGGGGCCTGCGTCCTCAAACCTCGGGGCAAAGCCATACATCAAAACCTGTTACAATGTGAACCCCTATATCTCGCAAAGCGACCTCAAGGCCTAAAACCGGAAAGCTGCCCCACGAACCCGAAACAGGAGAGCAATGCGGCAGCTCTTACAACCCCACCTCAGGAACAAAAAAAAACATCTAAACCGGACAAGCCACTGCCTTACACTAAGCTGGGGGCCGTTAATCGCGTCTCCTCCTTATCTCTATATCTCTCTCTCACTCTCTCGCAACCATGACCTTCGTAACTTGCGCCGCCCGAGCAGCCTCAGAACAAGTGGTTCTGAACGGGCGTGAGATTGCACTTCAGGGTTCAGGTTGGTTGGAAAATGTTCAAACAGCTGTTGCTCTATGTGATTGCGAAGGTGACTTACAGCCCCATGCAGTGCCTGCGCTAAATCCTTGTTGCAACCTACATTGCTACACATTGAAATCTTCAACAAAATCTGACAACTGCTTTCCATCTGCTTTCCAGGGAACTACCCGGGCCAGACACAACGCCGCTGTGCGAAACGGAATGGGCACCGGAGCTTGTCAAAAGGCAGCCTGGCGCGCAGACTTCTGGGGTCGGTGCCAGTGAAGGCTCTACGAGTATCTTTTTTGCGTGCGGACATACTGTGCCCCACCGCCCACGCCGGCCAGGACCCCCCCCCCCCGCCCGCTAGCACTGCCCTCGCCGCCCCGCGCCGTCTTCCTTCCCAAACGCCTACTATGCCACCCCCCAGCCCTTACACCTCCAACCCTCAGCCTCAAGACTCCTCGTTTTCAAAAACTGTTCAAGCCACCAGTCCTCAACTGCCGCCCGCCCCACCCCACCTCCAACCCCCAGCCGTTCAACTCTCCCTCCCCCTCACACAGCCCTCACACAAACTCACACCTCCACCCTCGCTTGCAAGATGGGAATGGGGCTGCGCTGCCCACGCCGCCCACGCCGCCTACGCTTCCCACACTAAAGAATTCACCCCGCCCTCGTTGCCTCCCAAGCCCACACCTCCAACCTTCACAACGCAGCAATGCATCACCCACCTGCTCCAGCCCCCCCCCCCCCCCCCCCCTCCCCCTCACTTCTAGCACCTCGGTCTCCCCAAGCCCTCCCCCCTCCACCTCCCCCATAGCACCACCCTCGCCGCGTCCACCGCTTTCTTCCTTCCCAAACCCTCACCAGCAAGATTTAAGCACGGCAACGCGAAACCCGCATCTGTCTTGACACCCTTCCTGGACCCTTCTTATCAGTCTGAGAAGGCGTGAGGTCCCGCGGAGAAATCGCTTTACTGATGCTATCCGCGCTTCGACCACACGGAGCTTCCGCAGAGCGAAGCCGCACAGCGAAACATACATTCTTGCCATGCCAATAGACCGATACTTACGACCCCCCTATTGTCGCCGGTTGTAAGGTTGTAACCAATGCCATTACAAGACAATGTTTCCAGTACTATAGGCGGCGGTCGTCGTTCGTGGTCATCGTCATGGTCGCGGCTTGCAGCATCAATCCTAAGCCCTGAAAACCCTGAGATGCTTTCGCAGCTCTGACTGACCCTCCCATTCTCCGATATATTCTCCGAGCCTCCATCCTTCCAGAAGGAGAAGTGGCCGCAGCCACTGTGGCTCCTGAGATGTTCAGTGGAAAGTGGTCTGCCAAACTAACGAAGTCAAAAGAGCAATCGGCGGCATGATGTGGGATGCCACCCGAAATTCTGCAGGCGTTTGGGGATGCTTAGGCCCCACAGCTACATGTTTGGGCCTTTCCTGTCGGTTTTAAAAAGGGCATGGCAAGCTGAATGGGCGAGCAAACTTAGTCGAACGTAGTCATGCAGCTCTCTAAACCCTGGGCTGAGCTCGTGCTGGAGCAGGCCAGAATTTGTACAGGAAATTACAGGAAGCCTTACGTGGAGTTGAGCGTCGTTGGGCTTTCATTCAGGGGCGCTCCCATTCGAAGCAATGTGCGGGCGTGCCGATTGCATACATAAGTTCACCATGACAAGCCCCTACCTACAACTCCACAAGGTCCTGCTGTCAAAGTGCCCCAACATCGGAAAGTTCTGATCCGGATCGGGGCTTGTGGATGAATGACTGACAATTGCAGAAAAGGCCTTCCAAACGCAGCGCCTCATGATGTGTTACTGCGAACTTGAGGTCTAGGGCACGTAGCGTAGTGCTCCACTGTGCAGGGTCACTCTCTCTCTTGCGCCTTGTTAGACCCAAACCTAAAGATAGACCTACGCCATATGATGAGAAGATTCGAACAAGCGCTTTGGCAAGCAGCCGCGGACACTGCGATAGACCTGGCCATCTGTATGCCACTTGTTGCCAATACATTATAGTTGGCTTCGGAGGAACACCTGATACCGTTAGGCGGTGGATCGCTTTGGATTTTAGGTGATTTCTCTGCGAAATCTGCTGGTCATTCGGAGATTAGCCAACATTAGCCTTTACCTCATATCATGTTCTCTTGAGTACAGACGGACAGCAGTAACAACCTCACAGTTGCTTTGCTCATCGCACGTGCGTTGGAGGCCTCACCTCTACTCCAACACAAACCCCAAATGACAGTGGCCCTGTGTTGCAGACTTTCGGCCAGATGGTGGAAGCCAATGCAAAGCTGTGTTTCGAAGAGTATCATGCTCGCGCGACATGCGCCCAAGCCCACTCAACTAGTCCAACGTTTACATTCCGAATTCGGAGTTTTGCTTGACAGTTTAGGGTTCCACGCCTGAGGATGTTCCCTCTTTCGGAGAATTTCGGAGCTGCATACCATGCATCCTCCGCCTCACTGACATGGTCCTCACCTGCAACTGGACGTCCATTTTTTCTATGCACCACCCCTCAAACACCCTGGCAGCTGGCCTGTGCGTACCATGCATGCTGATGGCGTTGTTGGCCTTCCCAGCTTAGGCCGGTGAAACTCTCAACCTTTGTGGTTCTTCTCCCTTATACCAACAGTTTGACCGTGGTGGGCCTGCCTACCTAGCTGCTAGCTGATCTTGTGAAGTCAGCCGAACTTGGCCGTGTTTGCTATTCGCCGTTGCGTACTTGAAGTGTAAGGGCAATGGTACCCTAAACCCTAAACCCTTAACCCTTAACCCTAAACCCTAAACCCTAAACCCTAAACCCCACGGAGCCCTGAAAAGCCGGGGATCGGCGCCTCAGGGCTTGGTGGGTCGTCGGTACGGTCCCTTTTTGACCCCAATACCAACCCGGGTTGCCAGAGGGAATCTTCATTCCTTTGCAGGATCTACCGGCGGTTTGGGCCGTGTCCCAGGCTTCGCTTTCTCCTAGGACAAGAGCAAAAGCTTCTCGAAGCCACCTGTAAGGAAGAAAGGGTGTGCAACTGTTCAGCTGTCACAAGACGTGTGTCAAATGCAGTAGCTACAGCTACCTGTCTGCCTGTTCTATTGGGAACATGCAAGAACCTCTGTGGGCCTCCCTGTAGTAGACGCCGTGCTCAAAGCAGTCGTCGGTCTCGCCCACTTCCTCCGAGTCCTGTGGCCGGTACCCACTTCTGTTCTACCCACTCCGCGTCGCTTCCTCATGCCCCTGCGAACTCTAGACATGGGAGTAGTTCAGTTGCTGCTGTGTGCTCTGCTGAAGTGCTCAATGCTCCCAAAGCACGCTAGTAATTCATTCAGGGTTTAGGGTTTAGGGTTTAGGGTTTAGGGTTTAGGGTTTAGGGTTTAGGGTTTAGGGTTTAGGGTTTAGGGTTTAGGGTTTAGGGTTTAGGGTTTAGGGTTTAGGGTTTAGGGTTTAGGGTTTAGGGTTAGGGTTTAGGGTTTAGGAACTGTCAGTCAACTCCAACGTGCGAACCGATACTCTCGACACCGACGGACGCACCAGCAGCTGATCTGCAATGGCCGTCCTGGACGTGCTCGTTGATTTCCGCGAATGAGAAGTTTTCCAAGCTGCCGGAGTCATACCTGAGAGGGATGTGGGGCCTTCTTGTTTCACATGGGATACCATGGGGGTTTACGAAAGTAGGGGACCCCCATATAGTAGGATCCCCTGTTAACAAGGACCCCAATAAGGTACCCCTCATTTCGGAAACCCCACATGCTTTGTGGGGGAATCTGCAATCTGCTCCCCAGTCGTCCATGAACTGCACTTCTCGGAAAATTCTGGGGTCCCCCAACTTGCTGACGACGGTGAGTCCCAGCCCCCCGCCTTATGAGCAGAATCCTTCAACCCTTCATCTGCACATCGAATGGGGGGGCCTGAATAATTAGAATAGGGCTTTTTTTTGGGAGGTTTATTGTAGCATAAATCCAAGGGACCCTAAGGGAGTACTGTTAGTAATTCTTCCGACCCCATACATTACAATCTGCACATCTAACATAATGGCCGGAAGAATTACAAATAGAATTCCCTTCTGGTCCCTATATGGTTATACTACAATAACCCCCAAAACCCTACTGTAATGGCCCCTATAACCCTAGCCCTAAACAACCCTAAACCCTAAACCCTAAACCCTAAACCCTAAACCCTAAACCCTAAACCCTAAACCCTAAACCCTGAACCCTAAACCCTAAACCCTAAACCCTAAACCCTACAACATCCAAGCGCCATGTCTAGGGGCTCGGTGGCAAACTCCGAAGGCTCCGTGCAGGGCAGTGCGAAGGAGACCGGCTCGGCCTCCTCCGCCGCTTCCTCTGCCTGTGCCTTCCAGGTTTAGGGTTTAGGGTTTAGGGCTTAGGGTTTAGGGTTTAGGGTTTAGGGTTTAGGGTTTAGGGTTTAGGGTTTAGGGTTTAGGGGTCAGGGTTTAGGGTTTAGGGTTTAGGGTTTAGGGTTTAGGGGTTAGGGTTTAGGGTTCAGGGTTTAGGGTTTAGGGTTTAGGGTAACTAACCCTGTAAAGGGCCTTTTTGCGGGCTCATAGGATATAATAGCCCATGCAGGTTGTGCGTTCTTGGGGTTCAGGTCGAGGGCGTTGGGCGCTTGTAGGGTTTGAGGATGCGCGTTAGGTGTTAGGCTTCAGCTTCTGAGCTGAAATTGAGACCCGTCTGGCCAATACTGCAGATGACAGTACACAAACCAATGGTTGGGAACTTGTCGGGATACCTGGGCGCAAGCCGAGAACCCCCGCAATTTACATCACTAGCACGGAAAACACTTCGGCTTACTTCGGCATATCGCAGAGAACCTCGAAGCACCCTCACCCCCTTGGAACAGTACAACTCAAAGTGGTTGGGAAGGATCCGACGAAACCAGAGGCACCTTTCAATAGGCGTCACGATTCAAGCAGCTAGCTGCCAGCTGACATGAAAGTCTTCAGAACGGTGAATTTCTGGGCAGCACGAAATGGTGCTTGCAAATGCGGCGAGTGTAACTCTGCTGGGAACACCAGCAGCGTGCGAGGCTTTCAACATCTTCGCAGGCACTGCCAAATCTGAATGTGAGACCCTGAGCCCGACCGCACCTCCTGGCGACCCAGTCTTAGCTGGCGCAAGGACACACTGCACCTCGGCTCTATCTGGATGCTCACAGAGACTTTGGGGGCTTTCTTCAGTCTTTCAGTCAGGTTCAAGTTTGGGGCATGCCATCTGGAATGGGGGGCTTGGTGTGTGTGTGTGTGTGTGTGTGTGTTATAGGGTCTCGGGCCTCAACCGGGCAAGTGAAGCGACTGAAAGTGCTGAAACCATGCGTTTTTCAACATTTCGAAAAACAACCCATTTCGCAAGGTTCAACAACTAGGGTGCGAGGCTCACGAAACAGTGGCAGGCGTGGTACGAACACAAGCGCAACCAGTTTTTTTAGCACAGTACCCCCCCCCCCGGCCCCCCGTGGGGTTGTTTATGGTTTGCAGCAGGCTGACCTTCACAGTCCAGCTACGTCTATACTTGCCTTAAACCCTAAACCCTAAACCCTAAACCCTACACCCTGAACCCTGAACCCTGAACCCTGAACCCTGTACCCTAATTAAACCCTAAACCCTAAACCCTAAACCCTAAACCCTAAACCCTAAACCCTAAACCCTAAACCCTAAACCCTAAACATACTGCAGTTCGGCCACTCATCCCCTTCGGAGGTGCAGGCATCGTCGCCGGCCAGTAAACTGGCCTCTGCCTCCTCTGCGCTGGTGCTGACCCCTCGGCTGGAAGGTGCGCAGGGCGCAGGGTTTAGAGTTTAGAGTTTAGAGTTTAGGGTTTAGGGTTTAGGGTTTGGGTTCGAGAGTTCTCTGAGCTTTTCTTGTAGGGAACTCTTGCTCAGAATGCTTCTATGTAGCCTTCAATTGTTTGAGCACTTTTGGATGGCTGATGTAGAGGGGAGCGTCGCAACCGGAATTTTACAACGCCACAGGATGGGAACAAGCTATGGTTATAGCCCAGGTTGCGGACTGCTCATTTAATTTTACCCCACTTAACAGTCAAGAATTGGCGCCTTTCTGCGCCCTTGCTGTTGCGAGTGCCTACGCAGTGCAAGTACAGCTTTGGGCGCAATGATTTTGGATGTCAGATTATTCGTTAACTAAGGATGCTGCAACCTGTGGCGCAATATGGCACCAATATGCAATCATACTTTGGGAGCATGTCGGAGCTGCGTCGTGAACACGAAAATAGAGCAATTGCAATGGGGAGCAGCTGCCGCATTCCGAGTCGCAGAGTGTGCCCGTACTGAGCACCAAAAGGAAGGATCGCATCAGTGCCATAGTGATAGCCTGGGCAGAACATCGCAACCCGAAATCCTCTGAGCCTGAAACCCGTGAACTGCTTGTGTTGCTTGTTTTGCTTATGTTATTGCTGGTGCTGCTTGCTTTGCTTGTTTTGCTCGTTTTGCTTGGTTTGCTTGCTTTGCTTGCCTTGCTTGCTTTGCTTGTTTTGGTTGTGTTGCTTGTTTTGTTTGTTTTGTCTGGATTGGTTTGGTTTTGTTTGGTGTTGTTTGTGTTTGCTTGGTTTGTTTGTTTGTTTGCTTGCTTGCTTGTTTGTTTGTTTGTTTGTTGGTTTGTGTGTGTGGGTGTGTGTTTCAGTGTGTTGTGTGTGTGTGTGTGTGTGTTGTGGGGTGTGGGCAGGTGAGTGTGGGTGAGCGTGGGTGTGCGCGTGTGTGGGCGCTGAAGCCCAGAGAGATCTCTTGATCGTAAACCTGGGGAGATTCTCCCAAACGAAAACCCGAAGCCCTAAACCCTTAACCCTAAACTTGCAGCCAAGGGTCTGATACGTGAATGAACGCTAAAGGAAGTACTCAAAAAGGGCTTCAGCTCCGGGCAATAGATGGCAACAGCAAGCATGGCATCATGCATACATCATTCTGGAGGCATTGAACCCCCACACCTCAAGATTGAATCTTCCACGAGCTGGTAAGAATTTCGGGCTTCTCAAGTCGTGCCTTGAGGCAGGGTGCGGATCCTGCAGACATTTGTGATCTTACGTAATCGGGAGGTCCCGAAACCTGACCCAACGCCCTAAGCCCAAAACCCTAAACCCTAACCCGAACATCTGAAGCTCTTCACTGTCTCCTGTGGCTTCCGCGGCATTCCCACTTTGGTCTCTATGCTCACCATCGCCCCAGGAGGCGACTCAAATCGGCAGCGAAAAGGTCTGCCTTTCTGTCACAAGGGACGTTGGCACGTACCATGGCTACATGCCCGGGATCCCTGACTCAGCCACCCTGCATAAAATTCCTTGACCTTACGTAGATATGGCTCTGAGTTCAGCTGGAAACTCGAAGCATCGCAAGTCTTGGACAATCTTGGCAGGAACACGACAACCAGGTGGCGGCAATGAGTAACTTCGGTGGTGTCGTCACCTTGTTTCATCTTAAGACTTGGAGTTTCCGGTTTGTTGACTTTAGGGCGCACATGCACCGCCATGACCGGTTGCAGCCATGCCCAGGTCTTTCTGACTCTGCCGCCCCGGTCCTCGCGCCTAATGCGTCTAAGGTTCAGGGCTTAGGGTTGGCGAGTTTAGGGTTTAGGGGTTTAAGTTTAGCATGTAGGGGAGGCGTTGTAGGAGGGTGCAAGCTCTAGCTTTCAGATCTCGGGTGTGGGAGCTAGATGTTGATCTGAGGGTAGTTGCATGGTCCCTTCATATGCCTACACGACCCAAAGGCCCATACATCAGAACCCTTTAGGTGAGGTACGGGACCAGATTAAGGGCCCATATAACTACCCTCCGAGTTGATGAGCAGACAGCTTGCTCTAGCTATGTCGACACTCTCTCTGGAGGTCGGTGTCATGGCGTTGGCTTTGAAACGCATTGGATCTCTGCTCGCTGCAGCAGACCACTCACATCTTCAGAAACAGATCTTCTCCGCAATTCAAATCTTTTCCGCTCGGGGCGGGGGGTTTACCATCGCTCATATTGGGCGTAGCAGCTGCTGGGTTTTGTTCCCCTTGCAAGACATGTGACCTCGAAAACCTTGCTTTGTTTTTGCGTGGCAGAGAAGATCTAAGCTTCACATCCTGAGGCCCTGTGTCAAGCTCAGATAAGCTCGCATTCAAATGCCCAAACATGCCAAAACTGTCGCTAATGATAGGGGCTGCTGGGGAGGGCGCATGCTCAAGGTAGTTGGGTTTTGGGGCCCAGCTCGGCAGGTAGAGACGCAAAGAGTCTCTAGAAGCGCTAGCAATTCCGGGTCAGTCCAGGCGCCTTGGTCATCTCAAAAGGAGGTCTGCATTTGCCGTTCCCAGATGTGTAAGCCCTTCCCGTCCCTGGGGTTCGCTGGCAAGTATCGTGTTGATGCACTTCAACGATGCAAATACCGTGCGGGCTCATGCTGTTCGATGAATATGGTGAAGTACTTCACGAATACCTGGTGATGCAGATCACCTGGTGAAATCTGGTGAATTCTGGCGACGCACCTCAAAAACCCAAGCCTGTGATGCGGTTCGTCTAGGCTGTCTGGAGATCAATGGCAGGATGTGCTTATCCGGTCCCTCAATTCTTGTTCCCAGCTACGGAAGTGAGGCCAGCCCCGCGCCAGCCCCCAGCCCTATCGAACCCTAGCCAAACACCACAACCTGACCACAGGGGGCAGGAAAGCCGGGGCGTGATCATGCATGTGCTAAATGGCTAAATATTTATATAGTCTTATGGGGATTTACGAGAACAAGGGACCCCTACCTTTGACCCCCAAATGGTAGGATCCCCTTGTCATAAGGACCCCAGAAAGGTACCCCTAGGATCGCAATCCCCCTTACGAGTGCCTGTATAGCGCTTGGGCACGTAACTACCGCAAGAAACCAAACAAGTTCGCCAAGTGCCTGGCTGGTCATCTCTCTGCCTTGACTTCCATCCTGCTCCAAAAATTCTTCGGTGTTGGGGTTTAGGATTTAGGGTCTCCACCGTGTCACAACACGACCCGCAAGATATACATGCTGCGGTTTTGACTCGTGGTACAAATGCTGTGGTTTTGATTCGTGGTAGATATGGGAGCTGAGTGGTTGCAGCTTCAGGGTTCGATGATGTAAGCTGTCGAAGGCAAAAGGGATTGATGTGGACCTGATCGTACTCGCAGAACCTCTACGAAGCCCGGGGGCGCTCAAATTCAGAATCACTTAGAGGTCCCCGGGGAGTGAACCAGCCACGTTTGAACGTCTTTCGGACAGCTGGCATCTACTTAGGTCCCAACCCTGGAAAATCTCAACTTAAATTGAGTTTCAAAAAAACCAGCCCTCAAAGAGCCCCCGCCCCCCCCGCCCCCCCCCCCCCCCAAAAAAAAAAGAGAAATAATAAGAAACAGCCCCCCCCCCCCCCCCCCCCCAAAAAACACAAAAAAACAAAAAAAAAAAATAATATATATATATATATATATATATACATATATGGAGCGCTCTAGTGCGACCAAGCAGCTTCACGCGGCTGAAGCTGGCCTCCACTTTGGAGCGCCACTCCATCCGCAACTGGGAAGCTCTTTGGGGCAGAAGAACAAAAAAGGGGTGGGTGGGGGTACCCTTTGGGGGGGTCCCTTTCAGGGGATTCTAGTCTAACTGGGGGTATTACAGGTACCCCATTTTGGGAAAGACCCATTTAACTTTGGCTTTATGGCTGCTGAAGTGTTTATGGCAGTGAGTTGTTGGCCCCATGATAGCCTGGATGAACAAGCATGTCATGAAGCTTCTTCGCGAAGATTTGGGCTTGGGGTTTGTAGGTCGCACAGCCAGAGTCTCCTTCTGCCTGAAGCATATAGGCACACCCTGAACCTTAGACCCTAAACCCTAAACCCTAGTCTAAACCTTAAGAAGAAATTGGCAAACCCAGAGTGCCTTGGAGTCTTCGGGTCAGTGATTTTATAGATTCAATTTTGGGATGTTCCCCCATATCAAAACAGCTCCTATTGGGGGTATTATCATCCCAATTAAGGACTGTTAGTATAAGGGGGAACATCCCAAGATTCAACGGGTACTTACGACTCTTGCTTGCAGGAGAATGGCCAAGGATGCCAAAGGTAAGAGACCCGAACTGACACACACAAATATGCGTACGTCCACCGCTTGGGCGTTGCCCAGCAGACTCATTGCCGAGTATCCTGGTGTGTGGAACAATCGCATGACCACGTGTGCCATGAGGCCAATGAGGGGTCAGGTCAACTCTGGCCGTGCTGCTTCACCAGGATGTGCAGTACGATCAGTGCTTGCGCAAGACTACGTAAGACGCGAACCTCAAACCCTAAACCCTAAACCCTAAACCCTAAACCCTAAACCCTAAACCCAATGTGCAAGCCCAACTCCGAAAGCCTCGCTCTCCACCACCAAAAAAACTCAACGCAACAACCGGCAACGCCCGAAGCCCAAACGCAAGTCTGTTCAATTCTATACGGTCCTAGAGTACCAGCTGCCTCGTCGGCAGAGTTGTTGGCCAAGTCTTGAATTGCCGACAGCACCTGCACCATGTAAACCCTAAACCCTACAACCCGAAACTTGACAGGGCCGACAAAAGCTGTCCCTGACTAGACGATGGAGGACCATCAAGAATCAAGCCCAGCCTTTTCGGTGTCCTCCGCGAGGACCCTGAAGAACACAGGATGCGACTGGGTTTAGGGTTTAGGGTTTAGGGTTTAGGGTTTAGGGTTTAGGGTTTAGGGTTTACGGTTTAGGGTTTAGGAAGGTCTACGGCCCGCGCGTGCAATCTGGCTTTTCTGGGCTGAAGTTCCGTGTGCAGGTTTCTGCATGGCAGATCCGGGGTGTCATGTTTCTCATTGGCTTCTTGGGCAGGGCAAGGGACCCTCACGAATTCATGCTCCCCACAGAAATGAGAAGACGACACTTTAAAGGCCCATTTGCCTTTGGCAGCCCTTAGGGTCTGGAGGTTTAGGGTTTCGGGCTTCGCGTTCTCCAAAAAAACCCCACGGGTTCAGTGGGAGAGTTCACGACGACCGTTCACGACCCTGAAGCCCTCAAGCTCATACACCCTGACGGAAACAGGTTTAGAGTTTAGGGTTTAGGGTTTAGGGTTCAGGGTTCAGGGTTAGGGTTAGAGTTAAGGTTTTAGGGTTTAGGGTTTAGATATCTGCATACCAAGTGTCAGAAGCTCTTGTCTGGCTGCTGCCTCGTGGGAAGTGACTTGTTTTGTCTGAACCCTTTTGAGCTCCGCGGCATTGGGAAGCATTCACTCTTGTGTTGAGGGCGGACCTCTACGTGTTAGAGCTTCCCTAAACCCTAAACCCTAAACCCTAAACCCTAAACCCTCAACACTGGAGGCCAGGGCTTGCCCTCAGAGGGTCCAGACCCCCTGCCACTGTGTAGGGAGGGGGGGGCGGAAGGGGGGGGTTGGGATTTAGGGTTTAGGGTTTAGGGTTTAGGGTTTAGGGTTTAGGGTTTAGGGTTTAGGGTTTAGGGTTTAGGGTTTAGGGTTTAGGGTTTAGGGTTTAGGGTTTAGGGTCTAGGGTCTAGGGTTTAGGGTTGTCTCACCTCTCTTGCAATGATCTCACAGTGCGAGAGCTATCAGCGGTGGCAACCAGGGCCCAGATTCGGCTTGCGCTTATAGATGCCCTAAACCCTAAACCCTAAACCCTAAACCCTAAACCCTAAACCCTAAACCCTAAACCCTAAACCCTAAACCCTAAACCCTAAACCCTAAACCCTAAACCCTAAACCCTAAACCCTAAACCCTAAACCCTAAACCCTAACCTCGAAGTCCGGGAGCTATCTCTGCATCTAAGGGAATCTTGGATTCTCGCTGGCCTTTCCCAATCCTTGGCGAGGCATCCTCTGGCCCTTTAAGGCCTAGACCCGACCCAAAAGATGTCACGGAGGGCAAAGTTTAGGGTTGCTGTAAATCTCAAGTTTTGCTTGAACACCGCCGCCCTAACGCCAGAAACTCCTTACCAACCCATTCCGCTGCCATGACCCTAGACAGTAACACCAAACCCCAAACCCTAAACACTACAAACCCTACAAACCCTACAAATCCTATAAACCCTATAAACCCTAAAATCCCTAAAAACCCTAAAAACCCTAAAAGCCCTAAACCCTAAAATGCACCCGAATGCTCGCCTCGGATTCAGCAGCTGCCTGTGCAGCGAGCACAGCATCCTCCTGCACATATGGGGGTGTCCGGGTTTAGGGTTTAGGATTCGAATGTTCTGAGGTCGCATGTAAGGATGTGGCCGTCAGGGTACAGAGTTTCACGAATTGATGTCGCAGTTTCGGATAGAAGGGCAGAGGCTTCAAGAACGCACTCCGAGAAGAGAACTCAAGCAGCGAACTCGGCGCCTTCTCTTTCAGCAGAGCAGCCTTCTCCTCCTCAGCGCGTGCCTGGCTAGCCCAAGAGTGAATTGAGGGTTTAGGGTTTATAGGGTTTAAAGGGTTTATAGGGTTTTCAGGGTTTAAAGGGTTAATAGGGTTGAGAGGGTTTAAAGGGTTAAAAGGGTTTAGGCAAACGCACACAGAAGAGGGAGGAAGCGACCCGATCTGGGACCCCTCGAAGGCATTAATCTGAGAGACGTGGGACACCACTACGGAGACACACTTTTGCAGAAAAAATGACGGCTGAAACTCCCCGCAAGGAGCCTAGACTCAGAGAGCGCCTGTTAAAGCACCAGGGTGGGGGATGGGACCAGCCTGGGCCATTGTACCCTATAACCCCTTAAAAAGGCCCTTTATAGGGTTGATTATGGGGATGATAGGGCCTAATCGCCCATCCTGGAAGGGGAGGGGTGTCGGATTTGGCTGGTGATCACGCCTTCTCCTCCTCCACGCTGGCCTGGAGACAAAGCTTTCAGTCAGTTCCTCGAAGCAACAATTTAAAAAAAAATATATATATATATATATATATATAGAAACTATATAATATATACTATATAATATATACTATATAATATATACTATATAATAAGGGTTGTCAAGGGGCTTTTCGAAGGCACAGCGGCATAGCGCAGGATTCTTAATCACAAGAGCCACTGGCGCCAATAACTCTCCCCAGCAACCTTCCTCGAAGCTCCCATCGGCTTCCACCAGCCCTAAACCCTAAACCCTAAACCCTAAACCCCAAACCCCAAACCCCAAACCCCAAACCCTAAACCCTAAACCCTAAACCCTAAACCCTAACCCTGAACCCCAAACCACGCTCCTAATCAGCCCAACCGAGAACCCTCAATGGTTTGAAGTGTGCTCCACAGCTTGCCCCCAGGGTCTCAAGGGTCGTTCTGCCTGATACGTAATACTGCAGTGACGTGTATTCCAAAAAGAGTTCCTACGTGCAGTTGCTAGAGTTTTCTAGTCCTGTGCTATGGTTGCCGCCTCCTTATCTGAACAACTCCCACGCCTAAGATGCCACCGAATGGGGCACCTTTTGGATGTTGGACTGTTGAAAGCTGCTGTTGGCTGTTGGGGGCTGTTGGCGCAGTGCTTCGGCCCAACACCCGCCCTACAAAGCTTGCGGAAGGCCTTTGCAGCCTTTGCAAGATGTCCTGCTCCCTTCCTGACCCACCCGTTGTGCCTTTTCATCAAGCGCCAGCGCCTGCAGCTTTCGGAGTTGTGGCGTTCAGGGGCTGTGGATCTGAATCAACAAGTTCTGGGCATAGGCGGTGATCCTTTCACTCCTACACTGCAAATACAGTACTGTATACTTGACCAGGCACAGAGGGAATGTCGCAACAAGCAGGGGCAAACCTAGAATACAGGATTATGGACTCTCCTGTCGGAGGCTGTTTGAACCTTCACCTTGGGCTACGGTTCGCTCTGATTGCGCACGCTACTACACCACATCAAACCATGAGTGCTCCGCGTGGTGCTCGGGCATGCAGCAGGCATGTTCGGATCTTAAATCAACTAGAAGGCGCACTGTCCTTGCCGGAGCCTTCTCAGCAACGACCGCCACACATCAACGCTTCAGGACCCGAAGTGATGGAACCAACCAACTCAAGCTCAGGAGCCTCAGCCGTCTGTGCTTCCTGGGCTGCTTGCAGCGCGGCTTCCTGTAGGCACAGAAACCGCTACCTTAAACATTTAAAGAGGAGGATGTTCCCATGTTCTGATGTCTTTGCCGCACCTATTCGAATCAGCGCACTTTGGAATCAACTTTCTATTTGAGATGATGACTACAACTTTGAAGAGGTGCGGCGGTGCAGGTGCGGCGGCTCCCGCCAACCCTGCCCCATGCTTTAAAACACTTTAAATTACCAGGAAAACCCACGAAAAACACTTAAAATTACCAGGAAACCCACGAAATCCGTCACGCCATCCATCCATGCATCATCCACCACGACATCCATGCATCAACGATAAAGCAGAACCTTCCCGAAGACCACCTCCGCTGAAAAACCCTCGCCACGCTTTCGGACAAAAATCCGCCTTGCACCCAAATCCCGTTTCTTGTTGGTTCGGGGCAGCTAAGGAGCGACCATACATTCGAAATGTTTGCAATTTAAAGCAAAATACCGCTTTCCAGGAAGAGATATGTTGAATCCACTAGCAGCTAAGAGATGGACTTCACCCTAACCCGCTAACCCGCAGATCTCCTTTTCCTCGCGCTCCGCCTCCTTGGATGTGGAGGAAGTCGCTGAATGCCAGGCTTCTTGGGTTTAGGGTTTAGGGTTTAGGGTTTGGGGTTTAGGGTTTAGGGTTCTTAACGCTCTTGCATTATTGGTTTGGGGCTAGCGTTCCAAGGTCCCTATATTGGACACCCCCATTGAGTGGATGGGGTTTTGCAACTGTCCGGGACCGATTCCCGGGTGTGTGGCGCCTTGTTCAATCATCTTTGTAGCATCGTAACTAAGCATACGAAAACGACGTACATGTGCATTTATCCTATGCAACGTGTCATAATCCTATGTGTAGAATTACAATACATATATATATATATATGTATATATATGTATATATATATATGTATATATGTATATATATATATATGTATGTATATATATATATGTATATATATATGTATATATATATATATATGTATATATATACATATATTCTGATATTACTCCTTCAGGGGCTCAGGCTGAAACAAGAGTTCAGAGTTTGCCAAGAGTAAGGTTCTAGGCTTGAGGGGTTTGTTGAGGGGTGGCGGGAGCTTCGAAAGTTTAACAGAAGAGGCGCTTGCCTTTCAGATCGTGATGCACGCACAGCCACAAGCACCTTCAACCAGTTCTCATATGATATGTATATAGACATATCTATAATACCTATATATATATATATATGTGTATATGTATACATGTATACACATGGCATGTATCAAACAAAAAACACATGATCTTTGTCAGTCCAAGTTGCCGCAAGCGCTCTCACTTCAGCAAGTTCCTGCAGAGGAAGCAGGTTATCTTCCTACCAAAAGAAAACCCAAAACCCTGAACCTTGAACTCTAGACCCTAAACGCCTAACATCCCTAAACTCCACACCCAGGCAATACAGAGCAAGGGAGGTAGCAAGCAAACCATCGCACCTGCCGGAGTTTCTCCATTGCCTGGTCGCGGGCAACTCGGTGACGCTTTGACACACTTGCTTCTCCAACAACCAAGGGGAAAAAGGTTTAACTTTATTATTCCGACTACATAATAAACAAAAAATAAGGTTAAACTTTATTATTCCTACTAAATAAGGAAACCCAAAAAATTAAAGTTCAACTATTGGCCAAGTAAGCAGAAGCGAAACGAACTCGAAGCCGCCGGGCCTTGTCCTTCATCCGTTCCTCCACCGCCTGCGCGGCGTCGGCACGTGCGGTGCGGCTGCTGCACTTGGTGCTGCCGTTGCGCCTCTTCTTGCCTGCAAGGAGGGCGCCCTCGGGGTTTCCCCAACTCAGTATATATATATATATATGTATATGTATATGTATATACAGAAGCATCTACATGCATATAATATATACATATATGTATATATGTATATAAGCATCAAACTTTTGGTTTCGATCACCCCCAGCCCTGTAAGGCCCATGCGCTTCCCCCCCCAGGTGTTCCCCGGCTGGTCCCTGGGGTGCCGACGCTGCTGAGGTTCCGAAGAGGAGGACTTCGCCTGGCATGTGAGGTTTTGATAGACTTTGGGGGCCTTAAAAATAGAACAGGGTTTCTTTTGTTTCATTTTTTTTTTTTTTTGGGGGGGGGGGGGGAATATAGTAGAAATATATGAACGGAGCAAAGGGAATGCTATTTGGGGCGGGCTGGTTCACGATGGTTGGCAGCCTCCACATCTTAAACCCAGTGCTCTCATGCCCCATACTATTTCTTAAGTCTCCAGGAACCGAAGGGGAAAAAGCTTGAACTTCAGTATTCCTACTAAATAAGGAAACCCAAAAAGCTTAAAGTTCAACTAGTGGCTAAGTAAGAAATCTTCTACACTCCTTCTATACCCTGTAAACATGCCTTGTGCTCCCCGGGCCCAAGCTCCCTGAATCTTAGTGGGGAATGAGGGACCGAGGGAACGAGGGCCCTATATATCCCCTTTAAGGGATTATATAGGGCCCTATATATCCCCTTTAAGGGATTCTATAGGGCCCTAATTCCCTCATTCCCTACTAAGGACCAGCCAGCAAGCCTCGCTCTTGCTGCGTGCGCGTGCAGCGACCAGCTTGACCGGGCTGCCTTCGTGGACAGGAGCCAAAGGAGCTGGTTCTTGGTAGGGGAATGAGGGAATTCCTATAGAATCCCTTGAGGGGGATATATAGGGCCCTCATTCCCCCATTCCCTACTAAGAACTAGGGAGACTACCCGAAATCCGCTCTCCGTGAATGACATCCACGCCCAACATGGTTCCAACACCCGAAGAGCTGTGGGTCTGCGGCTCTGGGGGGTCTACTACGATATTTGGGGTGCCTTAATGAGGTCCTTATGATCAGGAAATCCTACTACCCTAAACCCTAAACCCTAAACACTAAACCCTAAACCCTGTTTAGGTGTAAACCCCCATATGGGTTGGGTCAGGGATCTTATATCAGCTTTCCCTTTTTGGGGCACGCTTGGTGCCACATTGAGGTTCCACTTAGTTTCAGCCAGGGCCTTGTTGTTTACCCTTGCTGTTTACACTTCGGCTTGGGGGCGGGGATGCCCATATAGCCCACATGAAGTAGGGTTTATATTTCTTGTACCCCCAAAAGGACACCAAACATATACACTCACCATTCTTAAACAGGAACTTTATATACACTCACCAAGAACAGTAACATAAACCCTGCTTCATATCATCAACGGAATCATACCACCATCAGGAAATCATACCATTGACATCGCCAATATACATCAGAGCCAGAACATGGCGACAACGTTGTCAGTTCGAAGGGGCTTTGCGGTACCCAATGTTGAAACCTGAGACCTACTTCACTGGGAACACCCTGGTATTGGGAAGGGCGAAGAAAAAAACGGTCAGAGCACGACGTGGGGTTCTGGGATCGACTCAAGCCCGAAGCCCGCTAGCGAAACAGGGGTGCCCCCCTAATACACCCGCAAAGACTATAGTCCTGACTTTAGGAACACCCCCCCCCCCCCCCCACCAAAAAAAAAAAAAAAAAAACAAGGGTACCCCTATCTTCGGAACCCTCCCCCCCATAGGTCCGAATTGCTTCACAGCTTCGGCTGCGGCGATCGCTGACTCTGCTTTTCTTGATGAGGTGCTGCACGAGTTGGCCTGGGCAGCAACGAGAGGGGGGTAGCAGCTTGTCCATGTTGCCAGTGCTCTTCGTTTCCCATGCTTAGGGCATGCTGCATACTTGGCATGGCGTTTTTGGTTTCGGATTGTACAGACTGTTGGGGGTGGGGAATTTCGGATGGTTTCGGGCTCCAACTCTATGACTTCTGCTTCTTTTGTGTTTTTGACTGCAGAGTTCTCACATCCCCAACAAAGCTCCAAAATGAAGAAGAAGGCCTGTCGAAGTGCCGGAAACCTATGAGCACGATCCTAAAGCCATGACCACCCCAAAACACTCCACATCGCAAAGGCCCAAAACAAACGGATCCTGCGGTTCCAAGCCTTACGCCTTCAGCCAAACCCCCGTCCAAAGCAAGCACACTGTAACACTAAAGCAAACGTATCAGCTTACGAACCCCCCACCCCCTCCCAACTGCAAAAACACAGAAAGCATCGACCGGCATGGAGCTTTCACAACAGAACTGCAAAAAACACTGCGCTTTTCCGGCATTCTATGTCCCACCATGGAGTGCTCTACTTATATAAACATACACTAATGCTGGTGATGCAAATGCGGAAGGATGTTTCGTGCGCCAAGGACAGAACCCAACTCGCAATTCAGAGGCAAAGCTTGGCACACTTCAGGATGCCCACCGGGTCACCCCTATTCCCCCGGACACCCGGGGGGGGGAGGGGGAGGGGCTAATTGCTGATGGGAGGAGGTGTCTGACGTGTCTGACTGACACCGGAGAGGGGGCCCGGGAGGGGGAGGGGGGACAGATAGAATCTGACGGACGGACGCTCCAACCGGTAACCTCTAACTTCCTTCGAGGGGGACCCGACGAGCGGAGCACCGGACGGATCCTCTATAACCTCTAACACTAACCTCTATCAGACAACCTCGAACGGGCACGTATCTGCGCCCTAAACCCTAAACCCTAAACCCTAAACCCTAAACCCTAAACCCTAAACCCTAAACCCTAAACCCTAAACCCTAAACCCTAAACCCTAAACCCTAAACCCTAAACCCTACATAAAATGGCACACCCAGCACGTGCGCATAAGTTTGACTTAGTTTGACAACTTGCTGAGTCCTGCTCCTGTACGATTTGAAGACTTACGAAGCAGAGTTGAAAAACCGCCAAAACGAGTGCTCCACTTGCGGTGGCTTTAGGCTAGAGGGATTGATTGCGAATTCAGGACGTAGGGGAAGGCCCAACTCCCAAATCCTACGTCTTCTCGATCTTAGCTCGAGCCCTTGAGAGACTTAGGCCACAAGAAAGCAAGGGTCCTGTGATTGCGTCCTTCTTGAGGGTTATCGTAGGGATTTCGGATTTTTGCTTTAGGTTTCGAAGTTCTCATAGGTACCCTAGTGAATCCTAAACCCATGAGTTCCTCATCTAATGCAATCCAGGCCCCCAAACACTGGCTGCTATAAACGCTGAGCTCGCCGCTGACATACCCCGTCCTCGTCCACCACTTGGGCAGCTCGGAGACTTTGTTGAGCTTCACCTCCATTTCAACTTGAAAGGGGCAGGGCTCACTAGAGCAGGTGGATCATACAGGCCTTGCCGGCTGATGATGCTCCAAGTATGTTTGATGATATGAGAACACCCGCTGAATGCTTCCAGCTACCCACTTGGATTGTGGTTCCGTGAGGATTTATCCATTCGGTTCGACGGCCCGAAAGACTTTTGAGCTCATTGCTGTAAGGGTCGGAGTACCTACAGAGTAACTGCCTGCAACCCTGAACCATCGCAAGCCTGATGCAATGGTGGCTTAAGGTTCGAGGGCGTTTGACGTTCAGGCTGGGCTTTAGGATTTCAGGCGTTGCGTGGTTGGGTTGAGGGTTCCAGGGTTCATGGTTTTAGGCTTTAGGGTTGATTCACCAAAGTGCAGGCTTTGAACCACCAAACGGGGTACCCAGAGTTTACCTGCCCTTGGGTGGGAGGGTGCGCTTTGAGGCAGCGGGGAGTAGGAAGGGTGCGGGAGGCGGGCGGAGAGAGGTGCTTGGAGGGGCAGTGGCACCCTCAATGTTATTTGGTAGCCTTTTGTTACGTTCACCTGGACTTGAGATGCGGAGCATATGGTGCAAGGCTTAGATCTTCAGCCCAAGCTGAACTTTTGTGGCTATGATTGGGTCGCAAGAGTTTAAGGCGAAGGACCTAGGCTTTGGTGATCGGATCGGTTTAGGGTCTCCACACTCCCTTTCAACACCTGCCGAGCAGAGCCTCACCACCAAGAACTTCAACAAGCCTTGACCTCGAAACATCACTCTCAAGCTTGGGTGAACCCCGAAACCCTAAACCCTAAACCCTAAACCCTAAACCCTAAACCCTAAACCCCACGCAAGCCTGGCAATCTTACTCCCATGCCATGTTTGCAGCCAGGCGACTGCCCCAGCCAGGAGAATCACCATGGCCAGCATGCGCTTTTGCCTCAGGCTGTCAGGTCAAGCGTGAGTTGTCCCTCACTTCAATCACCTTGGCTTTAAGACGGCGTGCCTGAGTGCGTACACGTGCTCATCAATTCAGGAGCTAGGCTCGTTGGGCTTAGGGTCAGGTTGAACTTTTGTGCAGCGGTTGCGCAGATGTTCTCAGCCCGGTTCTGAAGATGAAGAGTCAGGAATACTTTGATGCTGTCATGCTCCTGCCCAGACTCCAGGTTGGAAAAGGCGGAGTCCCCCACCCGCACACCCCTCTGCACCAACGAGACGTGCGCGGGCTCCCCAATCAGACGTGCACAGGGGAGTCCGCAATTTTGGAGCTTCGCCCCGAAACACCGAAAAGTGGACTCTGCTGCACACAGAGGGAACGAGATATACAAACGAGATGGAGCAAACAACATTCCCCGAGCAAAGAACAATTGTCTTGGAAGAAGCACAGTTCGGACTTGTCCCCTGAGGCCCCTAGGCTCCGATCGTGGCGCTGACGCTGCACGAACATGAGCATGGTGTGTGTGTGTGTGTGCCCGTCACGGGAACCAGGCCACGCTTAACATTTGCAAACACAGAATCCGGAATCTTTTAAACCTCGTCACCCCTAAAACCCATAAATTCTTGCCAGAGCCTGTGCCCGTATACACCTCCTGAAACGGAAGCTTTCAACACAAGGGGGTTGGGAAACCTGCTGGGACCAGTTGGCGTGCTTGCTCCGATGTAGGGGTACGAGTCTTACTTCCTTGATATATTGACCGGGCCCGCAACAACAAGGTTGATGGGTATTGGCCCACTGTGTGGAACTTGTGCAAGGAAAATTGACCGGGCGCACCAACTTTTCTGCTTGCTGGTGAGGGCAAGAAAGCCATCCAAAATCTTCTTGTTGTGGCTGAGTGCCCATCCAATGCTTTAGATTAGCGCTGTGGGCTCCAAATTGCATGTTATTGGCATTGGTCAACACCCATTTCCATGTCTACGTACTCTGTTGTCAATCACCGTCAATGACCATTTGGATATCATCCTTTGTGGGTCGGTCCAATTCCAAAAATTAACCGTCCAAATTCCACAAACAAGGAACAACGATGGCACCAGTGCTTGCTCTTTCAGCATTGGGTTTAGGGTTTAGGGTTTAGGGTTTAGGGTTTAGGGTTTAGGGTTTAGGGTTTAGGGTTTAGGGTTTAGGGTTTAGGGTTTAGGGTTTAGGGTTTAGGGTCAAGAAAGTAAGCGCTATGTCAGCACCAGCAAAGAAGCCTTTGTGATCAAGTTGCATCTTGTTGCCACCGCCCGCGATCGCGGCGTGGCGCTTGTAGTCAAGCACGCCCCATATGCCACGCCTAGGGAGAGTGGGATGTAGAAGTGGGATTGGGGATCGTATTCGGAGCTCGTGCATCTGAAACATCTTGGGGCCTCATCAACACGCCAATCCCAAGATCGAGGACCCCTAAGCCTACACCTGAAGCGTGCAATACCACTAGTTGCTTAAGAACCCCCTTTTGTGGAGGGTTCTTCTTCTCAGGCTAAGGGCAAAGGCTTGGGACTTCAAGGCCTGAGAGGTTTAGGGTTTAGGGTTTAGGGTTTAGGATTTAGGGTTTAGGGTTTAGGGTTTAGGGTTTGGGGTTTAGGGTTTAGGGTTCAGGGTTTAGGGTTCAGCTTCTCAAGGGGGGATTATGTACCATGCCTGGACCGCTTTTAAGCCCCGAATTCGGGCTCCTTAGGGTTTAGGGTTTAGGGTTTAGGGTTGAGGGTTTAGGGTTTAGGGTTTAGGGTTTCAAACCCAAGGAGCATGTGGATCTCGGAGAGCTCAATGACCCTCGGGTAGGACTCTCTCGTTGCCCAGCCCGGGTCCTGGAGACTGGATTTTGCCCAGCGGAGTTTGCTTGCGGTTTAGGGTTTAGGGTTTAGGGTTTAGGGTTTCGGGTTTAGGGTTTAGGGTCAAGAGTGGTTTAGTGGTTCAGGGCTAGGGGGTATGTAGCATTGTGCCATTGAGTGACTGACGCGAGTATTCTAAGAATGCTCAGCTGTCGCGCTTCGCGTGTGCTTCAAACAATCTTGTCACACAAGTGATGCGCCTTTGGGGGGGGGGGGGGTGGGGGAAACATGGCATGCCACCCTCAAGCACGAACACTTGGTAGCCCAAATATCTTATAAAAAGGCACCCTTTTTTGGGTTGCTTATTTTATAAGGGAAACCAGAACCCCAAAAAAAAGGGTAAAGGGTACCACTGGGCTACTGGTACCAAGAACGTGAAGATGTCCTCCTGGAGGGATTCATCAAATCCCCTCACCATGCAGATCGCATGCTGATGGATCCAATGGACCTCAAGTCGCGAATGCGAGGGCTTCGGGAATCGCATACAGGGGCCTTAATAAGCGGGTTTCTATAGCAAAATTTCTAACCGACCCCTATAGTAGGGTTTGGGCTCTGGGCTTTCGTGGTTGTCTAACCCTAAACCCTAAACCCTAAACCCTGAACCCTGAACCCTAAACCCTAAACCCTACACCCTAAAGGCCCAGTAGCAAGTCCTTTGAGATCACCACAACGGCCATAGGCCAAAGCCCAAGCAAGACATCCTCTACCTGAAGCCCTCCTGGTTTAGGGTTTTCTGGTTTAGGGTTTAGGGTTCAAGGTTTAGGGTTATATAACCCCAAATGGGGGTTTCCTAAATTACGAGTACCTTTTTGGGGTTCTTAACATAAGGGAGATCTAAGTCTATATTGGGGGTCCCCTATTTTCATCCACACCCATATCCGAAGCACTGTGAATCTTGAGGGCCTCCTGCAGCTTGGCGAGCTCATCGCCGTCCAAGAACCTCCACCAACATGTCAGATTCGCATTTGCAGTCACCGTTTCAAGTTTGAGCGGTAGTTCTTGGAAGCCATGCTGGACAGTCTCTACGTGCATGCTAGAAGGTACTAACCCGCAGATACAATCCTGGCAGCAGCCGGACAAAGCAAGCCTCATAGTCTGTAGGTCCTTGTCTCAACGGCCCGCAGCAAAATCTAAACCCTGACTACGACAAACTCCTTGCTGAGTCCGCATCTGAACCCATGCCGTCAGCCATTGCACTCATCCCGGAACCCTAACGCTCCTGCCATTACGCATGGCCCTGGCCGAATGCCCCCAAAAGCCTACACCACAACATGAATCTATGACAATAGCCACGCAAGCAAGTGGCAGGATTTGCCGAGTGCCGCCGTCTCTGCTGCACTCGATCCAGCGGAAGCATCGCAGAAGCTGCCTTAGAGAAGCCACACCCAAACGGTCTGTTGGCTTCAAGGGGCACCCCTGTGCGGCTTGATGGTCACCGTTCGTCATGGGTTTCCCTACTACCCCCCTCTATACTACCGCCCCCCACCCTTAAATAGCCTTAATTAGGGTAGTATTGGAAAATAACCTTAATTAGGGCAGCATAGGAGAACCCATGAGAGCTAGGCGGGGACCTTCTCAACAACTCCCCCAGAATTCAAGTCCCAAGCGGCTTCAGCGTGCGCTCATCCACCTCAGTTTGCGGCGCCTCCATGGCTTCGCCCTCGGCCCTCGGGTCTTGGGTCCCAGGGAGCTGCTTGGCACATGGGGGGTTTCGTAGGCTCCTCTTAGAATACGGCACCCCCCAATAAATAAGGTACCCCCCCCTAATTTCGGAAACCCCCCAGAGGTTTCTTGGTAAACTTGTAGAGGGTTCAGGATGTAGGCGCACGCCGCCCAAGTCTTTTCGGGCATTCTCGACTTCTCAGGAGGCGGGGGTTGAGTGAGTAGGCCCAGCTGGCAAATATGACAAGGTAAGCTAAATTGCTTGAACCACTCTCACTCGCGAGTCTCTGATGATAAGCTTTTCGTTAGTCCGGACGGCTTCGTCCCAGACCCGCACCTGCAAAGCCTCAAGCCTTAAGGTCTAGGACGCAGAGGTCTAGAAGGCTTGAGACTTACGGGCTACCACTTAAAGCTGCCCGTTGTTTATGTTGAGTGGGCTTCAGGTTTGGGTCGGGTGTTTAAGATGCCAGTTCTATGGGACTTCATGCGCGCCACAACATACGGGGTTTGCTTAGTGGGAGTAGCCTAATTCGCCTCAGCTCCCGGCCGAGAGGCGTGTAGAACACGCCGACCAGGGCCTCCTTCCCTAAACCAAAATTGTGGACCCACCCCCCTTGTCTGTGGGACCTGCCCGAATGCCACAGGCCGCTCAAACAGAGGGCGCGCCAAAAACATGGTTCGACGTTGAAACCCTGAACCTGCCGGGAGGGACTCTTCGGACCAACCCATGCAAACCCCAAACCTCCTCAAACCCTCCTAGCTTCTCCCGAACTCTGTGCACGCTACACCCTTCGTTGGGCCGGCCGGCTGCCCAAGCGAACTCCCCCCCCTCCCCCCAATGCACCCCTTCCTTCCTCCGCGCCCTACCCCGCGCCCCCCCCTGCTCCCCTCCCCCCATCCCTTCCCTGAGTTCCCTACCCCTCACCCGCGTGTGCAAGCGCGAATTAACTAAAACCGCATGCCAGTGCCCTCATCTTCTTTTCGCGCGATGATGGCTTCGAATTCTCCACGTCTGTACGCCATTCGCCCTCCCACTTGGGAAAATCAGTTCGGGCCCGCGACACAGCCACAGATCAGCAATGCGAAAATAAGTGTTCCAAGATATGGTCCCTTTTCTAGGTCCACTTTACGTCGAACCGTAACCCTGAACCATCATATTGAAGTTTCCTTCGTCGATAATTGCACCTGCCTCACACTCCTTGAAGACGGATCTGATGGATGCCTAAACTGGGACACCTTCTACCGGCTTTAAACTTTGAAAAAGTAGGTAACGGAGGCAGGTTGAGCTGTTGAGCAAAACACCTGAACCCGGCAACTTCGAGACAGAACACCCAAATCAGTCTCTGGATGAGGTCGATTGCTGTCGGCTGGTCCCAGGAGTGGAAGGACAATAACTAGCTCGGCCATTCGCAATTCGCAGTTAAGACTAGACTGGCAAAGGATTTTGCTTGCCTAAACCCTAAACCCTAAACCCTAAACCCTAAACCCTACACCCTAAACCCTCCTAAACCCTAAACCCTAAACCCTAAACCCTAAACCCTAAACCCTAAACTACGGTTCATCAAATGCCTGAGGCGTCTGACATGTCGGGTCTGATGGTTGAGGGACTTCCTAGCAGCGAAGCGACGCCCGAACTCACATGGCCAGCCGTGCAAAGTTCCTGCGGGCTGGGAATCTTATCATCCCCAAACCCTAAACCCTAAACCCTAAACCCTAAACCCTAAACCCTAAACCCTAAACCCTAAACCCTAAACCCATCATTCAAACTACCGGGTGCCTGATTGGAGCCTTCAAAAGTCGGGCCTTTCGGGGCTTCGGGTTTAGGGGATGGGGATGCAGGAGCCGGATTAATTCCCTAAGTGTGTCCTGATCCTGCAGAGGCGAATGTGTGATCAGGACGAACGGTCCCCTCAATACTGGGATAAGTAAAATCTAACACCAGTGATCTCGCCCATGAAAAGCCCCCACGACAGAGCAGGGTGGTTCAGCTGGAATTCACAAGCGGATGGCGAGGCGGCAAGGCTTTAAATTCTTAGATCTTTAAAGGAGCCTAGGCCTTCAAGGCTCAAGCCGCACAGGAGCGTTGATGATGAACAAAAGGTACACGACTAGAGAGAGCGAAAGTGAAGGTTGGGGGGGGGGGGGGGGGGGTCGGATACGATCGAGGGGTGGGGGCGAGGCCAGGGGTTGCGGGAGGGCGGGGAGGAAAGGGGTAAAAACACGAAGCACAACACCCTCGAGGCCATGCACACCAAGTTCTTGCCACAAACCCGACGTCTGCAGATTGCGTTAAGGCCACTGTTCCCCGCCCAAAGCCTTGCAAGCTCCAGGACCCAACACCCCCAAGTCCCTAAACAGTCCGACTGGAATGAAAAATGACTGTTGCAGGCATCGGATTTCTACAAAGCAATTGCAAATAACCTTGCCAGGAGCATCAACAAACAAATCCAAGAACCGTAACGAAAGGTAGACATGTTGTGGGAGCTGCCTCCCTGTCTGCATGTCGCAGCGATACTCCAGGCCTGCCTTGGCACAAAATCAGCAAAATCAACACCCAAGCCAAGACTTAACCGACTTGCTGAAACCGGAAGGCCCGGCAAAACCGGACCGTACAAACCCTAGCATGGGTAGGTCACATGAGGGACCGTCCGACCCTCAAACTCACGCTGGAACCACAGCACTCGCAGGACTCTCATGAGGGCACATTCGTGGCCGTTGCAGTTCAAGTTCAGCCGTCATAAGACACAAACATCAACAGAGCTCATTGCAGAGCGTGCTCTTCAAGCACTTCTTAGAAAGTAAGCGGCCCACTGCACAAATGGCGTTGCTTGGGACTTCCTGCCACTGCGTCGTGGCCTGTGCAGCAGAGGCGCATCCGGTTTAAGATTTTGCGGGGTTCAGGGTTTAGGGTTCAGATTGAGGCCATGCTTTCAGATGTCAAAACCCTTGACGAGCATAGCAGGACATGGCAGATCCGAACCACTTGAGAAAGTTTTCTCCAACATCTGTATCCAACCCCCAACTGTCAACCTCCAAAACCGCCAGCACATCCCTGGAGGCCTCGAACCATACTTTGCCCGCAGGAAGTCTCAAGTCTTGGCCTGGCACGACCCACATCAACATGCAGAAGACGTCCTCACATAGAAGAAGGGCCTACACAAGAAACATGAGCCGAAGGTAAAGGAGAAACTGCGTCACTTTCTGGTCAGGGTGCTTGGATTTTAGAGCCAATGAGCCCGAAACGCATGGCTTGCAAGAGAACGCATGCCGCTTTTGCATGCACAACTTGGGAACCTCTGAACTTTGCAACATGTGTCACTGCTCAGCAGACAGCATGCAGATGTGTGGAATGGAAGCTACGCGACACAGCCAATATGGAGGTGCAAGGGGCTCCAGGCAACTCAAGACCTCAAGCCTGAAGCTTTCAAGCACTGCGACACCCTCAATGCTGGAGGATCCTAGCACCTTAATAACCCTAAACCCTAAACCCTAAACCCTTAGTCTCAAACTCCTCTAAGACTGAAGCCCGAAATCCCGAAGGCTCCAGAGCCCCTGAAGCAGGCTGAAGCCCTCGAACAAAACTTGAGAACAACGAGCTGCAAACCTTGATGGCTAAGGTCGGGATGGCTATGCGCAACCAGTATGTCCGACTATCCGATTGCTGTTCGGGTTGTTGTGGGTCTAGAGCACTCTGAGTCCTAATTTCGAGGCTTAGTTTAGTATCATGGGCAAGCCAGATTCAAACCTCGCTGGCGACAGCGTTCATCACGGAGTTGAGAACGTCGGAGCCGAACTCGTTCCCGCAGCCTCAGGCGGTCGGGCAGGGATATCGTGCTTGAGATGAAAGCATTGAATAAAGGCTAAAGGCCATTTTAGGGACGACAACATCTTCCCATGCTGCATATCCCTTGAGTGTGTTGTCGTTTCATCGAACTCTGATCATTACCCACCCTCAGTGTGGGGTTGCTTGGATTTCAGTCAACCGTTCTACGCGCCTCCTTGCTCAGCCTGGTCCTTGGACTGCCCACCCCCACAGAGTCCCGCCGAGCATCCCCGGAGTGCCTATCCCGAAACAAGCCCGCGGAGAGTCCCACCGAGTATCCGTAGAGGCCCACCCACCCCCCCCCCGCCCCCCCCCCCCCCAAAACAAAAAAAAAAGGGAAACAAAAAACAAAAACAGAAAACAGTCCCGCGAGCATTCTTGCCAGAGGCCACAGGAAGGCCACCAAGGAGCCGCTCTGCAAGCACCGCACCGAAGATGTGGCCGTACTCGAAAAGAATCTCGTGCCAGTGCCGCCAAGCACCTCCGGTTTAGGGTTTAGGGCTTTGGGTTTAGGGTTTAGGGTTCGTTCTGCATTTCCCTGAAGCCTCAAACCCGATTGCCTACTCCCTGAACTTCCTGCACTCGACAGGGTTTTGGGGGTCCGGGGTTTAAGATGTTGCATATGTTACGCTTTCCCGACAGGTTCACTTGCGATGTGCTGTTTTCGAGGGCTTTTGCCGGAAGTGTTGAGGGGCATAAGTTTTGATGGTGGCGCATTTTGTTCGCAAGCTGTTAGGGGGGGCAAAGGTTGTGAAGTTGGTCTAGTTTGTTGTCGTGTCAGCAGAATTTACCAGAAACTCCAGATAGCATTCGGCTTTGAGGCTTTGAGGTCCCGAAACCCGAATCGTCTTCCCGGCTATACCCTGACCATAAAAAACTAGGCACGAGCTCTCGTCCGATTCATGTGTAGCACATAACTGCCCACATATCCGGGGAGGCTTAAGGCACTTGCACAAGCGGTGTGCTCACAGCTTCATTCTTTACAAAGATATATAGGGGTTAAACGTTCCTTGTTCGTGGGGCCATGAGTAAAACATGTACAGGTCTTGGCTAGCAAGCCATGACTTATGATGGCGGCTACGCCGCCCGCTTTCGGTGGGCCCACAGGCGCGTGCTCAAGCACTGCGCCGTTCTGGCCGGGTGGTGGGATCACATCACTGCGTCCGTTCATGTTGCACAGCTCGTGCACATGCTCCTCGTAGTAGATGGCAATACTGCACCTTGATTCGTAGACAGCCATCTCAAAGACTATGGCAAAAGGCAAAAGGCCGCCTGGAGAAAGCCGAGAAGTGAAACCCCCAAAGCCGAACCCTCATCCTTACACAACGATATGCAGGGAGGTCTACAACCCCAGAGTCCCCATAACCTCGCTCCTTCGAAGCCCTGAAGCCCTCAAAGAGCGAGCCTTCCAGCTTGCGCTTCGCAGCCTGCGGAGCATCGCCCGCCAGGGATCTCCTCGGACTCCCGTGAGCACGGGGCCCCTGCTGCCCTGGAGTCTCAGCCTCCAAAGTCCCAAGCTGAAAGCCCTTATAGTCCCCTGCAAAAGACCGTAAACCTCAACTGAAACCTCCAAAAGACCTTGGACCTGGCCTGGCTCACGAACCCAAAGAAAAATGTGCGAGCCGTGCAGCTCCCAGGCCACCAGATCGTCTGCCGCGGCGTGAAGGTATTCTTCCAAGCCTCTTGCTAGCACCATGACAGTTCATGGAGTGTCGTGGTCTCTTCCATTGAGCTACAGATGCTAAAAGGAATAGGCGCATGGTAATAGCGGGGTTACAGTCGAAGTTGTCATGGTTGATGCCCGGGGAGGTCGGTGCTTATACCGCCTTCTGAAGAAATAGTTTGCCATGAGAGTAATGCGCAAAACCCACATGTTGAAACGCAGAGGGCCCACAGCCGCTCCTTCGACATCATTGCCGAATCCTGAAACGCCTTGACAATTTCCACAAACACCTACGAAATCTTGGAGATGTCTGAAACTAGGGGCGTCTAAAGGCAGCTGGGGTTTGTTACAGCTAGGGTCGCACAAGCATGAGCATCTTCTTAGTGATAGCTAAACCGCGGACATCCGGGATGGCTAAAGACCACCTTGAGCGCCGGATGGACATTCTGAAAGTCCCTATTTAGGGTTTAGGCTTTAGGGTTTAGGGTTTACGACGGACACTCTTGCAACACTCAGACCAAACTGTTGTTAACCTCAGTCAAATGATCGATGCAAGGTCCGAAGCTTCAGGCCTTACCCGCTCCCCCACGCAGGGGTCTAGACCCTGAACTTCTCCAACAGCCGGGAGTTCAAGCTCAGATCCTCCGGGTCAAGCCTCGTGCATCAAACCTAACTAGGCAGCCGAAGATTCAAACCCCCGAGGTGATGCCAAGGCGCTGCCGCACACATGGCCGTCACGATGTCTGATCCGATTCAGCGTGTCAAGCTCGGATCGCCTTTTAATCGAGCCGTCGTGAAAGGGACTGTGTAAATTTTCAGTGTGTCAAGCGGCACGCATGTACAGGGTGGCGTTGGGGGGGGGAGAAAGGGCGGGTACCCGAATGCTTTTTCGTTCGCGACACCGGCTGGTGACTCCCTGGCGACCTTTATGACCCCCTGGTGAACCCTGGTTGCCTTATTCTGCAAGTCCGTCTTACCCAAGTCTCACCCAGTGACCCCGTGGCGAAGCGTTTGGCGATCGGCTTCCGGCTTTGGTGTCCCTTAGAAGGCGTTTCTCCGTCACCGGAAGCCCGGCAACACCACAGGGCAAAGTAAAAAACAAACCCCGCAAATAAATTGCCAAGAAATAAAAGTAGAAAAGATTTTGATTATAAAGAGCGCCTTACAGAGCATATTATCAACGCATATTTTCCCACATTCATTTCTATCACACATTTCATCTACTATGTTATGGGCGATTTCTCCATTTAAAATTTAATTCATTTCTTTCTCCTTTTATTTGGATTAACATTTTATTTGGATTAACAATATTAATACTAAAATGTCCAAAAGAATACAATGAAATTATACGGGATTTTATACGTTCAGTCGTTATTTTAATATTCTCTACAAAATAAGAAAGCGAAGCGCATACAATTCTCTTATTGGTTTCGTTCACGCGTGCATACAACTAATTCGTTCAGTAAATTCACTTATTGTGTTCACCTGTTCTCTCCACACGGGCCAGTATTAATACCGTCAATGTAATATTATTGTTGTGCTGCACGATAAGAGACCCTAATTTGTGCCCCTATTAAAAGTAAAAAGAAACAGCCAATTTTTAGTGTGCTTTCTTCACCTCATTTCGTGTGCTTACTTCGTTCGCAAACTCAATGATTGAAAGCTTGTAAAAATGGTATTAGAATAAGGAAGATATTATAGCCCCCTTAAATGCTGTACGAGTACGCAATAAACGCACGAATCATGCGATCGCTCTCTTCATTCGCTCGTTGTATTCTCTGCGTGTTATTGCTCATTTTATTCACACGGTTCTCCCACACTCGCAGACTCTGTTCACTTTGAGACAGGATTTTGGAAGAGGAAATCATGTGTGACCGCTAGAAAGAACTGGGTGATGAATCCAAGGGTCTAGAACTGTGGGTTTCGTTCACATGTTCTCTTCGCGTTCTCTATTATAAGGAGTAAGTGAGCCAGCGAACACGACGCATGAATTGAGAACAGAGTGAAGAGAGCAATGTGACCCAGACTTTTAGTACCAAATCCAGATGCTTCTAAGACAGAACGGGGCGGTGATGCAATATTAATATGTTGGCAGTTCAGAGAGCAAAGTAATGATTACAAAGATGAAGCGTAAAGATAATATGAATAAAGAGAAGAGAACTCCTTATAAATTTAATAAAGAAAAGTTACGAAAAGAATATTATCATTGTAACGTAAAGATAATAGAAGAAAATAAGGAGTAAAAAGCACGAAGATAATAAACCAAAGATACTACTCGAAACATTCGCGTGCAACCAGAAAAACACAACCCTTCAACCTCAAGTCCCTAAACCCCATAACCCTAAATCCTAAACTAAATACTAGACCCTATAGCCCTCAATATAGTAAAGGGTTTAGGGTTTAGGGTTTAGGGTTTAGGGTTTAGGGCTTAGGGCTTAGGGCTTAGGGTCTGCGGTTAGAAAATAGCTCAGACCGGGCCTGGAGGCTGGGACTGTGTCGGGGTTCTCTGCCTCTGCAGCCTCCGCCACGCGAGACCACTGCCTCCAAGCGCTTTAACATGGCCCTTGGTTTCGGGTTTCGGGTTTAGGGTTGAGGGTTGAGGGTTTAGGGTGAACCTAAGCCAAGCTTTGGTAGGATGTCGAGGTGTGCACAGGCAGCACGTAGCGACTGGGGATTCTGGACTGCGCTTGGAAGATTGCATTAGGATTCGGGATGTCTATAAACCTATAATTTAAACGCTTGACACCCCCTTTAGGATCAAAGAGGCTCAACTGCCTGAAGCCCCCGAGACTACGAAATCCACTGAAAACCCTAAACCCTAAACCCCAAACCCTAAACCCTACACCCTAAACCCTAAAGAGGCTCTGAACATGGGACGCCCTACTACAGAAGCGCCTCACCGCAGCAGCAAGTGCCGCCGCTCGCAGGCGACTGGGCATCGACCGGCTCTCCTGCAATGGACCCCCAAAAAGGCACAGGGTTCAGGGTTTAGGGTTTAGGGTGGTTTAGGGTGGTTTAGGGTGGTTTAGGGTGGTTTAGGGTGGTTTAGGGTGGTTTAGGGTGGTTTAGGGTAGTTTAGGGTGGTTTAGGGTAGTTTAGGTTGGTTTAGGGTTTTTTAGGGTTTAGGGTTGAGGGTTTAGGGTTTAGGGTTCAGGGCTCCAGTCTAAACTTTGGGAGGTTCAGGGAGTTCCGAGCAGTTTCAGGGATCCGAGCTTTGGTACTTGCGGTGTGGGTTTCCCAAAATAGGGGTACCCCTTTTATAGCCCTAGATAGAATAGAATCCCCTTAAAAGGAACCCCCCCCCCCCTTCCCATATAAGCCCATTGCCCTAGGAAGTGCAAGGCGCCTCTGCATGCGAGAGCACGGCCAGCAGGCTGGAGGGGTCAATCTCCTTCGCGCAGAGAGCTTCGCGAGGCGTTTAACGTGGCTTGTAGGGCCCTCTCGGCAGTGCGGCGGTAGATATCGAAACGGCTTGAAGATACATCTCGACAAGAAACCCTCAACCCTGCGAACATCCACATTCTTGAGGCCGACTGCGTCAAGTCTTGGCCTCCTGCCAACAACCCCAACAAACGCACATCGACATTGTAAGATCTTCACCCCTGCAACATGGCCTAAATCGTAGATCCATGAACCTGGGGTGGAAGTTAGCGGAGTTTCGGGGAGACGAAACTGCAAATCCTTCAACCCCACCTCAGGCTTTCAGGGCCCAGAAGCCACAACAGTCCTCGGGTCTGGCTAGCAGGGACTCCAGATATGCCTCCGCAACCCATCGAGCGTGATAAACACAAGTTTCACAATTATGTGCTTCGATCATGACCACCCTACAGCTACAGCCGAGGTGAGAGCCATCCTTCTACTTTCGGACGGGAATTTCAGGATTCTTCACCGCAGGCTTCTGTCGCAGGACTCTGCCAGGATGCTCGGAATTCTTGCAGAAATTGTGTGAGATGCTCTTGGGGTGAGCACTCCAAGGATACGTAGCAGGACCTGCTTGTGGGTGGGGACTCCAAAGATACTGGGTGAGCCCTCCAGGCATACTCGGCAGGACTCTCTGCAGACTTCTTTGGGGCTCGGCTGGACTTTCTCGGACTCTCTGCGGGCTTCTCTGGAGTGGGTGCAGGAGCCAGGCCCACCGTGAAGGAGGTGAGGAGCATGGTTGACTAAAAATTCAACAACCCTGCAGTGAAAAAAAAAAAAAAAAAAAAAAAAAAAACACCCAGTCTGCCCCGAGCTACCCCGTACTTCTCAGCCCTGAATCCAACGAATGCGGATGCCTCACAGCGCCTGCGCACATCAGGCCAGTCCTTGGCCCGACCCTCATTACAAAATACATGGTGCCCTACATCCTGACTCTTTAGCAGGTGTTGGATGCGCAACGAGGGCATCGAGCACTTAGCATAATCTTCCAGCAGTCGTAATAGCACGCTCATGACCCCAAGCTCAAGGCCAACAGCTCTGCGAAGTGGCGGGCCTGGCAACCAAAGAGGGACACCGAGCCGGGAGGGCGTTTCTATTTGGGCCAGCAAAGATCAGCAGCATCCCTAAACCCAAAGACCCTAAACCCGTAACTTGCATCAGACGTTCTCAGACCGGGCAACTGCGGAAGGATTTTCCAGCAGATGCGAAGAATGGTTTTGTTTAATCCCCCTGGAACATGAGTCGGTACGCGACAAGGAGGGTTTACAGCCAACTAGTTTACGGCTGATTGTTGAGATGTTCCCCCTTGTACAAACAGTCCTTATAGGACTTGTAGTACCCCCTATGATAGTCCCGATTAAGGACTGCTAGGAAAAGGGGGAACATCCCCACCCATAGATTTCCTGGAAAGTCGGTCACTTCAGGGGCTTCGCTTTTGGAAGCACCGTCTATCAAAATTGCTACTTCGAGGGTCGATGCATGTGACGCCCTTCGCCCATACGATTCATGACGACAGATACGAGGATGGCGAACCCCAAGGGCCCTCTCCCTGCACTGTTGAAACTTCGAGATCCCAAAACGATGCCCAAACGCGGGGTTTCCTCAACTACAGGAGGCTTCGCGAGTGCTTCGTCACGCGGCGGGTTGCACATCCTACGCGGCCTGTGTGAAAGTGAGGCCAGTCTGTGCCCATTTGTGTGCAGCAATCAGCAATATCAATAGGACTCTTTCCACCATGGCCTCGGAACTAGGAACTGTGGCTCAGCTTCTGCAGTGGTCCCAAAGTAATTCTGCGAAACTTCGATCTGAAAGAAGCTTTTTGGGGCATTGAACCATGTGGGATGCGAGGCTCATCCCCAAGCTGTGCGGACACCGGCCTCCAAAATGTAGTCGGCCTGTGGGAGCGGCGGAGGGGTTGGGGTCGGCATTGAAGGGTTCCTAGGGTTCTGGACAGAGTAGCACCTATCCGGGGGTTCCGGAAATAAGGAACCCCTACTATAGACCCCCAAACTTATAGTAAGATTCCCTTATAAAAAGGGACCCCACGGGCACATCCATCTTGGGGGTTGGCCATAGCTTTCGCCGACTATGGCTTGCACAGCCGCTGTACACAACAAATTCCTGGGATAGGGAGCATTGGGGGTTCACGATATTCGGGGTAATTACCTCGTTGGGGTCCTGATTCTAAGGGATCCATGGGAGGTACCGATGGGAGCTGAACAGGTTACTTCACGGATATTGTAGGGGCGTGCTTCGTACGCAGGCCCAAGGTTTCGGTTCACGTGCTATTCTTGCAGACCCGTCTCTCGAACCCCTTAACTCTACAACTGCCACGAATTTCAAGCTCTGAGACCTGAGGGCCCTACATCTTCCAAACCTGAAGCCCGAAAAGCTGGCTAGCATTTCGTAACAATTCCTTGTCACACTAGGGCTAGTCCAAATCAGACGAGAAGGCAACATGAAATTACGCACGAAGGATGGAAACTGTGTAATGGTCTATTGCGTCTTAAGCCCTCAGCTTCTGACCTCGAGCTCTCAACGCAAAGCTCGTTGTGGCGCTTGTACACGCCATTGCATTTTTGCACAGTGCGGAAGCGCGCTTTGAAGCGACAGCTCGCGCAAACCCAGTGCGGGTCTTTTGGCCGCAGAGGACTGAGATGCCGCGCACGTTAGGGAACTAAAGTTCGGGAATGGCCAAGGAATGCACCTTGTAGCACTGTAGACAACATCCTTATCCGCTGTGTGTGAGGGAGACCTCCACATCGTCCGCGCCGTAGCGAAGGCGCAGAAGCATCATCGTGGCCTGGTGTAGGATTATGAAGTTTATGGATGTTTAGGGTTTTGGGTTTAGGCTGAGGGCTTAGGGTTGAACACGCTCAACATTTCATCTCATTTTGTAGATGGTACTGCGGTTGTGAGCAGACATCGTGGGGACATGTGCCAGCACACGTGCAAGCGCCCATTTTTTCAGACACAAATGCCAAATCCAAACTCCAAGTGGACCGGAAGTCCCAAACTTTAAGCCCCTCCCAGCGACCTGGTGTTCACCAACTTGAAACATGTGCAGCGTCGCCACCCGCAGCGGCACCCAAAATCTACCCCTCAAAGGCTGAAAAGAGAAAACTAGTCGGTTTGTACCACGCCCTTCATAAGGGTCGAGACACCACAGGCTCGAAACAGCTTCCGCCTCCAAAACGGCAAGCCCCCACTACCCTGAGCGAAGTCCTCAAAACCCAAGACCATTTGAGCAGTCGGAAGGACCTCTTCGCTGAGCCCTTCCGGCATGGTTACGACGTTCCCTTCCACAAGTTGGGCCACTTTGGCATCGGAGCATGTTGACGGACTTAAGTGTGTTGAGAGGACAGGCTAAGGCTTTTGGAGGGATCACTGGGGAGGTGGGAAACTCTGTAAACAACTTGACTCTTGGCTTCAGGGTTCATCTGCGTTTCATGGGTGGCTTCAGAACTTCAAGTAACTTCTGCCTTTGAGACCTGAGGCTGCTGCCTGTTGCGAGAGCACAGCCGCTATCCTGAACTCGCTGTTACGCTTCGTTGCTTGCGCCGCGCCGCGGTGTTGACATTGACAAGCGCAGATCTCCGGCCCTTCAATTGTCAGAAGGACCTGCGATGGAGCCTGCATTTTACCTGGGGGCTCGCAGATTTAGAGTCTAAATCCGGACTTTTATTCGGGCTTCAGGTTTTCGTAGTCCCATGGAAGTCCACAGTCTTCAAACAAATCTTGGCCAATTTTGGGGTTTTGAGCTTCAGAAGCTCCCTGCAGAGACCCGGGAAGATTCTGAAGATATACCCGCTGTGTTGAACACTGTGTCACAAGAGGCTTCGGGTGCTGCATTGCAAGCACGTCGAGCAAAGAATGCCAAGCTGGATCGGATGCTACCCTAAGCCCTAAACCCTAGACTCTAAGGGTCTAAAGATGTCTAGAGTTTCGGGCCGGCAAAGCCCTGATCTCCCGACCCTGCCTCCTGCTGAGTTGTCAGCTGGCCAGCGCAACGCGGCGGCAAAATAGTGCCCATCCTGGCCAACCCGAACACCCTGAATCTACTTATTATTTTGTTGTTATTATTATCATTACTATTGACTAGCAATTATTATAATATTATTATTCTTGCTACTATTATTGTTAATATCTTGAAAACCTGAGGGCGCGTATTGAGCCCCCCCAAAACTTCAAGCCAAGCTGACTTGGCCGAGGCTCGTGTGTCATGTTGACTTTCGGGAAGATGGCTATCAAAATATGAATAGTGGGACAGTGGGACGCATTCACAAGGGCTGACTCCTAGCGACGGGGGTTATTGGCTTCCGGGCTTCCGGTTGCCGGAGTTTAGGGTCTGACCCCCACAAACAGTAGAGGTCCAGAGCCACCCGAAGGCTTTCACAGGTTCGCGTCGTCAGCTTGGTGACCCTACTGCAAGCCTCAACATGACTTCAATTCGAATTATTTTTGACAATTTCACGCAGTTCCGCGCATGTCCGTGTCGGTGCTTCGATTGTACTGCTGAATGTGTCAGTGGTATTAGATCACCTTCTCAGTACCGTACCGACGCACCCTCGACAACGGCGTAGCTACAACAATTTGAACAATTTGAACAATCCTAAAACCGCTTGGGGGCTAGCCCGGAGATTAGACCCTTAACTTTCAACTCTAAACACCTCACACCTGCTGGGTGTCTGTGTTTAGGGCGTCAGCGGCGTCAACCACCGCATGAGAGATCTGTTGCTCGTACAGCCACACTCGTGAAACCCTGCCGCACAAGCATGCCAAACCTTCCAATGCCTTATGAAGCAAACAAACACCCGAAGTATCCCGCTCCACCGCTACCTGCCTCGTCGCGAGGCCCTGCAAGCATGCAACGATGGGCAGGGACCTGCCAAAAGGGCTAAAGCCTAAACCTAAACTCTTTTAGAGCGTGTGTAGAGCTGCTTTCAGGGGTTCGGTTCTTGGGATGGCAGCATGTTCACAAGTTAGAACTAACTGCACGGATATGGGGGGAACTGCCCAAAAACGACACCGTGTTCAGACCCTCCACCTCATTACATGCCGAGCGGAAAACTTTTTTAGTTTCAGCAATCCTAAACCAGATGGGGGCTCGCCCGGAGACCCTTCATCTTCAACGCCCAATGCGTCACACCTGCATGCTGGGTGTCTGTGTTTCGAGCTAGGCATAGCTAGGCGCAGTCCTGGGCTCTTAAAGTCTAGCAGTGTAGCATGTTTTCCTGATTCTGGCCGCGCTGCTTTGGCGTGTCCCGGCGCCGCTTTGGGTACCCAAGGGGGCTTAAGGCTGTGAAGCTGCCATGTGCGCGGCATTTGCAAATTCGCAACAATGGAATCCGCTGCCATTTCTCCGGACAAAGTGTGTCCTCTGTTTGCGGAAGTCCAGAAAAGTCCGTGCGGCCTGCGTGCTGTCACTGGGTCGACCTGCTTGGCTCCCCCAGGGCTCAGGTTCAAGGACCAATGGTGCAAAAGCAGCACTTCAGCTTGCCTCGCTAGGGCCACACCGAGGTAGTTTCAGGGCTTAAGATTAAGACCCTACAACCCTACACTTAAGAGTGCAGCTTGTGGCGGCCACCGAACTCGAGGGACTGGTCTTTTGCAAGTCTTTGCCCCCGGGCCCGGGATTGCACCCCATGCTCGTAAAAAGGGCTGCTTTCAACTCGGCAAGGTCTGTGGGCTGTTTTACTTGCAGAGCATGGCGTGCAATCCCGGGCCTGGGGGCAAAGGATTTGCAAAAGACGCAGTGCCTTGAAGGGGCCAGACACCCAGAGGTCTCGCTTTCTGTAAGTCGTTGTTCTTCGACCTGAAGTAGCGGTGCCCATTCGTCTGCTCGTCTGGCAGCCGGCTGTCCGGCAGTCGTAGAAGTGGAAACAGTTCCATGGCCGACTTCGGCACAAGCCGGAGGGGGCCAGACACCCACAGTCTCACATTCTTTCATTTCACTGTCTGTTCTCATCGGCGTCGTCGATGCTCATCCAGTGATCCGAAGAAGGTCTTCTTCTCGCATGCCGATCATCGGGCTACATAGTTCACGGCACTGCCAGCCCATGCCGATCGTCAGAATTCAAAGCGCTGCCAGGCGTAGGGTCTTAAGCCCTGTAATTTTCCAGAAGGAAAATCTCACATCCTAGCCCTACGCAAAAGCAAACTGCTTATGGGTGGAGCTTAGATGGTGACGAGGCTGCATTCGCAGCAAACACGGACGCTGCTTCCAACATGTGTCGCGCACATCCAAAGAGGCTTCGTTCAGCGAGAATCTACTCCCGGCAGCTAGCCTATACTCCCCTGGGAAACTTAATAAAGATGATATGTTTAATATCCTCTTGGGCTTTATATAAACAAAAAATAATTCCCAAGGTGGATATAGTAACAGCCACTCACTCGCGACTCCACTCCCGAGCTTCGACGTGGCCAAGGGCATGTTGGAAAGGTAGAGGTCCTGCAGCGATGCGCTTGTTAAGAGCTATCTGCGTTCTGCAGTGCGGACTGTCTAAGCAGGATTTTCTCAGCCCAAAAGTCACGGTGCCAAGAAGAGACTCAGGACACAAAATCCTAGGGATGCACATTCCAAATCCACTCTTGGCGTCTTCGTCCTGCTTATCACGAGCACGACGAGGACGAGCTCCACCAGTGCAAGTTCTGCACAGGGTGCAGGCACGAGCGGGCATGAAGCCGTCTGGAAACCATTGACAAATATCACCCAACCCAACACACTGAAAACCACCCAAACCCAACCTCCCGCGACATTTCTTTCCATGAGGAAGGCCCCAAATCCCGAAGTGAATCGATGGCAAGCTGTGCTCCTTTGTAATAGACTTTGCTGCGCAAACACGTACATTCTTGTGGTAGGACAGTCGGGATGCACTGTATCCGATATAGCTACTGTTCCTGTACCTGCGATGCATGTCAGGATGCTTGTCATAGCTACAAATCATGTAGCAAGGTCATGCATGACATCCTGCCGGCCAAAAGGCCTGTCCGCAGTGTGGGCATGTGTAGCGGGCCCGTGGAGGAGAACTCAAAGCAAGTTGATCGTCATGATCGTCCTGCCTGACACATGATAAGAATGGCCAGCTGAATGTTGCATCGCTCTTTGCAGTGGGCCCGGGCTGCTGGAATGGGGATACTTTTCCGTGCAAGATTCATTGCAACTGAGAGGTTGCAACTACGACCCGGTTCGAATACATGTGGTGAATCATCGAGGCTCTTGTGGTAAGACGAGAATGATGCATTCTGTTGCGTGTATCGGACACGAGCATGTCCTGAGTGATTGGTGTGAGGCACCCAGACCAAGCAATTGCAAACGCAAGAAGCAAATCCTGTTCGAGGCTTAGGGCTTTAGGGTTGAGAGTTGAAGGACGCCAGGATCCCTTCAACAGGGTACTCCAAACACCAGGATTCCATGGTTCAAGGGCTTCGGGCTCAGGGTTCACTCCTCCCGCCACCCAAACCCTCTCAAGCTCAATGATTTGTGCTTGCAAGAGGCTCTCTCCGGATCTAGAATCTAGGGCTTGGGGTGTTCAGGGTTTCGGGTTCACTCTGGGCGCGCCTGAACCCAGTAAGCTCCGAGGTGCTAAACGCCCCGTACGGCTTTGGCCTGCGCATCACCTGGGTTCAGCTTGGGGGTTTGGATGCTGCAGTCTTAGGCCTTAGGCCGATGGGTCGTGAAGAAATTTGGCTTCACTGTGTTGCCCTAAACCTTAAACCCTAAACCCTAAACCCTAGACCCTAAACCTTAAACCCTAATGACTACATGGGCCTGCGTGGAATCAAGCTCAGCCCCGTGACAGTGTAAGACTACGCCGCTATGCTGCAATCCCTAAATTCAGAAGGCCACTTCTGGCGAAGCGAACTAACCGTATCTGGGAGCCAGCATGTATAACCAGCTCATATGAAGTAAATAATTGTTTCACATGTGGTCGGGACAACCGAAGATGGCGCAGCAGTGTCATTCAAGACAAGTGTATCCCCCGGCGCCTACTGCAGCCAAAAGGCACTGACAATTTCGCGTAGCTGCATCGTACTTTTAGTGTCCTGCTGCTGAACGACTTTCATGCAACCAGAGCCCTACCTGCCCCTCAGCCCTCGATCCCGAAACAGCATTATTGCCATGGTGCGAAGCAGCTGCGTCAACAGCTGCCGCTGCTCCTCCGCCTCAATCGAGAAGCCCAAACCTAAACTAAGCCAGCAGCTGGTAGTTTGCTTTAAGTTGTCTACGGTCCAGGGTTGTACATTTGCTGAGTCTGAGAACTTGCCGCCTCTTCATGTGCCAAATCAGTAAACCCTTACATCCTGCAGCCTGAGGTTGCCAGAAACCAAACAACCGTTTCGGGCTCGGGGTGGGAAGGGGGCTTGACTCCATTGCGAAGGCAAATGGCGAAGGCAGAGGACGGGATGTACATGCGGGGGGCTGGCTGAAAGCACCAAGTCTTAGGCTAAACCCTCAACCCTCAACCCTCAACCCCAAACCCTAAACCCTAAACCCTAAGCCCTAAACCCTAAACCCTAAGCCCTAAGCCCTAAACCCTCAACCCTCAACCCTCAACCCTAAACCCTTGTTTGGCATCTCCGGAGGCCTTCGCTGACAGCTCTGCCTGCTTGCCCCTCTCCAAAGCAATCTGCATTGTGAGCTCCTCCTGGTCTGGAGAGCAATTACTACGATTTGCTTGGGGTTTAGTGTTTAGGGTTTAGGGTTTAGGGTTTAGGGTTTGTTTAGAGATTAGAGGTTAGGGGTTAGGGGTTAGGGTTTAGGGTTAGAGAATAATCTCTATATTTCCCCTTAGAAGGAAATAAGGAAGGATATCACACACGAAAGCGGGCTGCGTCGCTAGCCAGGTTAGGCTCTTCGGAACCGAAGTTCCGGAAAACATTAACTATGCACAGAAAAGGAAAAACTCTCGAGGTGTCCTTGGCCTGCTTAACACGGCCGAACTATGTGCAGGGAACACCGAGAGAAAGCATTGAGGGCTTAACCAGTTCCGCGAGAAGCTCGGCGGCCTACGGCTACTCACTGGTTTGGCTCTATACAAAGCCCTAGGCAAATGTTCTGCAGGTTGAACTGCCTGGTCTGTACTGCCTACCCTATAAGCCCTGCCTGTACAGGGGAGAAACTCACCCACATTCGGCTCACTCAGAAAAGGCAGAAGGTCCGGAACCGACACATGGGCAATGCCTGTACAAACTGCAAACAAGTGGATTGGCAAAAGTCGCCAACCTCCGGAACAGGCCTAAGCTTTCTCGCACTTACTAACCTAGGCCCCAGAAACTCATGCCGCAGCAGCACTGAGCTCCTGTTTGCCCCGTATGCTGACCTGGTTTTCTCGCACTTACTCACCAGGGAGGAAGAACCAACTTTCTCGCTCTTACTCACTGATTCAACCTCAGCGGCTCCAGAGGAACCCACACCACTTGCACGCAGGGAGGGCTTGGTTGATTTGGGCATCTCAGCTGGGCAGGCTTTCGGGCACCGAGCCACAGCCTTTAACCTCCGCAATCTGGTGCCTCAGGCTGTCCGTCAGCCTAGGTTTTGGTCCCTAACAAACAACGCCTGCCGCTAGGCTCCTCCTGGCTGGGCTTGCACCACCAGGAGAAAACAACACACCCTGCAGGGACAGCAAAGGAAATACTCAAAGGCCAAACACGGGTAACCCCAAACTGATGCAGGGCATCATGCCCTCGGCCTCAACCTGCCGGTGTACTTGGATCCTCGTCCGTTCCTCAACATCTCAGCGCGCAACCCTCCCCTCATCAACCAGTGAGGATCTACAGGGACCGGTACTGACGTTTTCCGTGCGTGCGCTGCGTTTGCGAGAACCCCGTGTTGGGCCTGAAAGTACCCGCAAGCACCTGAGCCCGAAAACCCGGTCCAGCGGTCTGCTTGACAGACCGAGCAAGGGTGCCGAACCGGTGTCAGGCTGAACACAGGCCGCATCATGGCGGCCAGTCCTGCCGGGTGTCCAACGGAACAACTGCGAACCTATTCCGTTGGATGGAAAAGGGGGTGCCGGGACTGGGCACTGAACTGCTTTCGCTCTAACCTGCTTCCTTATGCAATCATTGCAAGCAGTTTCGCTTTGATTTGTACATCCTTGCTTGAAAAGGAGAGTCTCCTCTATGACATTGGATTCCGGAGGGGAGAGTCTCACCCTTGATTCTGGCAGGGCATAGCTCCTGCAATTTGAGTGGGTTGGGGCCGTATTAGGTCAGACCTCCCAGGGGATGTCTTCCAAGTCTTCAAAGCCACACTCAAGCCATTCACTGCTGCATGCTTCTTCTGGGGAGTCTAGATCCTGAGAACACCCTTCCTCAAGGAAGGTCCAGCCATGTGCGCTGGCTGCAGAAGACAGCGGCGCCAGCGAAGATTCTACGGGCTCCGTACCTTGGTGACCTAACTGACGCAAGTCAGCCAGGGAGGCATCGTCCAGAAACACCTGTCTCCTGACTGCTTGATCGAAGCTCGGCCAGCTCCACGTGCACTCCAGGAAGTTTTCAAGACAAAGGGCACATTGGAGCTCGATGCGTCTTCCATCCTCTCCATACAAGATCGCTGGTTGCCTTTCCCCAGGACCAGGCACGAAGTTGAGGTTATGGGTTGGAATGTTACCACAGCCAGTGCAATTGAAGTTCAAAAGGCGAAGCCACTGCACGGGCGGGTCGCCTCCCGTTCCCCCGTGGAGCTCTGCTGGGTCTTCCATGCATCTCCATTGCCCACAAGGTCCGGCTCGGACTGTTTTGCCGGATTTGCTGGTGCGAACAAAATACACGCTGCTGTCCTCGGAGAGGAGCAGCCACTCTTTCCGGCCCTTGTGATGCCAGCGAAAGCAGAGTGCTTGGTGGAAAGTCCTGCTTTGGCTGGGACCACAATTGGCTCTATGGGCCCAAGTTCGCTCTACACTTGCCAGGTTGCTCGAGCTTCTTACCTGGTCTTCCAAAGCTGGAGAAACTCCACAGCCGGCTGTAAGAGGACTCGCATAAGGGAAGAGTTCCCCAAGCCGGGCTGCTTCGCCCTCCAGTCGGGCCGTGCCTTCCTTCTGGCTCTCTGCATCGCAAGTTGGGTGAGAAGACTCCAACCCGTCACTTGTTGGCAGTGAGGGTCTCGACTGCACAGGTGCTCTGGACATGGCTCAAATGAAGGCTGTGAAAAAGCAGGCCTGGTACCCAAAACAGTTAGGGGACTCGAGGCTGGTTCACACAGCTACCGCTCTGCTACCTGTGCACCCCACCGGGGTTGAGCCGAGACCTTGAGCCAAGGAAGGATATCTGTATCTCTCTTGAGCAATTCGTAGATTAGGGTGTTTTCAACTTGCTCTTGTGAAAGGGACAGATCACCTGCAGTCATCCTGGCCTGTTGGTAATACATGATGCATGTACATATATACACATACTTGCGCAAATTCCTACAGATAAATACCGTATACTAGATTTTTGCTGTGTCTCATCTCACCTTCCCCTTTCCCCTTTCCACCCTTTTTTGCAGAACAATACTTTTCCAATTCCGCTGTCCACTTTTTTCAGACCAATACTTTCCACTTTCCACTTCCCCCCCCCCCCTCCCAAAACAATAGTGACAATCCAAAATGAAAGGCCCGTTGGTCTCGAAAAGAAACCAAAAGTGGTTGTCCGAAAAATGGAAAGTGGAAAAAAGAAATGAGCCGAAAAGAGGCGGAAAATGGAAGGCTGCCATGGGCAGAAACAAACAATAGAAAGTAGAAAGTGGAAAGGGGGAATGGTGCTGATCTCAAGATCCTAAGTTAAGTCTTCCTTCCTTGAGAACTTACGGAAGTGAAAAAGTGTGAAACGTGTCTTAAATCCCGATATAAGGGCTTAAGGAATTCAACATTTCAAACAGGCCTACGCTCCTTAAACATTCCATTTGGGACCCTTGAAACTGTTTCCTGCTTTGCCCTAAAATACAAAGCTTAAGTTCCTTAGATCCTTAAGCTCCTGAATTAGGGCCCATGCAGGAATTTCAGGAAAATGAAGAATGTAGGCCTATTGTAGAGTCCTTAACGATGGCGACAAAATCTGGAAATGAGAGTTCTAACAATATAAATTCTTGAAAATTCCTAAACTAGGGCTGGTTTAAGATTTTTAGGCATTACTGGGCCTAAAGTCTCAAAATTCACTAGGTTCCTAAATTCGGAAACATGAAATTGCCGCTCGGGTGTATTTTTTTCATTAAGGCAGCTTTTCATTCTTCAAATTCTTTAATGATTCAGGAATCTACGGGAAAAATGTAGTGCACAACCCTAAAACCAAAAGTCCGGAGTGCGGGCGGCAAAAATCAGGAACTGCAAACTTAAAACTTGCCGAAGCCCTTAAGAGGCATAATTTGTGAATTCCCTTACATTCCTAAGTAAGCCTTAACTTAGGAACTTAAAGAATCTAATTTCTTGATAGGCCTAATGACTTTCATATAACCCCTTAAACTCCTTAAACTCCTGAAGTCCAACATTAGGGCGTATGTAGGGTTTTAAAGATTCTGGCCTTTTTTGATTCCGCAAATTTCAAAATTATGGCGAATAACAAACCTTAAAGAGTTTAGTATTTCAAAGTTTTCCTACAGAAATTAGGGAAATGGCAGTTGCTGTGAGTATGTGTTGTCAATACTCAATTCAATATACAAAAAAAACTTAAAATTTCGAAGTTCCTTAAGTTCCTGAATCAGGACAAGAAGTTAAGCTTGTTTTCAATATAAAATACATACGGAAGACAATTTCACAGTCCCTAATTTAGTCAAACTCCTCAAAAGAGGACCACTTCCTTAAACTTGAGAATTAAAGCTTATTTAGGAAGCTGAAGATTTTGGACCAATTTCAAGTTGGAATTCCAACGGGTGCAATGAGGCGAATTTAGGACTTGAAGGAAAATTTGTTGCTTCCTCAAGTTTCTCAATTAGGGCTTATTTCGGTATTTACAGAATGTAGCCTTTTGAACCTTCATTTCAGAGAACCTATGAAAACTAGACAACTAAACAGGAATTGAAAAAGCCCGAATTCGGGAGCTTAAGGATTTTTATAAGACTAGAACTTGGTTTTTTCATGAAAAAAACATCCGGAAGACAACTCGTCAGCGTTCATAGCCAAGATGACTCCATCAAAAACACGATGGCAACGACAAAACGAGTAGCAAACATGAATTGTATATGATATATCCATAAAGATATGACCATACATTTGCACACATAGATATCACATGTACATGTAACCTGAAATGTATCAACGTGGATCATAGCGAAAATAAGCAAGATACGTGGTATTCACACATGAAACAAGGACCAGGTAGGTCATGGGGGAAGAGGGGCTTACCTCGTATATATATATATATATATATATATATATATATTATAATATACATGTACATATACATATACATATACATATACAGATACAGATACATATACATAAACATATACACATACATGTGTGCTCGTCCCCCCCCCCCCACAGCACCTGCCAGTTTAAGTTTTTATGGCTTGTGATGCGACAGTGCTTGAAGTGTGCACGGCAAGCGGAGCGCCTCCGTGGCAGAAACGTCCGCCTCCATGCGCTGCAGCTCCTGGCCGGGCCCCAGGTTTAGGGTTTAGGGTTTAGGGTTTGGGGTTTAGGGTTTAGGGTTTAGGGTTTAGGGTTTAGGGTTTAGGGTTTAGGGTTTAGGGTTTAGGGTTTAGGGTTTAGGGTTTAGGGTTTAGGGACGTGCAGTCTACCAACCCGCCCTTTGTTCATGGGCTGCGGGGCTTGTGTGTTGTAAGCGTTTGGACGTTGGAAGGGTCTTGAAGGCGTGCGGGCTAGCAGCCTGCACTTGCCTCAGCGCTTGTGGGTTGAAAGCGTCTGGGCGTGGCAGGGTTTGGAAGGCGTGCGGGCTAGCAGCCCGCACTTGCCTCAGCGCTTATGTGTTGAACGTGTTTCGGCGTTGGAAGGGTTTGGAAGGCGTGCGGGCTAGCAGCCCGCACTTGCCTCAGCGCTTGTGTGTTGAAAGCGTTTGGACGTCAGACGTTGGAAGGGTTTGGAAGGCGTGCGGGCTAGCAGCCCGCACTTGCCTCAGCGCGTGTGCATCAAAAGCATTTGGACGTTGGAAGGGTTTGGAAGGCGTGGGGGCTAGCAGCCCGCACTTGCCTCAGCGCTTGTGTGTTGAAAGCGTTTGGACGTTGGAAGGGTTTGAAAGGCGTGCGGGCTAGCAGCCTGCACTTGCCTCAGCGCTTGTGTGTTGAAAGCGTCTGCGCATTGGAAGGATTTGGAAGGCGTGCGGGCTAGCAGCCCGCACTTGCCTCAGCGCTTGTGTGTTGAAAGCGTTTGGACGTTGGAAGGGTTTGGAAGGCATGCGGGCTAGCAGCCCGCACTTGCTTCAGCCCTTGTGTGTTGAAAGCGTTTGGACGTTGGAAGGGTCTGGAAGGCGTGTGGGCTAGCAGCCTGCACTTGCCTCAGCGCTTGTGTGTTGAAAGCGTTTGGACGTCAAACGTTGGAAGGGTTTGGAAGGCGTGCGGGCTAGCAGCCCGCACTTGCCTCAGCGCGTGTGCGTCGAAAGCATTTGGACGTTGGAAGGGTTTGGAAGGCGTGGGGGCTAGCAGCCCGCACTTGCCTCAGCGCTTGTGTGTTGAAAGCGTTTGGACGTTGGAAGGGTTTGAAAGGCGTGCGGGCTAGCAGCCTGCACTTGCCTCAGCGCTTGTGTGTTGAAAGCGTCTGCGCATTGGAAGGATTTGGAAGGCGTGCGGGCTAGCAGCCCGCACTTGCCTCAGCGCTTGTGTGTTGAAAGCGTTGGCGTTGGAAGGGTTTGCGGGCTAGCAGGCGTCAGCCCGCGTTTGGCCTGGAAGGCGTGTGGGCTAGCAGCCGCACTTGCCTCAGCGCTTGTGTGTTGAAAGCGTTTGTACGTCAGACGTTGGAAGGGTTTGGAAGGCGTGCGGGCTAGCAGCCCGCACTTGCCTCAGCGCGTGTGCGTCGAAAGCATTTGGACGTTGGAAGGGTTTGGAAGGCGTGGGGGCTAGCAGCCCGCACTTGCCTCAGCGCTTGTGTGTTGAAAGCGTTTGGACGTTGGAAGGGTTTGGAAGGCGTGCGGGCTAGCAGCCCGTACTTGCCTCAGCGCTTGTGTGTTGCAAGCGTTTGGACGTTGGAAGGGTTTGGAAGGCGTGCGGGCTAGCACTTGCCTCAGCGCTTGTGTGTTGAAAGCGTTTGAACGTCAGACGTTGGAAGGGTTTGGAAGGCGTGCGGGCTAGCAGCCCGCACTTGCCTCAGCGCCTGTGTGTTGAAAGCGTTTGGACGTCAGACGTTGGAAGGGTTTGGAAGGCGTGCGGGCTAGCAGGCCGCACTTGCCTCAGCGCTTGTGTGTTGAAAGCGTTTGGACGTCAGACTTTGGAAGGGTTGGAAGGCGTGCGGGCTAGCAGCCCGCACTTGCCTCAGCGCTTGTGTGTTGAAAGCGTTTGGATGTTGGAAGGGTTTGGAAGGCATGCGGGCTAGCAGCCCGCACTTGCCTCAGCGCTTGTGTGTTGAAAGCGTTTGGACGTTGGAGGGTGTGGAGGGCGTGTGGGTTAGCAACCCGAAATTGCCATCACTTGCCTAAGGGCTTGTGTGTTGAAAGCGTTTGGACGTTGGAAGGGTTTGGAAGGCGTGCGGGCTAGCAGCCCGCACTTGCCTCAGCGCTTGTGTGTTGAAAGCGTTTGGAAGGCGTGCGGTCTAGCCCGCACTTGCTTAAAATCTAGAAGGCGTGCGGGCTAGCAGCCCGCACTTGCCTAAGGGCTGGTGTGTTGAAAGCGTTTGGGCATTGGAAGGGTTTGGAAGGCGTGCGGGCTAGCAGCCCGCACTTGCCAAAGGGCGTGTGTGTTGAAGCGTTCGGGCATTGGAATGGTTTGGAAGGCGTGCGGGCTAGCAGCCCGCACTTGCCTAATTAAGGGCTTGTGTGTTGAAGCGTTCGGGCATTGGAAGGGTTTGGAAGGCGTGCGGGCTAGCAGCCCGCACTTGCCTAAGGGCTTGTGTGTTGAAAGCGTTTGGACGTCAGACGTTGGAAGGGTTTGGAAGGCGTGCGGGCTAGCAGCCCGCACTTGCCTCAGCGCGTGTGCGTCGAAAGCATTTGGACGTAAGGGCCTGTGTGTTGAAAGCGTTCGGGCATTGGAAGGTGCGGGCCAGCAGCCCGCGCTTGCCTAAGGGCTTGTGTGTTGAAGCGTTCGGCCATTGGAAGGGTTTGGAAGGCGTGCGGGCTAGCAGCCCGCACTTGCCTAAGGGCTTGTGTGTTGAAGCTTTCGGGCATTGGAAGGGTTTGGAAGGCGCGCGGGCTAGCAGCCCGCACTTGCCTAAGGGCTTGTGTGTTGAAAGCGGTTGGGCATTGGAAGGGTTTGGAAGGCGTGCGGGCTAGCAGCCCGCACTTGCCTAAGGGCCTGTGTGTTGAAAGCGGTTGGGCATTGGAAGGGTTTGGAAGGCGTGCGGGCTAGCAGCCCGCACTTGCCTAAGGGCTTGTGTGTTGAAAGCGGTTGGGGATTGGAAGGGTTTGGAAGGCGTGCGGGCTAGCAGCCCGCACTTGCCTAAGGGCCTGTGTGTTGAAAGCGTTTGGACGTCAGACTTTGGAAGGGTTTGGAAAGCGTGCGGGCTAGCAGCCCGCGCTTGCCTAAGGGCCTGTGTGTTGAAAGCGTTTGGGCATTGGAAGGGTTTGGAAGGCGTGCGGGCTAGCAGTCCGCACTTGCCTAAGGGCCTGTGTGTTGAAAGCGTTCGGGCATTGGAAGGGTTTGGAAGGCGCGCGGGCTAGCAGCCCGCACTTGCCTAAGGGCCTGTGTGTTGAAAGTGTTTGGGCATTGGAAGGGTTTGGAAGGCGTGCGGGCTAGCAGCCCGCACTTGCCTAAGGGCCTGTGTGTTGAAAGCGTTTGGGCATTGGACGGGTTTGGAAGGCGTGTGGGCTAGCAGCCCGCACTTGCCTAAGGGCTTGTGTGTTGAAAGCGTGTGGGCATTGGAAGGTTTTGGAAGGCGTGCGGGCTAGCAGCCCGCACTTGCCTAAGGGCTTGTGTGTTGAAAGCGTTTAGGCATTGGAAGAGTTTGGAAGGCGTGCGAGCTAGCAGCCCGCACTTGCCTAAGGGCCTGCGTGTTGAAAGCGTTTGGGCATTGGAAGGGTTTGGAAGGCGTGCGGGCTAGCAGCCCGCACTTGCCTAAGGGCCTGTGTGTTGAAAGCGTTTAGGCAGTCTGGGCATTGGAAGAGTTTGGAATGCGTGCGGGCTAGCAGTCCGCACTTGCCTAAGGGCCTGCGTGTTGAAAGCGTTTGGGCATTGGAAGGGTTTGGAAGGCGTGCGGGCTAGCAGCCCGCACTTGCCTAATGAAAGCGTTTGGGCATTGGAAGGGTTTGGAAGGCGTGCGGGCTAGCAGCCCGCACTTGTCTAAGGGCCTGTGTGTTGAAAGCGTTTGGGCATTGGAAGGGTTTGGAAGGCGTGCGGGCTAGCAGCCCGCACTTGCCTAAGGGCCTGTGTGTTGAAAGCGTTTGGGCATTGGAAGGGTTTGGAAGGCGTGCGGGCTAGCAGCCCGCACTTGCCTAAGGGCCTGTGTGTTGAAAGCGTTTGGGCATTGGAAGGGTTTGGAAGGCGTGCGCGCTAGCAGCCCGCACTTGCCTAAGGGCCTGTGTGTTGAAAGCGTTTGGGCATTGGAAGGGTTTGGAAGGCGTGCGGGCTAGCAGCCCGCACTTGCTTAAGGGCTTGTGTGTTGAAAGCGTTCGGGCATTGGAAGGGTTTGGAAGGCGTGCGGGCTAGCAGCCCGCACTTGCGAGGGCTTGTGTGTTGAAAGCGGTTGGGGATTGGAAGGGTTTGGAAGGCGTGCGGGCTAGCAGCCCGCACGTGCCTAAGGGCCTGTGTGTTGAAAGCGTTTGGGCATTGGAAGGGTTTGGAAGGCGTGCGGGCTAGCAGCCTGCACTTGCCTAAGGGCCTGTGTGTTGAAAGCGTTTGGGCATTGGAAGGGTTTGGAAGGCGTGCGGGCTAGCAGCCCGCACTTGCCTAAGCTTCCTGTGTGTTGAAAGCGTTTGGGCATTGGAATTGGAAGGGTTTGGAAGGCGTGCGGGCTAGCAGCCCGCACTTGCTTAAGGGCTTGTGTGTTGAAAGCGTTCGGGCATTGGAAGGGTTTGGAAGGCGTGCGGGCTAGCAGCCCGCACTTGCGAGGGCTTGTGTGTTGAAAGCGGTTGGGGATTGGAAGGGTTTGGAAGGCGTGCGGGCTAGCAGCCCGCACGTGCCTAAGGGCCTGTGTGTTGAAAGCGTTTGGGCATTGGAAGGGTTTGGAAGGCGTGCGGGCTAGCAGCCTGCACTTGCCTAAGGGCCTGTGTGTTGAAAGCGTTTGGGCATTGGAAGGGTTTGGAAGGCGTGCGGGCTAGCAGCCCGCACTTGCCTAAGCTTCCTGTGTGTTGAAAGCGTTTGGGCATTGGAAGGGTTTGGAAGGCGTGCGCGCTAGCAGCCCGCACTTGCCTAAGGGCCTGTGTGTTGAAAGCGTTTAGGCATTGGAAGGGTTTGGAAGGCGTGCGGGCTAGCAGCCCGCACTTGCCTAATGAAAGCGTTTGGGCATTGGAAGGGTTTGGAAGGCGTGCGGGCTAGCAGCCCGCACTTGCCTAAGGGCCTGTGTGTTGAAAGCGTTTGGGCATTGGAAGGGTTTGGAAGGCGTGCGCGCTAGCAGCCCGCACTTGCCTAAGGGCCTGTGTGTTGAAAGCGTTTGGGCATTGGAAGGGTTTGGAAGGCGTGCGGGCTAGCAGGCTAGCAGCCCGCACTTGCCTAAGGGCCTGTGTGTTGAAAGCGTTTGGGCATTGGAAGGGTTTGGAAGGCGTGCGGGCTAGCATTGGAAGGGTTTGGAAGGCGTGCGGGCTAGCAGCCCGCACTTGCCTAATGAAAGCGTTTGGGCATTGGAAGGGTTTGGAAGGCGTGCGGGCTAGCAGCCCGCACTTGCCTAAGGGCCTGTGTGTTGAAAGCGTTTGGGCATTGGAAGGGTTTGGAAGGCGTGCGGGCTAGCAGCCCGCACTTGCCTAATGAAAGCGTTTGGGCATTGGAAGGGTTTGGAAGGCGTGCGGGCTAGCGGGCTAGCAGCCCGCACTTGCCTAATGAAAGCGTTTGGGCATTGGAAGGGTTTGGAAGGCGTGCGGGCTAGCAGCCCGCACTTGCCTAATGAAAGCGTTTGGGCATTGGAAGGGTTTGGAAGGCGTGCGGGCTAGCAGCCCGCACTTGCCTAATGAAAGTGTTTGGGCATTGGAAGGGTTTGGAAGGCGTGCGGGCTAGCAGCCCGCACTTGCCTAATGAAAGCGTTTGGGCATTGGAAGGGTTTTGAAGGCGTGCGGGCTAGCAGCCCGCACTTGCCTAATGAAAGCGTTTGGGCATTGGAAGGGTTTGGAAGGCGTGCGGGCTAGAGCTGCACTTGCCTAACGAAAGCGTTTGGGCATTGGAAGGGTTTGGAAGGCGTGCGGGCTAGCAGCCCGCACTTGCCTAACGAAAGCGTTTGGGCATTGGAAGGGTTTGGAAGGCGTGCGGGCTAGCAGCCCGCACTTGCCTAATGAAAGCGTTTGGGCATGGAAGGGTTTGGAAGGCGTGTGGGCTAGCAGCCCGCACTGCCTAAGCGTTTGGGCATTGGAAGGGTTTGGAAGGCGTGCGGGCTAGCAGCCCGCACTTGCCTAATGAAAGCGTTTGGGCATTGGAAGGGTTTGGAAGGCGTGCGGGCTAGCAGCCCGCACTTGCCTAATGAAAGCGTTTGGGCATTGGAAGGGTTTGGAAGGCGTGCGGGCTAGCAGCCCGCACTTGCCTAATGAAAGCGTTTGGGCATTGGAAGGGTTTGGAAGGCGTGCGGGCTAGAGCTGCACTTGCCTAACGAAAGCGTTTGGGCATTGGAAGGGTTTGGAAGGCGTGCGGGCTAGCAGCCCGCACTTGCCTAACGAAAGCGTTTGGGCATTGGAAGGGTTTGGAAGGCGTGCGGGCTAGCAGCCCGCACTTGCCTAATGAAAGCGTTTGGGCATTGGAAGGGTTTGGAAGGCGTGCGGGCTAGCAGCCCGCACTTGCCTAAAGGAAGGCTTCAAGCTTTCGAATGCAAAACGGTGTGTGAATGCACAGCCTCCTCGGCTGCACGCTGCAGTGCTTCCTTGCGCAGCGCTGCCTCAGCCGATCTTAACAGAAGCTGCCTAAAGGATGCGCTTTGGAGCGCTGATTGACTCGGAACCAACATGCTGAACTTATGAAGGGATTGCCCTGCAGGCGGGGTTTTCAAAAGCCTTGTCGACGGTAACTCAGTAGCTCGCCTCCTCGCGCTGGCACTGTAGCCGCCGAACGGCCTTCGGGTGCACAGGAACCGTAGCGATATGTGAACCAGAAGACTTGGAGCAAAAACCCTGCAAGCCCGAAAAGTCTGCCCACACCTCCTGCAGAGAGGCCAGTTGCGATGCTGCCTCCACCAGGCGGGCCTGTGGACTTTTGAGTCTTCGATGTTAAATCTTGACTTCCTCCATGGTTGCGCCAAGCTCAGACATTTACCTTAAATGATGGGATCCGTGGTTGCTTTGAGATTAGTAGCACCTACAATTGGCAGAAGGTTACAATTGGCAGAAGGTAACGGAACTTAATTGCAAGCATAGTTGGGAACGGCATTAAAAGAAGTGGATCGGTGCATTGTATATAGTCTCTTGAACTGCCAGTTCAGAGGCTCTACTCAACTGAGTTGCAAAATAGGGTTACATTTGGGTGGGGAGGTTAAGAAGAGAGCAAGAATAGGTACAAGGTGCATATCGGATCTGGATCTGCAACATGTAACACCTTTTCTGATCTGTAGCAAGTACAAAGCACCACTGGCACTTGAAGTTCCCGAACCTGATCGAGGTCCGCATTACGGACTCACCTGCCCCCCCTTTCCCTCACCCCCCTGACGACAAACACGCTCCTCACACACCCCGACCCCCCCCCTTCCCCCCCACCCAAGCCCTTCCTTGATGATGCATACCATGCACAGCAACCCTTGAGGTTCAGGATTGCTATCCCAGCAAGGAGGCAACATGCAATGAGACCCTCTCTGGGCATTCTTGTGGCAAGGGGCTTCATCCCGAGAGGAGCTCTGTCGTCCAGACCCTCCACAGGCGGAGTCGGCTAGAGCGATTAACGCAAGCTCCGTGGTGTTTATGGGCTCTTTGACTTGAGTGTACATGCAAATTCCAAATTGGCACTTGATGCATCATGAATACGAGAGCTTCCTTCCTTGGGTAGTAGCAAAACCTGAACCAAAAACCGACCTGCAACGGGACTGCATCAATGCAACAGGTGCCCTGAAGCGAGAGATTCCCTGCGCTTTTGAGTTTCAGCCAGGTGGGCCCAACACCCTACAGGTTGGTTTGGGAATGCTGAACCCAGGTACCAAAAACAGTATGCCTGATACGTGCGCCAGCAGGTGGGGTTCATGAAAAGTCGACTCCCATCACTTCCGGCGGCGGTTGTCGACCAGCTTTGCGAGTCTGCGCCTTTCCAACCTGTCAACCTCCGCCAACAATCAATTTCGAGAAGGCGAGCAGTTTGGAATCATGTTCAGCAATGGGAATGAAGCTGCAGTGCTGACATGCTCTGGTCTTCGTCAAGCCTGTCGTCCATCATCAAGAAGTTTCGCGTGTTGGTGAAGTGTTTTGTTCGAGCCAATATGCAAGCCCGCATATACGCCAGCGCTGCGCGTTCGCATATCTTATGAGCTAATTTTGATCAAAGAAACCGCTGGGAGTGTTGATTCGATGTGCTTGCTCTAGCGGGATACCTCTGCGGGGTTTCAGTCTGTCACCCTCCCTATGCAGAACTCGGCAATACCGCGAAGCCAACTGCACCCTCCACACCCTATCACCAAGCAGGCCTAACAACCACGGAACGCAACCAAAGCACCGGGGAGTGGCGTGTAGGACTTTGCGCTTCCGCTACCAAGGTTAGGGACTTCAGGCTCAGGCTTTGTCGGCAACGGGATCTGGGTGAGTCATCCCGAGTCCCCACCCGGAACCCTCGTGCCATTGCACCCGGGATCCACGCAGCCTCCCGATTTGCTTGAGCTTCCCTTGTGCGCATCCTTGAAGGAATGCTTGAGACCTCCCGTGAAGGTTCAGCATCTTGAGATAAGCAAGGACGTATTGGGAGTGCGGGACTTCAGGCATAGATGGTTGCAGGCATGAGGGTATAGGAAGGACCAGCACATGCACGTGTGCTTCTTACATGTCACTGCAATTTCCAGTACCTTCCTGGGTAGCAGCTGACAAAAAACGAAGCAAAACGAAGCTGTAGTCTGTGTTCCTGCGCAAAGTGCCCTGGAGCTTGGTGAACCATGCTTGCTTCTCACGTGCGGTGTTGTAGGTCGACTACACCGCTGGCAAAGACGTGAAGAGAGTTTCGGACGATCTCAAGGTATTAACATTCAAAAAAAAATCTCTGACTTGAGAGACAGTGCCGAACGTGCTACAGTAACAAGACTTGTCCAGGTCGCCTGACAACCATCCTCGACGGCTCGTCTTTTTTCCTTGACTTTAAACAGTTCAAGAAAGGGCTTTCAGCTTTTTTGCGATGTTTGCCTACTTCAACAGTCTCTCACTGCTATGGCCGGACCGAGCAAGGATCCAGGCATATCAGCCCTTGCTGCATACAATGAACCCGCTTGCACGACCAGACGACTGAACACATTCGCCGAAATCCTCCGCACAACCGCTCGGAAGCAATCTAAACATTGGCTGCCACGCATCCAATTTTAAGTTTTTCCTGGCACCCGACATGCTAAGCTCTGACACCCTGAACCCCAAGTCCAGATCCTCAAACCTTCAACCACGACATGCTGGCAGTGCAGGCTAAAGCAAGGCACTTATGCATGAACGAGTTCTACGATCAATGCTGTAAGAGCGACCATAAACTTGTCAGATTCGTCGGAAATTCTTCGGACATCTTCGGCTTGAACGTAAGAACCTTACACAAAGAACCCTACAATAACACAATGAGTCAAGCATGGCGCTTGGAGACGTGGGTGACTGGGAACTCAGTGTGATCATCGCCGAATCTATTCTTTGTCCTGCGGGCGGCTTGGACCCAGAGGTTTTGCCCTTCCCTTGATGCTCAGGGCTAAGCGTCCAGCGTCTGGAGAGACTAGGGTATGATTGCTGATTTGGTTTAGGGTCCGAGGGTGGAGGGTGCTTGGCACCTACAGGGAACTAAGGTGCATCACAACTTCTGGGACTGGGCAAAAAATATTTCACGTCGTCAGTACTTGCGCTACGCGGAGTGCCTTTAAAGGATCGTATACATACATGTTGCACAAAGCATGTGCTCTGAGTTGACTGGAAGTGGGTCTTATGGTCTTTTTGCCAACGTCTCCATGAAGAGAAAGATCCATACCAACCGCTCAACTTGCGTTGCGTCCTGCACCCTCCTCCTGCGCCAGGCTTTGGCGCGCAACAGCCAAGACACTCTCCAGCGAGCGGGCAGACAAGTGCGCGCGGAACATCTCCTTGCAGCACTTGAGGGGCCCTTTGGGAGGGAGGCATGGGGAGCCGAGTTGTGACTTTGTCAATGATCCCCCCCCCCCCCCGCAACCTCCCTCCATCCCGCAAAATGAACTGTTATAAGCCAAAATAGCTTTTTTGCGAACTATCGGATTCGAAAGTTGTTCATTTGAACTATAATATTTCAAGGCTGACTTCCGGATCCGCTAGCTTCCCTGCGGTATGACGCCTGCGGTGCTATTGATCTCCCAGCGCAGCAGACCCTCGACGTTCTGGATTCCCGAGTCTCAAGAAATCCCAAGAAGCAGCTCAAACATACCAGCCAGAAGATGGACCACTTCTATGCTTCAAAGCAGACATGACAGACCATGTTCTCTGATGGTGTGTCGATGGCGAGTCGTCATTGCCCAGACATGACTACGCTACGGAAGGCAGGGTTTAGAATTCAAGGGGTCAGAGGCCGTCTTCAGCTGAAAATCCACAAGCTCGTCATTGTCCACCGGCACATAGTCTGCATTCTGCGACTGCCTGTCTGAACGGTCTGAACTCTGAATCGGGGGTAGGAGGCCCTAAGCCTAAAGTGCAGCTTTCCGAGCGCTGGAAATCTCGCAGATAACCTTGCCTGGTGACGGCCTCCGGACGTACGGCGGATAAAGCAAACCCACTCGAACCTAAAGCTCCGAAGCCTCGTTCGTTCTAGAACCACAAGTTCCTGCAACTCCCCTGAACCCCAACAGCCGAACACTGCAGGATAAGGTCCCCCCAAAAAAGTGCCCCAGGGTCACTCTGAATCTGCTGCTTACACTGGACTTGACACAAGGAACTGCAAAGAAACCCTAAACCCCAAACCCCCTAAACCCCCTAAACCCCCTAAACCCCCTAAACCCCCTAAACCCCCTAAACCCCCTAAACCCCCTAAACCCCCTAAACCCCCTAAAGGGTCCAGGTTTTTTTTTCGTATTTTTTCTGGTTTTTTTTTCGTATTTTCATGGTCTTGGGTTTAGGGTTTAGGGTTTAGGGTTTGGGTTTAGGGTTTAGGGTTTAGGGTTTAGGGTTAGGGTTTAGGGTTTTTAGGGTTTTTAGGGTTTTTAGGGTTTTTAGGGTTTTTAGGGTTTTTAGGGTTTTTAGGGTTTTTAGGGTTTTTAGGTTTTTAGGGTTTTTAGGGTTTTTAGGGTTTTTAGGGTTTTTAGGGTTTTTAGGGTTTTTAGGGTTTTTAGGGTTTTTAGGGTTTAGGGTTTAGGGTTTAGGGTTCACCTGAAACCATAAAAAACACGAAAAAAAAAACAGAAAAAATACGAAAAAAGAACCATCAGCCCCCCCTAAACCCCCTAAACCCCCTAAACCCACCCTAAACCCTAACCCTAAACCCTGAACCCTAAACCCAAAACTCTAAACCCACAAAGGACGGGAAGTGACCGACACCGAAGGCGCCTGGCAGCCCAAGCTCCCGGGCGCTGCGCGCCCCGCACCGGCGCCAGGCCCGGCCCGAAACGCACGGAGCCGAAGTCTCGGCCTCTGGGGACTGGATTAGGGTTTAGGGTTTAGGGTTTAGGGTTTAGGGTTGAGGGTTTAGGGTTTAGGGTTTAGGGTTTAGGGTTTAGGGTTTAGGGTTTAGGGTTTAGGGTCCTTTTCAGTCACAGGGCTTTTGACAGGTGAGGTGAGCGGTCCACCTGCGTGGTGCTCAGACGATTTAAGGCGTTCAGGGTGAATAATAATTATATATATATATATGTCTATCTACACACACATCATATATATATATATATGTAAGGAGATCATCCAGGTAGGGTTTGGGACTCAAACTAGCCCACCCTCAGTCAGCCTCCCCCTCCCCAAATCCTACGAAGTGCCGAGCATTTGGGATGTCAAATGATCTCCAGCAGCGCAGGCCACACCCAACAAAAAAAACTGAAGCCCAGATGGGGGTTTCCGAAATTAGAGGTACAATTGCTGGGGTCCTTCTTATCAGGCAATCCTACTATTTGGGGATCAATACTGGGGGTCCCCTGTTTTCGTAGACCCCAAAATAGGTTCATCGGCCCGGCTGCGCAGAAGCTAGCACTTCTAAGAGAAAATGGCGTTCGGCCCGGCTATGAAAAGAACTCACTTCCGACCTCGAAATCCTGGCTCAAGATTCTGATTGTTCTGGGACCACAAGATTTTACTAGCAGAGTCGATTTGGCCTCTTTTTTTCTCCCCCCTACAGCCTTTCTTTGCTGTAAGCAGTGGTATGGAACACACCACCCACACCGCATGCGCTCACAAAGTGCGAAGCCAAGATCCCGACCGCAAGCGCAAGGTTCTGAATCGCCAGCATGTGCAGAGGCGGCATCGCCGAGCCTACCAGCAGACCCTCACACTGCAACTACAGTGGGCTGAGGACCCGGAGCTAGGTTGAACTCTTTTGTGCCGACATCAGCTTCTCTAGGAAGTTGACCCCACGATACAACCACGCACAAGGAGTTCCGGGTCCGGAAGGGTTGGGAAGAAAAGCCTCAGTACTTACGTGGCTTGCCGGGCCCCCCTCCAGAGGGTTTAGGGTTATATAGTTCAGTGATGTTCAGTGGCTCTCGAGTTTGCAAGGCATGGAGTGCCCTGGAGCAACTGAGGCTGGCGCTGCACCTGGGAGCCATCTCCTGCAGCAGAGAAACTCGCTTTGGGATGCTCCCCCCTTAGACTAACAGTCCTTCATAGGGATTATAAGAAAAACTAGCTGGATGTTCCCTCTGATACTAACAGGCCGCCTTAATAGGGATTGTAAATTGGAATTCTCCCACTTCTCTCGTTTCGTGAGCCAGGCCCTCGCCCTAAGCTGCGGTTTTTTTCTCCCAAATTTTGCCTACAATGTGACTGATGCGAGGATCAGAGGTGCCAGCCCCTAAGCCGCAAAATGCGGCATAGACTTGAACCCAGGATAGACGGATAGAGGTCCCGTAACTCGGAAGAGTCCACCCCGAGAACTCTGAATTCCTAAACCCCGCAGGGGGGGTTGGGGGCTGGGGGGGGTGGGCCGGACCCCATAGCAGAAAGAGTCCTCGCTCTCCTCTCCCAGGGTGGCGGCGGCCCATCCAAGTATGCCTCTTTCTTGGAGGCAAGTCTTGGATGTTGAAGGCTCCAGGGCTTTGGAATTTCTGGGGCCTGCGGCATCTTCGGGTGGCCACCAGGGTCGCAAGCAGATGCCATAAAAAGATCAAGCTTTCAGACTGTGCTGCATCGTGTTGCAACGCCCCTCCACCCAAGTAGGGATGTTGAAGGCACAAGGATGCTTTTGAGCTCAGGCCCGAAACCCTAAACCAGACACCCTAAACCCTAAACCCTAAACCCTAAACCCTAAACCCTAAACCCTAAACCCTAAACCCTAAACCCCAAACCTAAACCCTAAACCCTCAACCAAACCCTAACCCTAGACCCTAAACCCTTACTCTTCAAGGGCCTGGAGGGTAGACTCTCCAGGGCGGTAAAGAGCTCCCCCAAGCCGGGGAGGCTTGTGAGCCTGGGCAGCTGTTCGGCTTTCTCAAGCTAAACCTCAGCCCTAAACCCGAAACCCGACTGTTTTAGGAGGTTCAGAAGTTGCGGTTAAGAGGTGTTTAGGAGCCATTCAGGGCCTTAGAGGTTTGTTGGAGCTTGATAAGCCACATGGGTTATTGGAGCCTTCTTGACTTGCCACCATGGTGCCACAGGTGCCTCATACTCTGAATTCAACCGGAAATCCCGGGTAAAGCCTAGAAGGTTAGTCAGCAGCTAGTGATGCTAGTTAGCATCTGGTGTGATTCAGGATGCTTAAGGTTGGGCCAGTCGACATCTCGTGCGAGTCTAGAAAAAACTATATCAAACATGGAAGAGCAAACCTTATCAACAAAGGCACTTGCACGAAGCAAACAACAGAGAGAGAGAGAGAGACGCTCACCAGCACCGATACAAGAACACTTGCTCCAAATATGAAGAGCGCTGCAGCTGGTTCCTCCTGCTTGCTGCTGGTTGCTTGTTGCGTGGACTTGTGTCGTATGCATATTGTTTGCTGTTTGTTGTGTGGCGTGAATTGCCGGTTTGTCTTTCATGCGTTGTTTGCTAGCTAAAGAAACAACAGCTCACACACACACACACACACACACACAAAGCAATACGGCCAACACGACAAGAAACGCAAACATGAACCAATGTGTCTGGATGATAACTCCTACTGGTGGTTGCTTGTTGTTTGGCTGCTGCGTGTGTTGGTTGTTTGTTGTTGATCTGGGGTGGAAAATATCTGTGTTGTTGTCCTTGTGTTTTGGCGGTGGGAGGGGTGAGGGGTCTCTTTATTTCCATAGGACAACCTCTACTTTCTCCATATTGTAATCGGAAAACCTCTATTTTCTCCATATTGCCATAAGACAACCACCTCATTGGGAAAACAAACCTCTCATTTCTCTATGCTTTAATAAGAAGCCATGGGCAAACCTTTATTTTCATAAGCGGGTGGGTTGGGGGTGGGTTCCCCCCATCTGCCAACGCAATGCTCGCATGATGGGTTTCGGAAAGATTCGCATGCTTTGAAGCCAGCTTGCACGGCTGAAAAAACACCTGGTTCGCATGATGGTGTTCGGGCGCGGAATTGTGTTTCTTTCATGAGTCGAAGCCAACACAAACATGGTGGTGAGTGGTGATTGGTGGTTTCAAAGCCTATGATCTCCCCATGACCGGCCCAGTGGCAGCAGCGATGGCATCTTCAGCTTCAGGGGAAAGGGAAAGCCCTGTCCAGATGACTGCAATGAGTTTATAGGGTTTCGGATTTAGGGTTTAGGGTTTCGGGCTTAGGGTTTAGGAGTGGCTGCAAGCCAGAACAAGGGACTGCGCACCAGCAAAGGCTGCTAGCCTCTGAAGCGGTTGTGACGCGCCACTGAAGAAAAGCTCCTTAAGACGTACAGCCTGCAAAGCTCCATGGACTTCGAAGAGCACAATCTAGTCAACTTCAGCCCACCGCCCTAGCCGGACTCTACATGACTCTACCTCTCGCCCCTAATACAGACCACCAAATAGTAAAGGATCCCCTTATCAATAAGGACCCCAATAAGGTACCCCGAACATCCTAAACCCACCTCTCGCAACCACTGGCCTCCATGGCGGGCAGGTCCACGGTCAGGTCGTGGAGTCGCACCCGACACCAGCTGGTGGCAAACGGCGGGGGTTCCAGAATCTCTGCAAACGGCAGGACGATGTTTTTGACCTCAGCACTCAGAAGTCCAGGGCTTGGGACAAACTTTTTTCCCCACATCATTATGAGGACTTCTTGCTCTTCTTGCCTGCCCCCACCCCGCCCGTCTGTCCGTCCGCCCGTGGCCCGCGCCAGCCAACATGTGCACGAAAACGAACATCTACGAACACACGCAACTCGTCACGTGACATGTACGACATCTGACACGTGCAATGAATGAGAGTCGTCCGACGACCTGTCACGGGAAGTCGAGGTTTGCTTAACCTTTGAGCAGGTTTTTGTGCGCGGGGGTTGAACACTCGAAAAGCCTCGCTGTGGCCGAGGTTTTGGACCCCCTTCTCGACCTCGAGATGGGCGGGGTGTCGGGAAAGCCAGCTTTCCGGCTCAGAGCATGCCAAGAAGTGGGGGCTGGCTGTTGCTTTACATGCGGGGCTCAACACCCTGGAAAACCTCGCTGTGGCTGAGGCGTCGGCTCCTCTAGAAGGGGCTCGCGACTCTGGGCCTGGAAACTCGTTTTTTGTAGTAACATTACACTCGGAGGCCTCGGGAAACTGAGTTTTTCGGAAACTGAATTTTTCGTATACAGATCAAGTGCGCGTAAATTAAACGCCTCTTCAGGGCCTCCGGAGCTCAACGACGTTCTTTGTAGTACAAAATCAGTATGCGAACACGCCCCTCCGTGAAGCCTGAGACCCGTTTTCGGGTACTAAATTGTAGTACAAAAGAGCGAGTTTCGGCGCCCAGAGCTCCAGGAAGCCTCCGACAGGCGTTTTGCACACGCGCGCGCGCGCGTGCACGCGCGTGCGCCCCCGCACGGCGCCACATGCGCGCGCAGTCTATCCAAGCACGGTTGTAAACACCTGCTCATGCTACTTGAAGCTTAGAGTTCAGGGTTTAGATCCCTGAGCTAGGCTCCACAGCCGAAAGAACCCCCTCTCTCTCCGGCATAGCATAGCCAGAGATTTTAGGAATCTCCAAAAGCCCTACGAAGTCCAGCCAGAGTTTAAGCCCTAAACAAGCAGATCCCCCCAAAAAACTGAGAAGACCGCCGTGTCGACCAGGGCTGTGAGCGCGTGGACATCGAGGAGCAGCTGCACAGCGTGGAGGCAGCCTTAGCCGTCTTTCTGTGATCCGATTTTGATCATTGGGTTAAGGGTTTAGGGTTTAGGGTTTGGGGTTTGGGGTTTGGGGTTTGGGGTTTAGGGTTTAGGGTTAGGGTTTAGGGTTTAGGGTTTAGGGTTTAGGGTGGGGCTTCGTGTAGTCAGTATACCTATTAGAGGGCAGCTTAGGATCGCTTGGGCTCGCCTAGGTTCAGTATGCAACACAAGGGCTTGCTGCGCTTGGGATGTTTGAGTGGATGCTCGTTGTGAGAGAAGTGCCGCTTCATGCCGATCAGCAGCAAAGGGCACACAGGGTAGTTGTTTAGCTCACTCATGCCGGATGCCCAGAAGCACACGCGAATCTTAAAGGGCGTTAAACCGATAACTTCACAGTGGCGCGGGTTGTTTAAATTTGTTTCTTCTACCTTTCGGGCTGGGGTTCCCAAGCCCGGCGCAGTAACCTGTGCAAAAGATTGTAAGTTGCTTGCTGTGGGGCCCTTGGGCTCTGATTCAGCCCCCCGAAGGATACCGAAGTGCGCTGTTCTTCTTATTCAGGCCAAGACCTGTAAGACAACGAAGCAGATGACCCTAAGACCCTCTTTTCCCAAAACCCAAAACCCTAAACCCTGAACCGTCAACCCTAAACCCTAAACCCTAAACCCTAAACCTGCTTCCTAATTTGTATAAGCCTGAACCCTGAACACCTCCATTAGAGCCAGGAGACCCTCCACAGGCTGCCTGCTACCATCCGCAGCACCTAGAGCCGGCACGTCCTTCCGAAGCCGGAAACGGGGTATTGTCGGTGATTTTCGGATTCGGATGGGCTGCCACGGTCTTTCAGAGAACAATGAGCCTTGTTAGGGGCCTTGTTGGGGTTGGTGTCCTCCCTGTTCATGATATTCGAGTGCTACAATCGCTAAAGGCAAAATCCCGAGTCCCGAAACCTCAACATACGAAAGCCGCGCAACGAGTCCACCCAAATGAAAATGCGTCGAAGGGTCCCCAATGCCAAGTCTGAAAGCTTCATGCTCACAGACCCCATTCTCCAATTCCATGCATCCGCTCCCTCTAAATGATGTCTGTCCTACATGTTGCACAAGAGGGGACCCTAAACGCGATGAGCCTACACGTAAACCCCGAACCTACATGTCTGTGACCCAAAGGCAGCTTTCCGGCTGTTTCGGCCCTCTCCCTCAGATCCTTCCACCGAAAGGTCACGGCAGCTCCAGCAGCGCCAGCTGGGCCCAAGGCCAGGAGCCGGCTCTCGCGGCGGTCTGGGCCTGCAGGGCCCAAAAAAGGGCGCAGGGGCGTCGGGGGCCTTCGTGACGGCTTCAGGATATAAGAGAAGAAGAAGTTTTGGAGTGAGGACGCCACATACAGGGTATAAGAGACTAGGCTGTTCTGGCTTGGGGGCTGTTTTTGGGTTCCATGGGTCTAGCTTCCGTGGCAATCCTCACAACCTGAAGATCCGACCTAATGTTGACCTAGTAATAATAAACCCCCCCCCCTCCCCCCCCCTTCAATCAAACCCCCCCAAATAGAGTGGGGGGCCCCTTTGAATAAGGATTCCTTTCCTTAGAGAGAATTAGAGAGGATCAGAGAGAATCACTCAGGATTCCTTTCCTTAGAGAGAATTAGAGAGGATCAGATCCCTAAACCCTAACCCTAACCCTAACCCTAAACCCTAAACCCTAAACCCTTAACCCTAATTCAATAAGACTCCACAAAACCCAAGTAAACCTAAGGCATGAACCCTAAACCTAATGAAACCATGAAGCGATCATTTGAAGATTTTTTTCAGGCAGGAATTTCCAGGAACTTTATTCGGAGGGGCAAATCTTTCAGGATTATTTCCAGGGCACCGGCCTCCAAAGCTACCCCCTTTGCCAGAAAGATTTTTTCAATCCTTTAGTAAGGCTCTCAAATAAAATCAGCAAGTTTCTGAGGAGTTTGGTTTTCAGGTTTCTCTTCGAAATCTGATCGCTTCATGTTTTCCTAATTAAATCCTAAACCCTAAACCCTTAACCCTAATTAAACCCCAGACCCAAAACCCTAAACCGTAAGACTTTAATTGCAGGGGCCCCCGGATTTAGAGACCAGGCCATACCCTTATCCCTAAACCCTAACCCTAAACCCTAAACCCTTAACCCTAGTTCAACAAGACTCCACAAAACCCAAGTAAACCTAAGGCATGAACCCTAAACCGAATGAAACCATGAAACGATCATTTGAAGATTTTTTCAGGCAAGAATCTCCAGGAACTTTATTCGGAGGGGCAAATCTTTCAGGATTATTTCCAGGGCACCGGCCTCCAAAGCTACCCCCTTTGCCAGAAAGATTTTTTCAATCCTTTAGTAAGGCTCTCAAATAAAAATCAGCAAGTTTCTGAGGAGTTTGGTTTTCAGGTTTCTCTTCGAAATCTGATCGCTTCATGTTTTCCTAATTAAATCCTAAACCCTAAACCCTTAACCCTAATTAAACCCCAGACCCAAAACCCTAAACCCTAAGACTTTAATTGCAGGGGCCCCCGGATTTAGAGACCAGGCCATACCCTTATCCCTAAACCCTAACCCTAACCCTAAACCCTAAACCCTAAACCCTAAACCCTAATTCAACAAGACTCCACAAAACCCAAGTAAACCTAAGGCATGAACCCTAAACCTAATGAAACCATGAAGCGATCATTTGAAGTTTTTTTTCAGGCAGGAATTTCCAGGAACCATGCCCCGACTGGCGTACTTTATTTCCAGGGCTTTATTATTGCGGCCGGGACACCTGGCGTACTTTAATATTAGGGGCTTTAGTAATACTAGGTTAACATTATCCACATCCACCAGGCTTCAAGCCTTGACACTGCGACGAATCCTAAACCCTAAACCCTAAACCCTGAACTCTAAACCCTAAACCCTAAACCCTAAACCCTAAACCCTGAACCCTAAACCCTAAACCCTAAGCCCTAAACCCAGCCTTCTTGTGTGCCACCCCAGGTCGCTGCCACCTTGCCGAGCGTGATGCCGAACTGGCGCTGGAGGCAAACTTGCTTGGAGTCGCCTGGGTAAACGTAGGGTTTAGGGTTTAGGGTTTAGGGTTTTGGGTTCAGGGTTTAGGGGTGTGAGTGTGCGCACATTTCTGTCACTCTAGGCTGGGACGGCGGACTCGCAACTGCCATCGGAACAGCTGTTTGTGAGCTGTAAGCTGTCACCTGAATCGTTTACGCAGACTTCGAGGTCGAGTTTTCGGGACATCGGCCAGGTCCGCTTGCTTGCATTTGCGCAATTCAAGGGGCTCGAATTCAGCATACAACAGTCTGACAATCTCCTGGCTTTTAGGCTCCAAGACGGCAAGGCCGAAAACAAACAACAGAAGCCTACAATATCCTACAACCATCACGCAACAAACACACACAAAATCTCAGCTACGTTCAGAAGCCTTCTATCCTATTGGGTTCCTTCTCGCCAACTCGCTCCCATTCGCGAGACCTTGGGGCTACAATGTAGAGCCCAGAAGCGTCCTCCAATCTCTGCATCTCGCAGACTGAGCTCATCCAGGCAGCGCAGCCTGAGGATTGGAGATGGTCTTTGGGCCCATCCCTTTCGTTGAAGGGGGAGTGTGGGCTAGCGGCTGGGTCAGGGAGTTACGAAGTTGGCTTGCTTAGGATGGGCTTTAGGGGCAAGCTGTGGACGTGCGGGTTTGGATGTCGAGGCGAGCACTCCACACTCCCAAAGGTGTACATCGAGAGGGCTGTGACATGCAGGCTGCACATCTGGAGCACAAGATCTAGTTGCATAATTTGCATAGCATGGTCTTGAACGAGCGTGCATTCTTACAGTCGCCGGCGGATTCCGAGACTCAATTCTGAACTCTGGTGACGGTCAGGACAAAGCTTGCGAGACATGCTCTCAACCTCAATGCCGAAATAGAGGTCCCAGCCGTGAGCTCCCTCCACAACCTGCCTTAACCCAAGCATAGGAAGACGTCAAAGACGAAATAACAACCAGCTCTGAGCGTTCAGCACTGCTAGCTTTCTTGGCCTGTGATCCTCGATCCTCTAACTCTAAGCCCTTGACCGGAAAGCATCCAGCGAGTTCAGGAGGTCCAGGGTGAAGAGAAAGTCCTCCGCCTGGCAATGAACGGGCTTGGGGCTGTTGGGATCGAGGTCATTCGACGTCTAAAGCAATTGGCCAGCGTTTGCCGGCGTAGACCCCAAACAGTGTACGACCCTCCAAGTCCAAGATGACCACTACAAGCCCACTGTAAAAGCACTTCAAGACCCGGCCAAGAGCTCTCCGGACCAGTCGAAGACTCACTCCAAGAGCCACCCTCAAAACGTGTGCTCCAAGAGCGGGTCCCCTGTACCCGTCACTTTTGGACTTCTGGGCTACATGCGAAACTGAGGATGTCCGGAACTCCACGGGCTCCAAACTTGATGATTGCTGATAGTTTTTATTATTATTAGTAGTATTATTATTATCATTATTATCATTTTTATTCTGATTTATCATTAGTAGTATTTTTGTTGCACAAACGACTAGAAACGCAAGACGCAGCACGCACTACGCGCACGACCTCCCGGAGCTCCCGCTCACGAAAATGTTCGGAGCCGAAAGAAAGTGCTGCTCGAGAGTTCTTGAGGACCCCACGACCAAACCCTAAACCCTAAACCCTAAACCCTAAACCCTAAACCCCAAGCGACCAAAATGCCAAATGTGTCAGGCCTCGAGAAAAACCCTGGTCCCGCCCTTACGCGCCTAACGTTGGAAGCCCTTAGTGTTGACACGGCTTGGGGAACGAAACCGTTCCAGTCGAGCCATGAATCATTGGAAACATCTCTACCTGCTGACTACCGAACACATGCAGACCCCGCGCCTTTAACTGCAAAGCGCTGGCCGAGCCTTCCGGGATCAGCGTTGCCTGCAGCCACTGCAACTGCCTCACACCTATCCTCTTTAGGCCTGGCCGACTCCTACAGCGACACCAAGCCCCGGAATCGCGAACCTTCAAACTCAAGTGCCCAGTCCGATTCTCAGAAGTACCGGATCCGTTGACGACTTCCAAAGACGACTTTTGGCATCGCACCTCGCACTGCGTCAGTGTGAGCTCCAGGGTGACCAAGGTCACTAGCCCTGGGTTCAGCGCTGAGGTCAGAGCTCATAGGGGTTTCGAATGTCTAGAGTTCGCATCCAGCTGCCATGCGGGGGCACTGCATATGAGTGCATCAACGTACATCTTAATTAGAGCTCAGGGCTACTTGGTCAATGGCTTTGGGCCTGGTGGTTGAGAGGGACTTAATGGTTTCGGGACCCCGCCCTCGACACTCGGAACCTATTGCCCAAACTTCGAACTTCCCCTCCATGATCCAGTCTCTTTTTCCGCAGAGCGGCGTCGGCTGACCAGCTGCTCTCGCCAGGCCAAGCCTGACCCCAGGGAAAGCTTATGTTCGTGGACGTGTGGCTAAGGATGTCTCAGGCATGATTTCTGCGGCCTTCGGCGCCCCCGCGCCCAGGTGCCAGGGTCGACCACGAGGCCCTGGGCCAAACGGAGCATTCAAAGGGAGACCGAGATCAAGAAAGCATGGAATCCGGAGCTCACGAGACGAGCCGCAAACCGACCGCAAGTCAAGAAGAACCACCCCCTCTTAAGGCCCCTGAAGTGTTCAAGGCCCTTTGAACCCTGGAGTGCTCCCAAATCCCAGCTCGGGAAGACTCGAAAAAAACAAGGCTCTGAGTTTACGCCAGGCTGCACTGCTTGTGGCACGTCGGCTGGCGCCTCGTTGGTAGGAGCCAGGGCTAAAGATTTCGAATCTCTGGTTTCGGGAGGGTCACAGAGCACGGCACCTTCTTCAGAACCTCTAAGTCACCAATTCTTGCCAGGCTTCAACTGCCTCAACCCTTGTGCAAGCTAGAAGTGCATGTAGCTTTCGCAGTGAAATGAGGCCTTAAAAGCTGCAAGGCCTCAAGGCTCTCAAACCTGGCCTGGAACCTTGGGCCCCAAACCCTAAACCCTAAACCCTAAACCCTAAACCCTAAACCCTTATAAACCCCAAACCCTAGACCCTAAACCCTAAACCCCAAACCCCAAACCCCAAACCAATTACTTCGCCAAGCCTGCGCAGCGGCTTTTGGGATCCCCTTGATCAGGTCGATGGCTGCCTGGGGCTGCGCGACGTAGGCTCGGGTTTTTTGGGTTTAGGGTTTGATTAGGGTTTAGGGCTTAGGGTTCAGGGTTTCGGGTTTAGGGTTTATTCAGTTGAGGGCTTGGGGTTTGGCATTCTGCTTTTTAGGGTTCGTGAGCCGTGATCATCCCGAAATATGCACAGCCCTGGTGGTAAATTGCGAGGCGAAGCAGCTGGCAACTGTAGCCCCAGCTTATCGAATCACCCACAAGCCCCGTTGCAACAGTCCAAGGGGCGGCGCAAACTGCCAGCAGCGGCGCCTCGGGCAGCGCCAGCGACAGATGCCTGATAAGCAGGGAGATCGCCATCTCACCTGAGGGATTCGAGTCAGGTCACGTTCTGTGTCGTCCATGACAAAGCATCCTTAAGTAGAAAGAAAGTAGAAAGAGAGCTGTGCAGCACCCAACCTTTCGAGAGGCTTGCTTCAGGCTCTGGAGACCAGAAGATCCGAATGCCAACCTCCAGACCCTACGAACTCGTCCGTGGCAAGATCGCCATAGATCAGGGCCGGGGTACTGCTGAAAGGGCAGACCCGTCTTGAGCGGTGATGTGGGATGAAGCCGCACCACCGCCTGTGCGGGGGCAGGTGAGAAGACAGAGAAGGGAAGATGAGGGGGCATGTAGGGCAAGAGCTTCTCTTCACATGCAGGGTTCTACAATCTACAGCTAGAGACTCCGAGCTCATGCCTCCGACCCTTGCCAGGCGGGCGTCCCCGCAGTGCACAAAACACCGCTCTGCAAGCTGCTTTCTGTGCTTCTAAGCCGGGCCTTTGCTCGATACACACACGGAGATCACCTTCAGAATCGTCGTGTACCACAACAGCGCCTGGCGCAGGATGGACTTCGGGGTCTGAACACAGGGTTTAGGGTTTAGGGTTTGGGGTTGAGGGTTTGTCTGCCCGAATACTTGGGGTTCAGACGCTATGAAAGCTTTTTGCCTGTACATCCTCAGCAGTACTCTTTTCACAGCAGGCCCTCCCTCCTACACACAAAGCGGCTAAGCTTGACTTGATTTCGGCTCACTACTCCGAAGCCGTCCGAAGCCTTTTTTGAAACCTCGAGATGTGTTGGGCAAGCTAGAAGGGTTCTGTTGTTATATGGCAAGTGCCCGATCCATCCAAACACTGCGACAATCGCACCAACTGTGGCAATGGGCTGGCTGAGAGGAACTCGCACGTGGATCAATGACGTGACAGGACAGGTACCAAGCAGAAAACAGAAGGGAAAACGCGCGGCCAGCTGTGCTGCTGACTGCATGCTACTCTCATGACTGGACATTCTGCTGCCTCGTCCGCCCAGGTGGCTTAGAGCTTCCAGCCGGAGCCCTCGTACTGAGACCTGTGTGTTTCGGTTTGGGGTTTAGGGCTTGAGCTCTGCAGATTCGCATTCACGGAGATGGTCAGGTAGATCCTACTAAACACACCTTGCCTCTTGGCCAAGAGCAGAAAACGAAGAAAAACAGCGGCAGGATCTCTCTGTCCCAATAGTCGCCATGTAAGTCAAACAAGTTTGAAAGCCTTGGTTCCCTTTCGCATGGTTTACGGTTGGATCTCATGTCTCCTATGTGGCAGTTGGCAGTTGGCAGCTGTTCTGCGTGCTCAAAAAATTGCTGCGATGAGCAGCACGTGAGTTTGGGGAGGAATCTCCCATGTCGATGTTCGCAGTGTTCGCAATCCGCTTCGCGTTTTGCACCGCTTGCATCGTGCTGGTCGTTGCGTAGAATCACGATGCTTGGCGTCCTTTAAGTGTCTTCCGCAAATGTCCCAGCGATCGTGGATGGAGTGAATCCTCTCCGTGGGCGTGGACCCACGAGCTCTGCTGGAGAAGCAACTTCACACCTTGCGTGATGGGAAGCGTGACTTCTGTTGGAATTGCTTTTTGCAACTCGGCCGGCATGAGGTGAATGAAAGACGTTTACTCTGTTGATACCCAGGCGATTTGTATTTTCAACAATCTGTGTGCCTTGATGACCATTCTTGCAGGTCTTTCTTTTGCTCTCGGCCCTACAGGTATATGCTTAGCGATCGCTGCTGGTGGTGTGATGCTTTGGGCACTTGGCATCACGTTTGTTGGGAATGTGCGATGAGCCCTCTTCGCCTTGTTGCCCCGTCCTATCTCGATTTTGTTGCACGAGGCAGGAAGCCAATCCCTTACCTGGGACAGGTGCAATCGCACCTGTGGCGGAGTAGGTAGATTAGTTTGGTCGTTGTTATTCCATGTTGCTTCTGCAGGCTTTGCTTGTTCGGTCGGGCACATGGTTTGTGCCTGAGTCTATTGGTTCTTGCCATGGGTTCTCTGCTCTGTGCTCTTGGCAACGGACAGTCATTTTTACTTATGCAAGATGGCCGCACTTATTCGGCTGAAGGGCCTCAGGGAAGTGCCCTGTCGATTTGAGGCTGCTGGCACCGGAACAGAGTTAGTCAGCTAGTTGCAAGTAGCACTGATTTTGTAACATCCTTTTTTGAATTGCCCTCTCTTTCCTGCTGAGCATGGCAAGGCCCTCCTATCTTCAAAAAAGTACATCTTAAGTAGCCAACGTGGCACTTCCGATCATCCTGGGTCGCCAGCCATGCGAAACAGTCGAGCGCAGGGGTCGCAGAACTCGTGCACGTCCTCCCAGGAGGGCGATTCAGGAGGAACAGCGCAGGGTTCAGCATGTGTTCTGAACTCTGCTCCCGATGCGGGTGCTGCTTCCTCAGGTGCTCATCATTGTTTTTACGTTTGGACCCTAAACCCTACAGCCTAAACCCTAAACCCTGGTGGTTTCAGGGATATGTGGCGTGTACACAAAGTCAGGGTGGTTTGGGCGTAGCTGCGTAGCTGCCAAGCCTCAAAAGGACAGATCTGGGGCCCAAGCAGCTGAAAATGTAAAGCGCCCAAGTCCAGAAGAAACCCACATGAACAACTCAAGCACCGAACTGACACTCTCAAAACCTCACCGCCAAGTACAAACAGTACGCGGAAGAGGGCGCAACCCTAAAGTAGGAGCCCTCGTCTCGGTCTAGTCCCTATTAAGGACTCTTAGTATAAGGTACCCCCTCTTCTACTCCCGATTAAGGACTCTTAGTATAAGGGGGCTTCTTTAGGCACTTGAGGGCTCATGGCCCAGAAGCCTGCGGACAGTCGATCTTCTCCCCAGCGCTGTTGGATGGAAAAGATTGGAAGCCCTGCCCCAAGGCGTCGGAAGGATTCCCAAGGTTTAGGGATTAGTAGGGTTTAGGGCTTAGGGGGTTTCGAGTCACTCTTCGTCCTTACCGAACAGACAAGCCCCTCGTTTGCCCTCACTTTTGCAGTCAACCCCTCAGCATCCTGGGGAGGTCTTTGGGCTTCGTTTAGCTGTGAGCTTGATGCGGAGATGCTCTTTTGAAACTGCTTAGCTTGGACCCGAACTGACATGATCAGTTGCCAATGCATCCCTTGCAAGATCAAAACAAATCACAAATTCAAGGGTTCTCGCTTAATTCCTAAGCTGGTGACCCCTTCGTGACCCCTTGGTGATGTGTTTACGGAAGCTTCTGGTGTTTCAGGATTTGGGGCTTGCGGGCTTAGGGCATACGATGGTTCCGGACCCATGCATTCAGGGCTTAACAGGGTTTAACGTTTGTGTGATGGCTGTAGCTAGGTTTTTCCAGTGAAGGAATAGGGATAAGAAATCCACTTTTCTTGTATTCGCATTTTGCAGGACTTGGGTATGTCAACATCTTCTCCGAAGGGTTTAGGCTTTTCGTTTAGCGTTAGACTCCAAACCTAACGCCAGGCCCCTGAACTTAACGAGCTCCTCACCAGAGCGCACCTCAACAGAGAGTGAGAGCGGCATGGAAGGAGTCGACTCCTGTCCCAGTGAAACTGCTGGACAAAGCACCAATAGCAACTGGCAACACCACTTCGCCCCTTCGATACCCCAAAACCCAGGCCCTTCACCGACACTTACAACTTTACTGTTGGTTAGCAGGGAATGAGGGAATTGGGGCCCTATATGTATATATATATATATTCTTTTTTTCATATATATATATACCCTTTAAGGGATTACATAGGGTACCTCATTCCCCCATGCCCCTACGAACCAACAGTCAGCAACCTGTGTGACCGTGCCGTCCTCGGAAACTGAAGGCCACAGCTGCAGCTGCAAGCCGTTCACGACGATCTGCACGCCATCCCCAATCACCTTCCGGATTTCCTTGAGCCCTCTGAGCCCATCTGGGTTTAGGGTTTAGGGTTTAGGGTTTAGGGCTTAGGATAGCAGACGTCAAGGTTTCGTCCACTCTTCTGCAATGCAGAAATGAAGCTGTAAGGTTTGAGGTTTAGGAATCTGAGCGGCTTCGACGTATCCACTTCAGGTAGCCATCTTGCCAATCGGCTCTCTGCGCAGCCACATGCCCCCCCCCCCCCCCCACATTTGGGGCCTCTCACTGTCACCAGAGTGCTTAGGCCTTAGGGCTTGGGGCGTTGAATGTCTCGGACTTTCTGCGTACGATTTCAGGCTTGAGCTGCCATTTGCTGAGCAAGGATGCAGTCAAAGTGCCGCCGGCCTCTTTCAGGCCCACTTTCAGCTGAGACTCCACGCTCTTGCGCAAGTCCTCCTCATCCTCCTCCTGCTGACGAAGAACTCAGCAGCTTCCGCCCCTAAACTACCGGCTTAGGGTTTAGGGTTTAGGGTTTAGGGTTTAGGGTTTAGGGTTTAGGGTTTAGGGTTTAGGGTTTAGGGTTTAGGGTTTAGGGTTTAGGGTTTAGGGTTCAGGGTTCAGGATTCTGGTTGAGGTTAAGAACAACAGGCCTGGGCCTTCACTCTAGCGACTCTAGCGAAGACTTTTCAGGCTTCCGTTGAAACAGCTTGCCACAGTATAGGGCCCTCATTCCCTCATTCCCTACTAAGAACCAGGGAGACGGATGGCGATCCTCCTCCACTGCATGGCTCTCCTCGCTCGCCTGCGTGCTCTCGGTCTGTCTGCGCGCCTGCAACAAAGAAGGGCTTTGGCAGGAGTGCTTTGGCAGCTTTTCGGATCCTTGGACTCTGTTGCAGGAAAGCGGAGTTGAGGGCTTCAGGGGCTGAAGGTGCTAAACGGCTCATTGTGCTGAGAATCGAGGGCTGAGGGTCTGAATAACTCATGGGCTGACGGACATGATGTGGAGTGGAGTGCGACGCGACAGGAATTGTGTATGCCTGGCGCGGTCAGTCACGACTCATCCGGAAGCAGAAGCGTAGAAGTGTCGGCAGATGCTGGAGAACCGCAAAGGCATCGGATGGGGCTTCAGGGGTCAAGTTTCACTCGTAATATAGGTTGCCTTAGTAAATATACTAGGTTCTTTTTTGGGGGGGTTATTCTCCTGTGATCATATAGGGACCGATAAGGGAATACCATTAGCAATTATTATTATTATTATTATTATTATTATTATTATTATTATTATTATTATTATTATTATTATTAGTATTATAACTATTATTATTATGATTATTATCATTATTGTCATTATGATGATGATGAATATTATTATTATTATGTTCAGCGCCTGGGCTTCCAGCAGCTCCGGTGTGGCACTGTGAACCTCCGCGCTGCAAAAGCCATCTCTGGGTTTAGGGTTTTGGGGTTTTGGGGGGTTTGAAGGTTTTATGGTTTTCGGGCTTTAGGGTTTGAGGATTTTAGGGTTCTAGGGTTTTAGGGTTGTAGGATTTGAGGGTCTTGTGGTTTAGGGCTTTAGGGCTTTAGGGGTTTTAGGGGTTTTAGAGGTTTAGGGTTTTAGGGGTTTTAGGGGTTTAGGGTTTAGGTCAGAATGGGTGCAGAATGGGCACCGGGGGAGTAGGGCAAGTTGCTCACCAGGATCTCACTGTAAAAGTATGGCAAACCGCTAAACCATGGGAGGTTTGTGGCATCTGTCAACCAGACAAGCTTGCGTGTTTTTTTGCGACCTTACACTCAACACCTTCACCTTTGTGAGCCTTAACAACGAACTCTGAGTGCGCACTTGAGCTTCGCGGAGGTTACTCTAAATTCCGGGACCCGCATGCACAACTCAAGCGTGGTCAACAGCGACCTTCGCCTCGATGCTGACGTCTGACAGCTCCTTCGGCAACTGATTGCACACGGCAGCTCCAGTCTCTATGGCTTCATGTGCTCGCGACGGTAGCCGATTGCACATCCTGCAAACTCGGCTTTGTGTCACTTCCTCAGCCTACATGATACATGAGATGCTCCCAAAGGAGACTGACAAGAAGTAACAATCCTTGATGAGTTAGCAAGGGCTGTTGCGTGGTAAAGCACCGGATGATGCTTTGTGCAAAAGATACCATATGCCGAAAGATTGAGATGTAGACTTCTGGACGTCCAAAATACCCAAATAACACTTGGTGGAATGGAATATAGGGTCTCCTCCACGTCTAGCATCCGTCAATAATGTCCATCAAAAGTGTAGTAGAACGAAGACCACTCAGCATCAAAAGAGTGTGCTACGTAAGGCCGGAGATGTTAATCGAAGCATGAATGCATCATGAAGGAAGAACGCGCAAGGAAGTAATGGGACGGTCTGGAACAGTTTCGAGGACTTCCTGCCCGAACATTGAGAACAAAACGTCAGACATGAAGATATCCCTGAGCTGCCTGTGAGCTTGCTAGCGGTAGGGGTGCTGTGGTATGAGTTGGCCGCATGCGATGTCTAGTGCGCCATGTGCGGGCCAACCCACATAATTGCCCCGTAATCCGCCCTTGAAACTTAACGCTTGCAGCGCACTAAGACCCTAAACCCTAAACCGCTCCACGAACACGGGCTTCCGCCGGAGCCGCTTCCAGGGAACCTTGAGGTAAATTGCCTCGCACCTTACGTGGGTTTGGCGATGAGCTTTAGGGGATAGGATTAGGGGGACCCTTGGGGATATAGACCTCTGAATCAGGCCCCTGTTTAAGAGAGCCAGAAGAGGGTCAAAGAAGGGTCCCCTTTTGAAGGGTCCCCTTATCCTACCTAGGAAGCTTTGGATTTCAGATGGTTTAAGGGGCCTGGGGATATTCCTTGATAAGAGAGGACTTCGGAGTTTATGTGGACGCAAGCCATTTGGTGAGGAAGCCTTGTCATTCTAAATGTTCAGCCCGTGCGTTCGTCGCTCTCTGCTCAGTTTCCCATAAGTCGTGGACTTTTCCAAGCCGTGCTTCCCAACCTCCTTCTCGGTTCCTTGCTAGGGATTATAGTACTCCCTATTATTATCCCGATTAGGGACTGTTAGCATAAGGGGAACATTGGGAAGCCTAGCTTTCCGTCCAAATGCCTCAGATTATACCTCGGGCAATTGCATACAGAAGACCATTGAAAACCTGACGGTCACCTGAAAACAGCAGCCGCGTGAAACCACTACTCAAACAAAAGGAATTCACCCTAAACCCTAAACCCTAAACCCTAAACCCTAAACCCTAAACCCTAAACCCCAAACCCTAAACCCTAAACCCTAAACCGCACCCATCCCTGCATCCGGGCATCCGGGCCTCACCCTCCGCAGCTCCAGGGTGGCGGGCAGCTGCGCGACCAGGAGCTCGTGGATGGCTTCAAGGTTGAGCTCTATCTCCTTTAGGGTTTAGGGTTTAGGGTTTAGGGTTTAGGGTTTAGGGTTTAGGGTTTAGGGTTTAGGGTTTAGGGTTTAGGGTTTAGGGTTTAGGGTTTAGGGATTGGGGTTTAGGGTTTAGGATTTAGGGTTTAGGGTTTGGGGTTTAGGGTTTAGGGGTTTAGGGGTTTAGGGGTTTAGGGGTTTAGGGGTTAGGGGTTAGGGGTTCAGGGGTTTAGGGGTTTAGGGGTTTAGGGGTTTAGGGGTTTAGGGGTTTAGGGGTAGGGGTTTAGGGGTTTAGGGGTTTAGGGGTTTAGGGGTTTAGGGGTTTAGGGGTTTAGGGGTTTAGGGGTTTAGGGGTTTAGGGGTTTAGGGGTTTGTACGAAGGACCTTTATGTACTATTTGGCGTGTGGCTTGGCTTCTTCAGGCAGAACTTAGAAATTTAAGGAATTTAAAGAATTTAAGGAGGCCGGGCCTTAATTTCATTTTTTTTAAATCCTTAAATTCCTAAATTAGGGCTAATTTAGGAATTTCAGGAATTTAAAGAATTTAAAGAGGCCTAAATGCGTTAAATTCCTTAAATTCCTAAATTAGCCCTAATTTAGGAATTTAAGGAATTTAAAGAATTTAAAGAGGCCGAAATTCTTAAAATTCCTTAAATTCCTAAATTAGGGCTAATTTAGGAATTTAAGGAATTTAAAGAATTTAAAGAGGCCGAAATTCTTTAAATTCCTTAAATTCCTAAATTAAATTAAATTGGTTCTGGGCCCTAATTTAAAATTTTTTAAATTCCTTAAATTCCTTAAATTCCTTAAGTTCCTAAATTAGGGCTAATTTAGGAATTTAAGGAATTTAAAGAATTTAGGCCTCTTTAAATTCTTTAAATTCCTTAAATTCCTAAATTAACCCTAATTTAGGAATTTAAGGAAGTTAAAGAATTTAAAGAGGCCGAAATTCTTTAAATTCCTTAAATTCCAAAATTAAATTAAATTGGTTCTGGGCCGTAATTTTAAAATTTTATAAATTCCTTAAATTCCTTAAATTCCTTAAATTCCTAAATTAGGGCTAATTTAGGAATTTATGGAATTTAAAGAATTTAAAGAGGCCTAAATTCTTTAAATTCCTTAAATTCCTAAATTTGCCCTAATTTAGGAATTTAAGGAATTTAAGGAATTTAAGGAATTTAAGGAATTTAAAAAATTTTAAATTAGGGCCCAGAACCAATTTAATTTAATTTAGGAATTTAAGGAATTTAAAGAATTTAAAGAGGCCTAAATTCTTTAAATTCCTTAAATTCCTAAATTAGCCCTAATTTAGGAATTTAAGGAATTTAAAGAATTTAAAGAGGCCGAAATTCTTTAAATTCCTTAAATTCCTAAATTAAATTAAATTGGCTCTGGGCCGTAATTTAAAATTTTATAAATTCCTTAAATTCCTTAAATTCCTTAAATTCCTAAATTAGGGCTAATTTAGGAATTTCAGGAATTTAAAGAATTTAAAGAGGTTCTGGGCCGTAATTTAAAATTGTATAAATTCCTTAAATTCCTTAAATTCCTTAAATTCCTAAATTAGGGGTAATTTAGGAATTTCAGGAATTTAAAGAATTTAAAGAGGCCTAAATTCTTTAAATTCCTTAAATTCCTAAATTAGCCCTAATTTAGGAATTTCAGGAATTTAAGGAATTTAAGGAATTTAAAAAATTTTCAATTAGGGCCCAGAACCAATTTAATTTAATTTAGGAATTTAAGGAATTTAAAGAATTTAAAGAGGCCTAAATTCTTTAAATTCCTTAAATTCCTAAATTAGCCCTAATTAAGGAATTTAAGGAATTTAAGGAATTTAAGGAATTTATATAATTTTAAATTAAGGCCCAGAACCAATTTAATTTAATTTGGGAATTTAAGGAATTTAAAGAATTTAAAGAGGCCTAAATTCTTTAAATTCCTTAAATTCCTAAATTAGCCCTAATTTAGGAATTTAAGGAATTTAAGGAATTTAAGGAATTTAAAAAATTTTAAATTAGGGCCCAGAACCAATTTAATTTAATTTAGGAATTTAAGGAATTTAAAGAATTTGAAGAGGCCTAAATTGTTTAAATTCCTTAAATTCCTAAATTAACCCTAATTTAGGAATTTAAGGAATTTAAGGAATTTAAGGAATTTAAAAAATTTTAAATTAGGGCCCAGAACCAATTTAATTTAATTTAGGAATTTAAGGAATTTAAAGAATTTAAAGAGGCCTAAATTCTTTAAATTCCTTAAATTCCTAAATTAGCCCTAATTAAGGAATTTAAGGAATTTAAGGAATTTAAGGAATTTAAGGAATTTAAAAAATTTTAAATTAGGGCCCAGAACTAATTTAATTTAATTTAGGAATTTAAGGAATTTAAAGAATTCAAAGAGGCCTAAATTCTTTAAATTCCTTAAATTCCTAAATTAGGGCTAATTTAGGAACTTAAGGAATGTAAAAAAAATTTAAATTAGGGCCCAGAACTAATTTAATTTAATTTAGGAATTTAAGGAATTTAAAGAATTTAAAGAGGCCTAAATTCTTTAAATTCCTTGAATTCCTAAATTAGGGCTAAGTTAGGAATTTAAGGAATTTAAGGAGTTTAAGGAATTTCAAAATTTTAAATACTTTAAAACACCCTTTAAAGGTTTAAAAGTTTTAACATTTTTAAGGGTTTAAAATTTTTTCAAGTTTTAGAAGCTTTGGTGGTCTAAGGCGTTTTATAAGTTTTAAACGTTTAAAAGTTTAAATATCATCACATAGGAAGAGCAGCCCGATTTGGCCAAATTTTGCCCGAAAGCTGCCCGGCAAATTTTGGCCAAATCGAGCCGCGCCTTTCTGATTGCATGCAAGGAGCAGCCCGATTTGGCCAAATTTTGCCCGAAAGCTGCCCGGCAAAATTTGGCCAAATCGAGCCGCGCCTTTCTGATCGCATACAAGGAGCAGCCCGATTTGGCCAAATTTTGCCCGAAAGCTGCCCGGCAAAATTTGGCCAAATCGAGCCGCGCCTTTCTGATCGCATGCAAGGAGCAGCCCGATTTGGCCAAATTTTGCCCGAAAGCTGCCCGGCAAAATTTGGCCAAATCGAGCCGCGCCTTTCTGATCGCATACAAGGAGCAGCCCGATTTGGCCAAATTTTGCCCGAAAGCTGCCCGGCAAAATTTGGCCAAATCGAGCCGCGCCTTCTGATCGCACACAAAGAGCCCGATTTGGCCAAATTTTGCCCGAAAGCTGCCCGGCAAAATTTGCCCAAATCGAGCCGCGCTTTTCTGATCGCATGTTCTGTAAACACTGGCGCGCCCTTAACTTTGAAGCGAAAGTTTTTGAAACCCTAGCAAAGGTTATTGGTAAACCCTAGCGTGCCCAAAACCTCAAAAGCGAAAGATCCATTCAAATACTAAAAGCCGTAAAATCCCGAAAGGCGTAGAGTCCTTAAACTCCAGCAAAACTTCAGCAGAGAAGAAGGCAAGTGTTTTCAAGATAAAAAGGGGTCCCAGGGTCTCAGGGTTTAGGGCGTAGGCGCTTAGGCGCTTAGGCGCTTAGGAGCTTAGGAGCTTAGGGTTTAGGCGCTTAGGCGCTCAGGAGCTTAAGAGCTTAGGAGTTGATGGTTTAGGGTTAGGGTTTAAGGGATTAGGGGGTAGGCGCTTACGCGCCTAGGCGCTTAGGAGCTTAGGAGCCTAGGTTTTAGGGTTTAAGGTCTATAAGGGTTTAGGGGGTAGGCGCTTAGGCGCTCAGGAGCTTAAGAGCTTAGGAGCCGGGACCCAGGGACCTTCTTTTAAATTTTATCATTTCCTTAAAACCCTTAAAAATCTTGAAAGCCCGGGCCTTCTAGATTTTGAGGGTTTTAAGGTTTTTTCAAAGTTAAAAAGGCGGGGAGGCCCAGCGCCTGCCCCTTAATCCTTAAACCCTAAACCCTAAGCTCCTAAGCTCCTAGGCTCCTTAGCGCCTAAGCGCCTACCCCCTAAACCCTTAAACCTTAAACCCTAAACCCTAAGCTCCTAAGCCCCCTAGATCCATAAACCCTGAGCTCCAAAGCTCCCTAAGCTCCTCAGCGCCTACCCCCTAAACCCTTAAACCCTAAACCCTAAGCTCCTGAGGTCCTAAGCGCCTAAGCGCCTACCCCTAAATCCTTAAACCCTCCTAAGCTCCTAAGCTCCTCAGCGCCTAAGCGCCTACCCCCCAAACCCATAAACCTTAAATCAAACCCTATAAACCCTAAGCTCCTAGGCTCCGAAACCCAGAAACCTAAACCCCTAACTATAAGCTCCCAAGCTCCTCCTAAGCGCCTCAGCGCCTACCCCCAACACCCTGAGACCCCGGGACCCCTTTCAAATTTTAAAGTATTTTACTTCGAACATCCCCACCTTAGGGATTTGGATTGGGCTTGGGCACTCCAGCGAGGGAGTCTCTGGGTTGGGCATTCCAGGGAGTCTCTAAACTGGGCACTCCAGGAAGACTCTACTCCACTCCAGACTCTCTGGGCATTGCAGGGAGTCTCTGGGGTTGGGCACTCCAGGGAGACTCTGGGGAAAACTGTGCACTCTAAAAGACTCTGGGGTTGGGCACTCCAGGGAGACTCTGAAAAAACTCTGGGGCTGGGGATTTCGGGAAACTCTGGGCACTCCAGGGAGACCCTGGGGTTGGGCACTCCAGGAGTCTCTGGCTGGGCAATTCGGGGAGTCTTGAATTTCTGTAATTGGGCAGTCCAGGGAGTCTCTAGGAGTAGACCGGGCGAGGAGAAGAGTTCCGGGCGAGGAGAAGAGTTCCGGGCGAGGAGAAGAGTTGAATTTAAAATCTAACAACCCCACACCGAAGGTGGGGAAAAACCCTTGCCTTCTTCTCCGCTGAAATGTTCTAGGCTTTAAGGATTTTGAGAGATTTGAATATTTAAAAGGAGCTTTCGTTTTTGAGGTTGAGGGCACGCTAGGGCTGGCAAAAGTCCTTTGCTAGGGTTTACAAAAAACCCTTTCGCTTAAACGTGTTTACAAAATGCTTTCGTTTTTGAGGATGGGGG